GAGTCACAACTGCGCTGTTATCAAGTCGGATTGTCATAGGTCTGTTTCGTGGGCTGATAAGTATTCCTGCCAACAAACCAGCTAGCTCTGCCTTTGTCGAGGATGCGTTGCCTGCTACTCTACCAGATAGCGCAGTGTAAAACTCACCCTCTAGTGTCTGGACTACCACACCAAATGCCATACTTACTCTTTCAGTGCCAATATCTTTGAGAGATCCATCCGTATAAATGACATTACCCGGCTGGGTATTGTACCGTTCCCTTTGGCGTTGGATTTTCTCCTCGGTATTGGCACTAATGATAACTCCATTTGTGTCCCTGGCTAGGCCTCTGTTGACTTCAGGGATCACTTTTAGGCACGGTGTCTCGTTGGAATCCAGGTCGACTTTTGCTCTCCTTAGCAGAGCTTGCTCGCTCAGACCCTCATATCTCCTTGTGTTCTGGGTCCGGCGTCTCCTCGCTTCTTCGCGGGCTCGCATGCGTTCACCATGCCTTCGCTCTCGGTCCTGGTGGCGTTCTGCTCTTCTGACTATGGCATCTAACTTTGCTCTTTGTCGCCTAAGATTATGTTCTCTGGTTGCTCTGCGCGCCTCTTTCATAACAGCTTCTCGTCTCTTTTTCCGCTCCTTCTGTTGATCTAGAATCCACTTAATTCCAATTGGTGGCTCAACAGCTTGATTAGCCGGTGATACTGTCAAAGTTCTGTTCGCTGCCTCATCCTTTATGAATTGGTTGAGTGCACGAATCGCTTCTCGATCTTCGTCTTCTGTATCCCCGTCTACCGAGCTGACATAACTACTGTCGCTGTTGCTGTCATCATCACTGACGTCTAAGAGTGCCAGTTTCCTCCTGTTCCATTCTCTTGCATGCCTACCCACATAATCGTTGTCGAAGCAAAAGTTTTGAAGTTGGTTGAACCAGAATGGCGAAACTTTAGGCCCTCCGTAACGGGTCCTGAATGCGTGCCATGAGATCATGTCCTCCTTATCATCCGTAAGTATTTGATCCACAAAGTATACCATACGCTTGGTGAGCGCCTTCCATACGTGTGGTAATTCTCCGTTTAGCCATTTCCATGTCGAGAGAGCGTTGTGTGGGAGACCAAATTCGGCTGCGATCGATAGGTCGAAAGTAATGTTACGATTCCTCATTTCTTCACAAACATTCGATATAAAGTTGTGGCGATACTTTTTGACACGATGTGGCTCCAAAGTTGGCGAGACTTCCATCTTATTCCTGTGCTGCAGCATCAGTACTCGTGTCCGACATATCCGTCCCATTACATTGCTGTCATTAAGTCGAAGCGCCAGGGTAGATATTTGTTCTTCCGCTTGAGCGTTCGCCAAGTCTTTGATGGCATACAATCTATTGTGGTTCATAATGCTGTTTGGCGTAGTTGATGGCATACGTGCTTTCCGCTTACACAGTGACATATACTTACCAGTCATCTTCTGTAGGAACGTTGGTGGCAACATTTGGGCCGAAATTCTATACAGCACCTTTGGGATGAGCACATTATTGACAATATACGTTGTCTGCCGATCTGTCAGGGCTTTGGACCGGAGAATGTTACAGGTCGTTTCTATTTCCTGCTCCACTATTTGCTGTGTTGCTGTTGGATTTCCTGTTGCTGTGACCCAAACACCAAGAATCCGTACCGATTCATTCTTTTCCACTGGTCGGATCTCTTCTGTAGGTGTCCCAAATTTCAGCGTGCTCCTCCTATCCTGCTTGCTGTTGATACAGATGACCTGCGTTTTCTTGGCGTTCACTTCCACCCCGTTAAGAATGAAGAATGTCGTTGCAATGTCAAGTATCTCCTGCATATGTGCTTTGGAGTCCGATATCCATGTAGTATCATCCACGAAAGCAAGGCCAGCAACTGATGGTGTCCCTCTTGGTCCCTCTAGACTATATCCAGTGCTACTGTCTATAATTTCACACAGGAGTGCATCATATGCTATTCTCCATAAAAGCGGACATTCCACTCCACCTTGATCCAAACCGCACTCTGGATGATACTCGTCAGTTGGTCCGTATTTAGTAATCACCCTGTTCACTTTGGAAATGGCGATGTTTTCACATAGGCGTATGAACTGTTCAGGGACCTGGAGCCGTCTTAGTCCGCGAGAAAGCATCCCATCGGGGGCGCAGTTGACAGAGTCGAAACACCGTTTCATGTCTTGGAACACAATCCACTGTTCTTTCTTGAACTCTCTTGCGTCTTCCATTGCCGCTTGCAGGATATGGATTGGATCCTTAGTGGTAGTACCTTTAAGAACAGAGAAGTTTGGTCCTCGTAGAATATCGTGCCTGGCCATGATCGCGCTTAACCTATTTGTTATTACTGCAAACATTATTTTCCGTGCGTGCTCCAACAAAGCTATCGGCCTTACCTCTGCCATGTTTCCTGACCATTCTGGAGCTTTTGGTATGCAATAGAGGAGCCCCGTCTTCCAATCCTTGGGGACGTCTTCTTGCACGATAGTGGCACTTATGATTTGGAAGAGGATAAAGAGCCCCTGCGGTCCTTGGTGTTGGATCATTTCGTTCGTAATGCCTGACACACCAGCTGCCTTGTTTTTGGGTGCATCCAGGACCACAGCTGAAAACTCATTTCTGCTTGGTGGATCCATCAGACCGTCGTACCATTCACTCTTGATCCACCTCTGAGGGCTATATTGCTTCTGCCATCTCGAACCCGGCTCTAGCGGTTTTGACGGCCTAGGTCCGTGCCACTTGTCGAACCATGCCCGTACCTTCTCTTTAACTTGCTTTTTTTTTTTTTTTTTTTTTTTTTCCTGTTAACAAGAACCCACAGAGGTGAGGAATTTTATTTCATAATCTCGCTCTAAAGTAATGATATCGCCCTCAACTATGAAACAAGCGAAACTCTCAAAGTTCGCACGGGATGGCTGTGAAGAGCCAATTCGTATCCATGTTTTTCTCTACCAATGTACACCGTGATCGGTACTCGAAGTCCATCCTTCCGATGTGGCCTGTTGCGCCCGTGAAAAGCTGCGGAGGCTGGCGTGCCGACTCTAGCTAAGGACGACTTTTAATTTTTTCTATTCGATCAAATCCACTGGCATGTGGACCCAAATCTTGCGGAATTGGTCTGAAATTTCTATTTTGGACTCCGTCAAACTTTGTGATCATCGCTGTCCTAGTCAAGTGGGTGGATGGGGGGATGTGCTGCCAGATGTACCGCTGGTTCGGCTGGGGGGTGGAATATAAACCTAAGACATGTGGCCAGCCAGGCGACTTAGGGTAGTGCACCCACGATCTTAGCCTTAGCGGAGAACACTAGGCTGTCTCGGAGAGAAAGTATAAAAACTCAAGCAAATCCCTGACCTGGCACATGTTTGCTTCACTTTATGTGCCTTAACCAGGACTCGAACCCGGCCCCTGGGCTAGACAGGAGGGTGCCCTGACGAGTATACTACTCAGCCATTGGGGCCTTCTCTTTAACTTGCTGTGGCTCTAGACTATTCACTGTGACACCGCCTTCGTCGTCCTGAATCCGGTCTATTGTCACTTTACCTCCACCACGTCCCAGCACTTTGTCTATCATTTTCCCTGTTGCCGACTTCAACTCTCCACAGCGATAAAACAAGGATCCTCAGGGCTGGATAAAGGGGTCTAGCTTGCATGTATTTTAAAAAAATGCAAATATGGGTCGTGCTCATATAGAATGTATTAATATTGATATAATAATATGCTAAAAGTACACCATTCAACAAACCAAGAAAGTGTAGTATATGGGTATCATTCCGGCCTTCCAAGCCTGAGAACCGGGTTCGAGTCCCGGCACTTTCATTTTAATAAGCTTCGGTCAAAATTTTTTGGATTAATGACAAGTTTTGATTGGAAACAGAGGGATCGCAAATAGAAGCGATATCCAATAATAATAATCGGTCACAACTCCTTTGGCCTGTCGTACGCGAAGGACATCCTTTTGCTGAATTCCCCACCCCTCAAAAATTTATAGCTTTCCAAACGCTCCATAACCGCCTATTCCATCTGCTGTCGGTAGCTTGTCGCCACCTGCTGGACAGGACCAGTTCTTATCGCCATCATTTCTTTTTAACTTTTTTTTTTTTTTTTTTTTTCTGAATGGTACGCGTATTTCTTGGGAGATGTTTGGCAAGGAACAGATACATGTATATATTTTATGTAAACGGATATTTTTCTCCACAAGCACGCACAGCATGAACGATGACGAGGTTGTCATTTTAGTGATACAACTGGATTCCCGGCGGCTGAATAGCCGCAATCAAAAAATCCGAGATGCATTTTCCGAACTCGGCGGTAAATTTGAGGCACTAAAAAAAAAAAAATTTAGTGAGCAGGTTATAAAAAAAGCAAGGACAGAAACTGAGTTCACCCCCGCAAATCTCTGTCCAGTCATGTTCGAAGGGTTTGTTTACAACTCTACAAAGTGTATTTTCAGATCATCATGTGCTTATGATGAAGCAAAAGACTTCCCGCTTGGATCTGGTTGGGTTCACTTTATTGTCTCTTGATGTATAAAATCCAGAGTGACATCTAGACATCATGTCGAACATAATGGCATTCTTGACTTTTTAATTTTCTGCAGTACTTCAATCCATACTCCTCTCTTTAAAAAAGTAGAAAAAATAAAAAATAAATAAAATTAAAGAAGAAGCCGATAAAAAAAGGCAAAAGAGATGCCTTTAGGAGACGAAAATGCTTCAATGCACAGACAGAGACGATGGCATCCAGACAGGCACAAGAATGTTAACGTATATTTATAATCTTTATTCTGGAATTCTAATTGATGGATACATATGATGTGACGACGGGCCATGAAAAAATCTTCATGGGCCACGAAAAAATCTTTAGCGGGCCACGAAAAAGGTGCCTTATTTGGCCTGCCGGCCTTGACAGCGTGTGGCTGTCGGAAACTCAACTCAAAAAAATAAACAAAATGTCACACACGATTCTCGCATCCATTGCTTTCACTTTCACCGAGCTTCGGAGAAATCCTGCTGTATATATCTTGGTCTGTTTTGCACATCTTTTTTTCTAATCTCTTTTGCTTTCTTCTTTCTTCTTTCTTCTCTACTCCTCCTCCTTCCTCTCCTCTCACGCGTACGCACGCTCATTCTTTCTCTCCCCACTCTCCATCTCTCCATTCATCCTAATCACGACACATCTCACTCCTTATTTAGATCTCGCCCTAGTTTCTTCACTTTCACTGATTTTATTTTTTATTCACATACAATAATGTTCTCCTCCGGAGCTATCTCTCGCACTTGGAAGGTATACTTGAGCACTTCTATTTTCTATTTTATATATATAAACGCTCGTTCAATTGAATCGATCTAGCTCAATCGATTGATATTCGTAGAAAGATCAATTGTCGTGTTTTATAACATTTGTCGTCAAACAAGCCTTCTAACATGTTACATCATTTTAAAAATGTCTTTTCTCGTGATTTGTAACGTTCTTTAGGCTGCTGCCATCAAGGCACCCCTCCGCACCTTCGCTCAGGCTGCTGCTGGCTCAGCCCGCAAGGTCCAGATGTCCAACTTTGAGAAGGACCAATACATCAACTACCAGCGCATCGAAGATAACCTCGCTATTGTCAAAAAGAGGCAAGTATTTCACGCTATTTATGACTACATAAACATGTCATTCGGAAAAACAAAAAAGAGAATCAGGACGATAAAAATCTAACACTAGTTCAATTCTTCTCTCAAAAATCCGGTCATGGCGTTCACTGCTCCATCCCCGCGTTATGAATCGGAATATTTATACTCAACAGATTGAACCACCCCTTGACTCTTGCAGAGAAGATCGTTTATGGTCACTTGGATGATGCCCACAACCAGGATATTGAGCGTGGAAAGTCTTACCTCAAGCTTCGTCCTGATCGTGTCGCTTGCCAGGATGCTACTGCTCAGGTATGTTGTAATCAGATCACAAAAGCAAATAGATTGTGACATATGATAGAGAATTCTTTGTCCGTATGAGAGCCCATTCATCGTAACAGCAATTACAGATCAACTAACAACATATTATTCTATTTTATGACTAACAATATTAGATGGCCTTGCTTCAATTTATGTCTGCCGGTCTTCCTAATGTCGCTGTTCCATCTACTGTTCACTGTGACCATTTGATTGAGGCTCAGGTCGGTGGTGCCAAGGATTTGTCTCGTGCCAAGGACATTAACAAGGAGGTTTATGACTTTTTGTCCTCCTCTTGCGCCAAGTATGGCCTTGGTTTCTGGAGACCTGGCTCCGGTATTATTCATCAAATCATTCTCGAGAACTACGCCTTCCCTGGAGGTTTGATGATCGGAACTGATTCTCACACCCCCAACGCTGGAGGTCTTGGCATGGTTGCTATTGGTGTCGGTGGAGCTGATGCTGTCGATGTCATGGCTGATATTCCTTGGGAACTCAAGTGCCCCAAGGTCATTGGTGTCAAGCTTACTGGAAAGATGTCTGGTTGGACTTCCGCTAAGGATGTCATCTTGAAGGTCGCCGGTATCCTCACTGTCAAGGGTGGTACGGGCGCTATTGTCGAGTACTTTGGACCTGGTGTTGATTCATTGTCCTGCACTGGTATGGCCACCATCTGCAACATGGGTGCTGAAATCGGTGCTACCACCTCTCTCTTCCCCTACAACTCGCGCATGTCTGACTACCTCAAGGCTACCACCCGCCCATACATTGCCGAGTGGGCTGACTCATTCCAGCACAACCTGAAGGCCGATGCCGGTGCCAGATATGATGAGGTCATCGAGATTGACCTCAACACCCTTGAGCCCCACATCAACGGTCCCTTCACCCCCGATCTTGCCACTCCCCTCAGCAAGTTCAAGGATGCTGTCAAGGCTAATGACTGGCCTGCCAAGCTTGAGGTTGGTTTGATTGGTTCCTGCACCAACTCTTCATACGAGGATATGTCTCGTTCTGCTTCTATTGCCAAGGAGGCTTTGGATCATGGATTGAAGGCCAAGTCTATCTTCACTATCACTCCTGGCTCTGAGCAGATTCGTGCCACTATTGAGCGCGATGGACAGATGGAGATCCTCAATGCCGCTGGTGGTGTTGTCCTCGCCAACGCTTGCGGTCCTTGCATTGGTCAGTGGGATCGTCAGGACGTCCCCAAGGGCACCAAGAACTCTATCATTACCTCCTACAACCGTAACTTCACTGGACGTAACGATGCTAACCCTCAGACTCATGCCTTCGTCGCTTCGCCCGAGATTGTCACTGCCATGACCTTCGCTGGTGACTTGACTTTCAACCCCACCACCGATACTCTTATTGGTGCTGATGGCAAGCCCTTCAAGTTCTCCGATCCCACTGGCAATGAGCTTCCTCCCCGCGGCTACGACCCCGGTGAGGAGACTTACCAGGCTCCTCCCAAGGAGAAGGGCGATGTTCAAGTTCAGGTTTCACCCACCTCCAACCGTCTCCAGCTTTTGGAGCCCTTCAAGAAGTGGGATGGCAAGGACATGGAGGACATGCCTATCTTGATCAAGGTCAAGGGCAAGTGCACCACTGATCACATTTCCATGGCCGGTCCCTGGCTCAAGTTCCGTGGTCACTTGGACAACATCTCCAACAACATGTTGATCGGTGCCCTCAACTCTGAAAACAACGCTGTCAACAGCGTCAAGAACATGTTCAATGGTAAATATGACACTGTTCCCGGTGTTGCTCGTGACTATAAGGCTAAGAACCAGCCTTGGATTGTCATTGGTGACGAGAACTATGGTGAGGGTTCCTCTCGCGAGCACGCTGCCTTGGAGGTCCGCCACCTTGGAGGTGCTGCTGTCATTACCAAGTCCTTTGCTCGTATTCACGAGACCAACTGCAAGAAGCAGGGTCTCCTGCCTTTGACCTTCGCCGACCCTGCTGATTATGACAAGATCGCTCCTTCCGACAAAGTTTCTATCCGCGGCTTGACCACCTTCAAGGAGGGTGTTCCTCTCACCTTGCACGTCAAGAAGCAGGATGGCTCCTCTTTGGATATCAAGCTCAACCATACCTTCAATGAGGATCAGATCAAATGGTTCAAGTACGGCTCCGCCTTGAACCAGATGGCTGCCAAGGCCAATGCCCGCGCATAAATTAAGCGTACACGATAACGACAACACTGTTTTTCTTTTTTTTTTTTGCATTTTCTATTTGTTTCGTTGATTGTTCCTTTTTATTTTTCTTTTTGCCATCCTGTAATAATAAATAAATAAATAAAAAAAGGCATTTTATCTCCAATGTACTTGAATATCGCGCTAAATTATACACTGGACAACGCTCTGTGGTATGAAATCTTGCAAATATAGTGATCTGGAGTTGACTTTGAAACAGTGTTGCAAACATTTTGTCATCCATGAAGAAGACAAGATATGCAGTTGCAAAACACATGAAGGATTGACTGGGTCATCCATTTAAAGATTTTTAACACGTTCAATTACGTATTTGAGCTGAACCGTTTTTCAGTACAGAAATTGCACGTGAGTAACCCCTGCAACACGTTCCGCGTCAACCTTTTTTTTTTTTTTTATTTCCCTCTTTTTTTTTCATCTCACTTTCCATCACTCAAATTCTACTTTCCCTATCACTTTAAACTCAAATTATACAATGGCTGATCAATTAACTGAGACTCAATTGGCCGAATTCAAAGGTAAAGATGATGGCTTTATAAAAAAATGGTTGAATCCTCCTTTACATTATTACCTTTTTTTTTTTTTTTTTTTTTTCTTCTTTGAATCTACATGATTGTTCTCAACTCTTTTAGTTTCTAGTGTTTTTCTTTGAGAAAAAGCAAAAAGTTTGAATGTCATAAGTGGCAACAGTACACTAATACTTATTATTTTTACTTTTATTTTTTGTTATCACGCGTCTGTTTCTGTTTCTGTACCTTGTGTATTGTCGTGGATTCAATAGAGGCCTTTTCCCTGTTTGATAAGGATGGCGATGGTACCATCACAACCAAGGAGCTCGGCACAGTCATGCGTTCTTTGGGCCAGAACCCTACCGAGGCTGACCTTCAGGACATGATCAATGAGGTGGATGCTGATGGCAATGGCACAATTGACTTTCCCGAATTCTTGACAATGATGGCCCGCAAGATGGTCGATACTGACTCTGAGGAAGAGATCAAGGAGGCTTTTAAGGTGTTTGATAAGGACGGTAACGGCTATATCTCAGCAGCTGAGCTTCGCCACGTCCTCACCAACCTTGGCGAGCGCCTGTCCGATAGAGAGGTCGATGAGATGATTCAAGAGGCAGACGTCGATGGGTAAGCTTTTTTTTCTTTTTTCTTGGGTGAATCGGGGCTTTTTTTTTTTTTTTTTTTTTTTTTGGCGGTGCTGCTCACTATTTTCACAAAAAGAGTCTCTCTACCTACCTTTATTACTCCCCCTTCAACAATCTCTTTAATATGTGGATTGTGTTTCTTCTGTGTGTCTCTTTTTCTCTTTCACTTTTTTTTATACAACTACTGCTAATGTATTACTCTTTTATTTGAAAACGATCGATGTAATCACGAGGAGGTGATTTAAGAAGTGGGGTACTGGCCATATGACCTTATTTATTCAAGGGCAGAGATGGGGAATAATGACCCTCGAGTTTATTATTGTTATTTTTCGATGCTGACGTCTTTGGGCGGCCAAGGTTGTTTGGTTTTTATTTTTCAGTCGTTCAATCAGCTTACTGTTGGCCTATTACTTGGGATGACATTGTTATCATAATGGATGTTGATGAAAAGTTGGTCTGGACTAACAGGCCCCTGAAAGGATGATATTGAATCAACTTCGCATCAAACTCATATCTTTATTAATTTTCTTTTTCTTTTTCTTTTTCTTTTTAATAGTGATGGTCAAATCAACTATGAAGTAAGTCCGAAAGTGATGGCAATGAGGAGTTGTCTCTTGAAGATCTTTTTTATCTTTTCTATCCTTGCTAACGCTTTCACTTTTCGCATGTAAATAGGAATTCGTCCGCATGATGATGGGCAAGTAAACAGTAGCTCTTCCAGACATACTATCATTTTGAATATTTAAAAAAGCTAAAAAAAAAAAAAAAAAAAAAAAAGTCTCGCTTTGTTTTTGATCAAAATATGGTGTAGAAGAGGGGGTGGTGGAGCTGCAAAATGTTTTTCTACAAGCATTAAATATTGTATGTATTCTTAACAAAGCACCAAAACCAATATGATCCTCGAAGCAAGCTTGTTTTATTTAGTTTCGCTATCCATGTGTCATGTGCCATCATTATGAAAAAGTCTATTTTTTTTTTTGCTTACATCTAAAGAGTGTAACATGTTAAAAAAAAAAAATTCCCCGTGGGCATCTTTCCTTAGTTGTGTAGACCCATGGATGGCACGAGCAATTATACCCCTTACTGTATTGAATCAAAAGAGATCGTCCATCATGGTTTAGAACTTTACCATTGTGTTTTATATATATACTATATCTTTATATGTATATATATATTTATGTATTTCTATAAGGCCAAAAAAAAAAAAAAAAAAAAATAAGCTTTGGTTATCCCATCTGAGACAAAGGACCAAGTTCATAGTCCTAGGCAGAGGACTAGCTCGCGTTTATAAGGAGGGGAAAGGCAAGGCACAAGAAAGACGTCTGTTTTTTTTTTTAAAAAAAAAAAACGATGCTAGTTGGCGATGAATAGAGCAAGGTTAGAGTAACACAGAGGGATTCATGTTATGACGGAGAAATGATAAATGTATACATATATTATACATTCAACAGGTGGAAAGAGATCTCTATCACTGTCAATATCAATATCCGCAGGACTGTATACGGTACATGTATGGTGCATGTACGTGTATCATATTTATATGACCCATGAATGGATTGGGTTTCGTGGGGCCCCGTCTGGCATGGCACCGTAGACTAAAAAATCATATAATCTCAGCAAGTTTAGCTTGCATGTTAACTTATTGGCGAGTTTTACGGTTTGAAAGGATTGATTCTTACTGGGGAGAAATTACAGCGTAAGCTTTATGCGACCAAAAAAAAGAGGAAGAGAAAGAGGAAGAGGAAAAAAAAAAAAAAGTATTCTTATTGTCCTTTATTCTTTTGAGATTGATCAAGAGTTCATAAATGGGGCCAGAGAGAGATGACGTTCATGGTGAAAGCGATTATATAATTAAGAAATTTCTGAGAGCCTTCAGTTTGAGAATGTTCCTAAATGAATCAAAGCAATGGTGAATATCGTGGCTTCTTTTTTTTTTTTTTTTTACATTAAATGTTATCGTAAATAAATGCTCGCGTGCTTAATCAGCGAAATCATAAAAGATATCTAAAGAAGTTTAGAAAGAAGGAGGAGGAGAAGACTGAAAGAACAAAGGAACTGATTCACATGGACAAGAGAAAGAAAAAAAGAGAGAGAATGTCACCATTACTTCTAGAAGGATTTTTTTTTTTTTGGGCTTGCTAGGGTCAATCTCTTAAAGTCTAAGTAAGGTTTTTTTGTTCCGAGTTCTGTTAAACTGATCTCGATGGGAAAAAAAAAAAAAAAAAAAATCTCACGCATAAAAAAAAAAAAAAAGCGTATATTTTATAAGCATAAAAAAGATTATCTCTTGCCTTGCATGTAAAAAAAAAAAAAAAAAAAAAAGTCTACAGTAGTTCAGTTACACAAAGCAGCCTTCGTTTTTTTTGTGTTTATCCCTCATCTCTTTTTTTTTTCTCCTTCCTTTTTTTTCTTCTTCTTTCTTTTTCTTCTTGTTTCCATGGGACCATGGGAGAGGAATAGTAAAGTATTGAAAGAAAAGAAAAGAAAAGAAGGAAAGGTGATTGAGCGTACAATTGTTTGCGAATGTGAAAATGGCGAATGTATGTTGTCATAACGCATTTATCCTATGGCACTTCTGGACCCAAGGGGACGTTCCACCTTTGACTTTTTTTTTTTTTTTTTTTTTTTTTTTTTTCTTCCAAAAGGTGTTGTTGCTGAATTGGTATATCGGATAAAAGGGCAAGTTTGTAGCTGCATGGCCTCGCCCTAATGTTTTTTGCATATGCACCTTTTCTTTTTTTTTTTTTACATTTCAACATGCATGCACCTGGACCCGAATCGGTCTTCATGGCCCATGATGTCACCTTACTCTTTACATTATATGTGATTGTATTGATCCATTTATATAAAAAAAATAAATGTCCTTACTTTTTTTTTTTTTTTTTTTTTTCCTTTCCTAAATGGTTCACGTATAGTTCATATATAAAAATGAAGGAAAGAAAAAAGAATCGAGGCTGGAGACAGTATAAGCAGTATAGATGTTGTAGTGAAGAATAGGGTGCCCAATGAATATTCTCGTTTACGGTTTAGAGGCAAAATGATGTCGATCAACTCGTTCCATTTATGTGCCCGTACATCACTTGTATACATGTTGTATTTATACGTGGTGAAAAGAAGATGAAAGCATAAAGCATAAACCATATGAAGAATAAAAGTGAGACAATTGATTAGATTATGATATTTATATTTATATTAATATATACAATATTATATTGTATAATATATATATATCTATATAATATAATATAATATATAGATTATAGATTTATAGACACACATCCTTTTAGTACGAGATGCTGACAAGTGCCTGCAGAGTGCAAATACACTCACGGAGGTATGGAAGTAGCACAGAAGGAAAAAGTCCCGTCATTTGCCCCACACCAACAATCACACAATCCATGCAAATAAATATATAAAAAGTATTCATTTGTTGATTGCATTCAATTATTCAATTACATGGGTCAATCTTGAACTCCTTTCTTTTTCTTTTTCTTTTTTTTTTTTTTTTTTTTTTTTTTTTTTTCTTTTTTGGGTGACAAGATGCTTTCAGTCTATCAAGCTCTAGCGACGCTTTTACAGAAAGCTTGTGTAACTTTTTTTTTTTTTTTTATTTATTTACTTATTTACTTATTTACTTATTTATTTATTCCTTTCTCCTTTCTTTTTCTTTTTCTTCTCTTTTCCTCTTCTTGTCTTTGACAGAATCTTTTTCCCTTATTGACAATCATTCAGACCCATTCTCTTACACTTGTCAATTAGTCAATCAAACTTTGTCAACAATCGCACAAACACTAAAGACACTAAACAATAGAGCCGCAAACACGATCCAACACCTCTTTTTTTATTTTTCTTTGGCATTGATGTGCCCTTGTATTCCTATATTCTCTGTGCTTTGAACCCGCCTCATCGTACAAGCCTCTCTTTTCTCTTCTCGTCCTTCTTTATCTCTACGCCGCTTTCACACTTCAATAACTGAATCATCTATCCTTCCTATTCTAGCCCTTTTTTTCTTTTCTTTTTTTTTTTATTCCTTCACCTTCCTTTTCCTCCTTCCCTTCTCTCTTTCTTTCTCTTTTTCTTTCTTTTTTAAAATCTTTTTTCAAGGAAAAAAAGAAAGAAAAGCATAGAAATAAAAAAAAAAAGAAAAGAAAAGAGAAATGACCCGAGCAGATAATCTCTGGCATCAACAGCTGGCGCTTGGCCCCAGCTTTATCAACACATTAAGTCCAAGTCAGTATGTTCGCAATGGTAAGATAGAATGAATCATCAGCCTTACATAACAACAACAGTAACAAAAAAACCATGTTCTTTCCTCTCCCTTTCCAATATTCGCCCTCTCTCCACTGTTCATCCAGATCACTCCGATCTGGCGATTCGACCCCACTTTTTGGAACCAATGTCTTTTTTTTTTTTTTTTTTTTTCTCTTTTTTAAAAAAAAAAAAAAAAAAAAAAAAGAAATTTCTTCTCTCTCTTCTCTACAAGTCTTCTTTTCCTTCATTCCTCATCCCTATCTTGTCTATCCAATGTCTTTACTCTCCTCTCCACCTTCTTACACAGGCGTATGTATGTCTACATCTTTTTTTTCTTTTTTTTTTTTTTTTTTTTTTTTCCTGTTTTGTTACCCCGTATTTGATTTTATTTTTGGGTGTTCCTGAATCGTTTTTTTTTTAAAAAAAAAAAAAAAAAAAGATTTCCGTAAATCTAATAGTCGTGTAGTACAGAAAAGTACTATGGAAACTGAGCTAGACCAGGGTGGTGCATGTACATTGGGGTAGTTACACTGTGAAGAGAAAGGGTGATAAACAGAAAGAAAGAGGCATTAATCAGGAGTTAAAAGGAAAGAAAGGAAGAAAGGGGAGATCTTCATCTTTGGGTTTGCAACATGCAAGTACATGTATGTATGCAGAATTTTTTTTTTTTTTTTGTATTCAATCACAAGAACATTGTTATATGCTATACCACGTTTTTTTTTTTTTTTTTTTTTTTTTTATACTTTTGAAAAGCGATCTACAATCCTGCAATTCAGGGGAGAAAGAAAATATAGTATTGGATCTTCAGAGTTTATTCGTTTATTTCCTCAATTTGAGATCTATTGAACATCGCTCCTTTGAGATATGTAGAATAAACGGGAGGATAAACCAGGGAAAAAAAAAAAAAAAAAAAAAAAAAAAAAAAAAAGAAAAGAAAAGAAAAGAAAAGAAAAAGTGTTCAAATAGAGATGATGGGAGGAAAAAAAAAAGGGTTAGCGTCAAGGAATTGTATTTATGTTTGTTATTATATGCTCCAAGTACTTGCATAGTTGCATAGTTGCATAGTTGCAAACTTGCATAGTTGCAAACTTGCATAGTTGCATATAAAGTTCCCCTCTCTCTCTCTCTGACGCCTTTTTTTTTTTTTTTTTTTCCCTCTGTCTTTCTATGGCTCACAAACATCTCTATCCTTGTTTTTTTTCCACAAAACACGCTAAATATGTTCGCGTTATTTTGATCAGAGAGGGCACTAAAATGCTCCTTTTTCATTTTTTATACCGTATCTATGAAAATGAAAATGAAAAAGAGGAAGGTGAAAATGAAAAAATGTTGGATATAGCATATCGGAAAATGAGAGCCGAAGCTAGGACGTTAATAGAACAAGAGTGAAAGATGATGTGGATGCAACCGAGCAAGGAAACATTTGTTATTTTATCTTATTTTATTCCCTACCTTGTGGCTCTCTTTTGTTCATGGATGGGGAGGCTGTTTGTTTCACACACTATCAAAAGGTTTTTTTAGAGGCGAATTTTATCTATTCTTTATTATTTGAATTTGATCCGCATTCTCTGTACTAGTCTGTAAAAAAAAAAAAAAAAAAAAAAAAAAAAAAAGAGAGGAGGTGAAAACAATATGGGGGTTGCAATGCATTAAAATGTCATGTTGTTTACACAGTACTATACATATTATGGATTTCGAATATGGCGCGAAAAAATAATAATAATAATAATAATAAGTCGGGTTAAAAGAGAGAAGGAGTAAAAAAGGGTTAAAGAGATGGCCTCTGACTGTTCGTCTCGTCACTCTGACTCTTTTTTTTCTTTCTCTCCGACATTTGTTATTTCATTGATAAAGAAAAAAAGAAAAAAGAGTGGAGTTGTAAAAAAAAAAAAAAAAAAAAGTTGATTTGTTTTGTCTTTCGTAACATCTGTTTGTGTGTTTGTGTGTGGATGTGTGATTATAATATCATCTGTTTTATAGTAATAATAATAATAATGATAATAATAATAATAACATAATAGTAACAACCAATGTTATAATTATTATTGTTGTTATTATTATTAATATGATATATACGTATGGTTGTAAATAATTAGCATACACATTAGTGTAAACTTGGATATATATATATATAATTACATTGTTATCTGACAGCATGCCCAAAAATATGACCTCGATTGCTCACTTGCGTCTAACTGAGGGAAGAGGAAAAGCGGGGGGAATACAGTAAACAGTTGAGCAACAGAGCAAAGAAAAAGAGTTGTTTGTAGCACACGTTGTACAGCACTTGAACACTTTTTTTTTTTTTTTTTTTTTTTTTTTTTCTTAAACATGTCCCACGCACTCTCTCTCTCTCTTTTTCTCTCTCTCTCTCTTTCTTTCTTTCTTTCTTTCTTTCTTTTTAATCTCTTGCCTTATACATACACTAATCTCACATTGGCTCCAACTTGGTTCCTCTTCTTTGACTCATTCCTTCTTTCACTCACCCACTCACTCTCTCACTCTCTCACTCTCTCACTCTCTCACTCATGTCTTCATTCTTACTGACTTGATTTCTTTTTTTTTTTTTTTTTTTCTTTCTACATTATTTTCTTCATTCCCTTGTCCTTCAACTGACATCCATTCACATTCCCAACCGTCGCACCTTCTCGCCCTATTCCATCAACACTCCTCTGCTTAAACCTATACTCGTCCAATGCTCCTTTCACCCGTAGACGACCCCTTTCCTAAGCAGCCGATCCCTTCCTCAGTCACCTACTCTCGCTTCAGGGCAGTGCTCTTCAACGATCTTTTGGACAATAACCCCGTCAACAGGGCTCGAGCACTTGACAACATCGTTCAGGTCGTCCTCCAATGGGCTCACATCGTCACCGACAACAATGCCCTGACTGATCTTCTCCGTCCTGGATCCTTCTCAGCCGGGAGCGGCATCCATGATAATCTGACCCCGCCCTTTAGCCCCGCAGGTGCAGGCGGTGCCACTTCAATCAAAGGAACACTCTTCCCCGGTAATGCCAACGTATCTGAATTTGAACAGCAACAGTATCAGCACCTCCATAACACCCTCCCCAACATCATGGATAAGCTCACCATCTCCACCCATCCACACCAACGTAATCCTGTTGAGGACACTGTTGTGTCGCCACAAACCCGAACAAGAAAGAACTCGTCCATGTCCATGGTCTCATCCTCATCCATCGCTAGTTCACCTGATCATTCAACTTCTTCCTCCGCCTCAAACGCTGATCTTGTCGGAATCCATCCAACAAACCCCTTTTCATCCTCTCCCCTGAACTCATCCTACCACTTCCAAAATGATCCAGATGTCCACTTCAACCGTCCAATGCCGGATAAGCTCTCGCCTTTGGAAGAACGAGTGGCAGAGGTTGATGAGGCCGCTAGACTTTTGCGCCATCACATCTTGACCATTCTCCGGTTTTCAGTCTGTTGTCCATACAAGGATGTCAAGATCTGTCTTGTTGGTCTCTTGAACGAGCTTGAGGTATTTATTATTATTATACAGCATTTGATGAAACGAAAACAAAAGCAAAAGCCAAAAAAAAAAAAAAAAAGCACGCAGAGAACGGACCTTTTTATTTTTATTATTATTATTATTATTTTGTTCATTTATTGCTGTGTCTGTCGTTTATTTTTATGGTTCATTTGCTCATTCGTGCAAAACGTTCTCTTGCTTACGACAGGCCCTCAACATTCCAATCCCTAAACCAATCCACCCTTCAGCATCGTTTTTTATCGATCCAAAGGATATTTACATGCTTGACAGTCCAGAAAACTCGAGATGCACCTCCCCAACACTCTCACCAAAAGATCGGTCCTCTTCCTCCTCCTCACTTTCAACATTGCCCGTGACCCCGGCATGTCTTCCACCATCACTAGGTTGTATCCCTGATGAGGCAACCAAGCAAATCATGACCCAAACCTTTCTCAACTATGGTCGAACCAGCAACCTTTTCCGCATCTTGGCCTTCTTCCCTTCGTTCTGGGAAAAATTTGAGAGCTCTCAAAACTGCATGATGAACGGACCAGGGCCTATTCCAAAGCCATGGCGGTGCTATGTCGCAATTATGGTAAGCCAGCCAAAATGGTCTTCCATCTCACGTTACATTGATCTGGGATAAAAGTGGATTAAATAGGGTGATAACCCGAGCAATATGGGATAGACATGACACCATTATGATATCGAATTGCAGAGCATGACGAACTAACCGTCCACGCGATTCCATGTTCCGTTGCAACCTTTTTTTTTTTTTTTTTTTTTTTTTTTTCCCACTTTAGGCGGCATCTCAATATAATTGCCAGTACATGGTCTCAATGATGAAGTTGGATTACTTGAGCAGCGGTGGAGACCCTACATGGCTTAATGGTCTCCAATTCACGACTCAAAAGATCAGAAATCTAGCTAAACTGAATGGGTTGATGGCTCATCAACCTTGGTTACTTAAACCTAGGCACATTCAAGAGCTGGTCTGTCGTGAGTCGAACCATAACCCACACAATGTCTGGACCATCAGTGAGCTGGCTCAGGTGATGGTCATTCTCTCGACAGTCCACAGCATAAGTATGTTTGTTGCTGCCTGCGGAATTGTTCCAGAGATTGATATGGTAGGTGGTACCATTGTGGATCTCTCAAATGTCCGAGCAAGAAGGAGCCAGGACGAAAGTATGAGTCCCCTGGCAATGCTTCCTTCTCCTCGATCAGACTCAGATTCAGCTGCAAAGTCCCCTAGTGGCGAGACTATAACCTCCACAGAGCAGACCCAGGATCACGCTACAGGAGACGATATAACGTCAAACTATTTCCACATCACTTTGCCCCCAGCCCCTGCTAGCAAGAAGACTTATGACGAGGCTACATCCAAGATGCATACTGCAGAGTTGATCAAACGACTGATGATGGAGCGTGATTCAGACTGTATTGATGAGGATGTGGAGACTGAGGCGGACGAAATTCAGGATCTAACTGGTCAGAAACTCCCCCCAGGCTTTGAGGAGATTGAGGACAGTAAGTTGCATATTAGATTAAGCTTTCAAATTATGGCACCGTCTTTGCCTTCCGTCGGCTCACATTTATTTTTGAAATGGCTATTTTGCCTTTTTTTTTTTTTTTTTTTTTTTTTTTTAGCCTTCCCGGCACCTGAGCCAAAGATCATTTCACCATCTATTTCTACCCCGCTCGCAGAGACAATGTCTAGCCAGGAACAGCCTGAAAAAAAGTTCCGACCTGTTCAAGAAGATATGAGCCGTTTCTTGGATATGGGATGTCAAATTGAGCCAGCCTTGTTCGACTGCAGGTCCAGCCGATATAAGGTTTATAGGGTGGATCAATTTAGATGGGAAGACGACGCTTCAGCTTTACTCTCGAAATACCTTCCAGAGCTCAGCGAGACTCTGGAGGATGAGTATGCGGAGACGATGAACTTTACAGACCTGAGCTTCTTTGACGAGAATGCAGACAAATACGAGGGTGGTGTCGACACATATATGTTCCGAGAGGCAATTTGGTTCTACACCCTTCGCTTGTGTGGTCTGCTGAATCCGGAGTACAACTATCGCAACCTATCCAGGTTCTTGAACACGACTCTGGCGGCCTATATCCGTAAAGCCTGCCATGGTATCACCATGGTTGAAACTCAGGTCTCTGTGGATGGATCGGATTGTCCCCAGACAACGCAATCTTATCTGTCAGACATCAACAAGATTGATAAGAACGATTTCGATAACATGGGTTTTGAACTACGACCTGAGGAGCGTTGCCACATCAACATTATTGTTATGGAGGCTTGCAAGCAAGCTAAGCTCATGTATGCGTTGCGAGCTCTTGACCGATACGAGCGCAGAGACGAGAATGATGACGAGGAAGAGGACGAAGGAGCCGACGAACGATTCTAATGCCATCGCAATGCCTATCTTTCCCATTTTATTTTTCTTTGTCTTTTGTATTCTTTGATATTGCCATTATTTTTTCTTTGTTTCTTTTCTTTTTTCTTTTTTCTTTTTTCTTTTTTCTTTTTTTGTAATCATGAAAGGCAAAAAAAGCCATTTACGAAAAGCATACATTTGTTGCGTCTTTATGTCACCCCACTCCTTTCTCAAGAGTTTATTGTTCCTTTTTTTCTTTTTTTGCTTTACATGTTCTGCATATGTTACTTTTTTTTTTTTTTTTTTTTTTTTTGCACATCACGCGTTTTACATAGCCCTCTTTGCTTATACCTCAACACGTATCGTTCATGCCAGTCATTTTTCCTCGTTCCCTTTGAACCGCCATTTGCTTTTATATTATATTTTTATCGAGTTGTTTAATAGTAGTCGATAGTCTAGTTAGTAATCATATCTTGTCTTTCCTTTCCTTCTATACCCTTTTGTCGAAAAAGTCATTAGTACAAATCTCATAAAATTAGATAAAAAGAGAAACTCAATTGATGCTACTTGAATTGAGCAAAAAAAAAAAAAAAAAAAAAAAAAAAAAAGACCCTTGTCAAGATATGAGCATTCATTGACCTGTACAGAATTCGAATCGTAGAGCGCGAATATCGCTAAAGGAAGCATTTGAATACATTGATGGCAATGAAAGGGGAATCATCAGTATGATCACCGTTTCGGATGAAATTTCATAAAAAAGATGACAAAAAAAAAAAGAATCATGGATACACAACTTTGCCAATAAGAAATGACCATCTAAAATTACCAGGATGCGCAGATGGCACCGCCCTCTCCTCCTATCCTAAAAATGCCAGAATTAGCATTTCGTATGACTGATGGACATCATGTATTCCACAACAGGGCGTTGGTGCAATATCGTGACATTGGTTGATGAAAAGGATAGAAAAAAAAACTTCCTCGGAACATAGAAGATGCTAATGCCACAATACGATGCTTCTGCTTTTTGTCATGGTCATAGCCTACAGCAATACTTAAATAGTTTGAACATGACGTTCATAGTCCAAAGAAGTATCAATAGAATACTTTGGTTGCGAGAAGTAACAGTAATCAACTCGGTCATAGCCATGGCAGAATGAGGGATAAGGATAACAATGCCCACGGATACATGGGCAAAAAAAAAAAAAAAAAAAAAAAAGGAGGTCTAGAAAATGTCGTGACAGTTTGCATCGCCACTTCGTGTCTTTAATTTTTTTTTTTTTTAGAACGGGGAGGGCTGAGGTTGGAAGCATGCGATCTTTGTCCCAACCAAATTCTCTCGACATCGCAGTCGTATTACACTGATGAATATAAACAACTGCTGTGTTTCCAAGAGCCTTTTTTTTCCTTTCGCCTTGGCAAGCACATGAAGAAGTAGACCTTTCCTCTTCTACTTTTTTCGCCTCCTTTTCAACTCCTTCTCTCTCTCTCCTCTCCCTTTTATGTGTCTTGTCCTATCCTGTTTATTAAAATTGTCTTGTTCAGCTCAACACAAAGAATTCAGCACTTGTGTTGTTGCATGACTCTTTCCTCATCCCATCTCCTAAGCACATCGTTTTACGAACATCAGCTCATTCAACTCACCTTTCTCACACACGCACGCACACATACAGAAAAAATCATATTGAGCCAAGAGGCAAACTATCCTTACTAATCACCACTATCACGCTAAATTACCAGTAACACCAGCATCATGCTGTCAATATTCAGGCCAAGGCGGTTCCTACTGTGTGGTGTCCCCGTCACCTATGAACTCGCACTTCGTCTAGTTCTTCTCTGCATCACAGTTGGGCTGTTGACTATTGCATCAATCCCCAAGGTGCGCTCCATTTTAGACCAAGTCAACGTGGTCTCTGTCAGTATGGTGAACACTTCTCGGATTCCTCCTCCGAACACTATCGTATGTGGTAGTCGATTAGAAACCGTCGATGTTGAGATGTACGACACCGGAATAGCCCATCCTAATGGTACTTTTGGACCTCCTACCGTCAAACCTGTTCCACCTGGTAAGTACTCATGCTACAGTAAAAAAGGCGCCACCCAATTGAGTTTCCTGAGGGGAAAAAAAAAAATAAAAAAAATAAAAAAAAAAAAAAACTATAAACTATAAACTTTATTCTCCACAAGCGTACTTACTATTTTTATATTTTTTGTGGATTTGTAATTACAAAAGAAATGGTAGAGATCAGAAACGCAACTGAGCTTGATCTACGAGCTCAAGTTGATTGGCCCAAGGAAGGAAAATGCGTTCTTTTTCGGCCTCAAGGCCTTTACTTCGCAAGGCATAGCGAAGAAAACCCGGTAAGATAGGAGTGAATAGATATCTTTTTTGTGGCTCGATTATGTCAATGCATTCTTACTCATAATACTTTCTTTTCTATATTGGTCCTTTACAGCAAGCAATGAGTCGCATTATATTTGTGGTTCAAGCTAATGAAACCTTTACGGGAAATGACCCGCGTGGTCTTTCTATCGCTTTCTGGGTAAATAACCATCTGTCATCCGCAATATTGTTTTATTATTTATAGGGATATATATCTATATACGATACATCTGCTGACTCACTAACTTCTTAACTTCAACTCTAGAACGACGATGAAATTTTTCAAGAGAAAGAACCCATGTGGACTAACATTCGTAAGTATAGAAATATACCACGCCCTTCATAGGACTTATGCAAAGTGACCAATAGCTCATTTTGTCTTTGCAATATACTTTCTACACGCCTTTTTGGCACATCGTGTTTATTTCTTGATAGCTTCTATCAATACTCTTACATTCGTTTACACCGAGTATATCAAGCTAAACAAAAAAGACAAGCCCGAAACCCAATACACTCTTCAAAAGGTAAACGAAGGCTTTCTTTTTTGCGCACGTTTATAAAAAGAAGAGCGCCTTTTCTCTGCGAGCAATTTCCTAACATTTCATTTACATTAATAAATAGCAAAACCTCCTTCCCTCTTTCAAATTCAGTAACCGGGTTATTGGACGATTCATCATCTCCCCAGATAACTTTGTTGTCACGAGATACATTGATAAAGCCAGTTATACATGGGTTGATCTTGCGGGTGCTGTTGGAGGGTATGCTTTTATTATTATTGAGCGGTTTGCTAGGTGCGAAGGGGGGTTTTTTTTTTTTACTTATATTGATACTGACTTGCGCGTTCTGCACGCGTCGCTTCTTCCATATCCCATTATTTCCCAATAATTTAGTATGGCCTCCATTGCTCTCGCCGTATGGATCTTTTTGTTTGGCAGCGGCAAGTATAAAAGCTGGGGTGTGATGCAACGATACATCTTGCGGACTTCTCCCAACTCACGCCACCACTACAAAAGAGATGAAATGCCCAAAAGCACTTACGAGACGGCTAAAGACTTTTTTAAGAAGCAGCTTTCAAAGATGGATAGCAGTGCAGGCGCAGAGCTAGACAGTATGCCCTTACATGGGTCAACGATGCAGAACCCTCGACGCCTTTCTCAGCGTTACAGTACTATTATGAACATGAATACAGCTGCAAATGCTGCTGTAGCTGTTGGGAGCTATGGCAATGGTAGTGGTAGAGGCAATGGTGGAACAGCATATACGGCGGTAAATAATGCCACACATTTGGGTATTGGTGATGATCTGGATCCTGGTATGCGCAGATACTCTATGGAATCCTCAGGACCTACCAATTATTACTTTACGGAACATGGAGCACCAAGGACACAATCGCTGCAACCACTGGCGCCCATCAACGAAGATGAAGATGAAACAGAGGCGCAAGTGAGTGAATTAATTCGACTGATTGATTTGCGCATAGATGAGCGCATGTGGAGCTTGGAGAGAACTCTAGCGAGGTATTATTTGGATGGATTTCGTCTTCGGGATTACTCCGTTCCACAGTATCACCTACAGTTGAATGAAGGACAGGTGCCTGGAGGAAATGGAGAACTTGCACCAAAGTATGAGCAAGGGCGTACTGATTCTGAAATGGAGGTCTTGCATAGCAGCAGCTGTAGCGACGATAGAAGCAACCAAGGTTTATACTCGCCATCATCCAGCCCATCATCTTCACCACCTATTCCTCCACGGCCTTCAATGGCACACAACTATCAACGTTTTGGACAGACATCGTTGCCCACCGCTGTTTCAGACGCTGGTGCCCAGCCTAGGATCACAACAGTTGCGCCAAGCAAGGAAGAAGTCATTGCTATTGAAAATACATCACCATCATCCCACCCTAGCCAGAATGGCCGCAGAAATTTGGGAGAGTCTGAGCTTCCATTACGTAAAGACATGCGGGGTACGATCCGTAAAGCTGTGGAGCGGTTACAGAATGAGTGGCCTCAGAGTCGAGCTGCAATGCCAGTACCAGAGCCTTATGTCCCAAGGACACAATACCAAAGTAAAAGTGCCTCGAACAACAACAGTAGTAATAGTAATTAATCATAATATCAGAAGTGAAAGAAACGGGGGAGATAGGATAGGAAGGAGCGATCTCGGCTACACTGGCATCTCTCCCAGGCACGAAATTCTAGGACAACTTAGAAATGTATATACTTGCTCACATCCCTTTGGGATCTCTCATTAAAAGTTAGATTGTTTTTCAAGCTAATGCTTTATGTTTATTATTATTATTATTTTTTTTCATTGCCATACATAAAAAGCTGGATCCATCGGCTGTCAAAAAGTAGTTTTGTTTTTTCTTTTCTGATAATAACGAATATCCTCGAGATTGTGGGGACTATTAGTACTACTCTATTGATTGTTGTTCAATTGCAAGTAAAGTGGTTTCTATATACATATAATAATTAGTCTTGGCTACATCATCCACAGTGCATCCCTACTCATAACCCACGTCAACATGCGTGATCCCTACGGAGGCTGTGGCGAGAGATCCTGCTTCTTATTCGGCCTGTTGCGCGCGAAAGTCATCTTCTAACCGCAGTCCTTAACCATAGAAAAAAAATAAAATAAAATAAAAAAAAAAAAAAAAAAAAAAAAGACATTCTCCAAGTCGTTCCTTTCCAATTACTGTGCGCTAACTCTCTGTTTTACTCTTTGGCAAGCTACCATCCTAATCGATTTCACCTCAACTGCTCGTCATTTACCTCAGGGGGCAGATCCTCTCCACTCCTGACACTTTTTTTTTTTTTTTTTTTTTTATTCACAGAGACGTGCATATCTCTAGGGTGCACACACCACACCCATGGGTATTTATTCATTTTCTAGTAGAGGGCCTTATACCAGGTAACGACGTATCTATCTATAAGATGGCAAAGGTTCGTTCTAAAAACTTCATATATATCAAAGATTTATCGCGTCTATGTGTGGCGCGTTATTGCCACTAATTTCTATTACTAATCTTTACTTTAATTTTTTTCTAGCTAGGCCATCATAATATTGTATACTGTGAAATATGCAACAGAGCGCGATGAGTATCGCAGCTCCCACGGCGCTGCCACTTCCAACAGTAATAATTCCAGACTCCTCCCTACTCTAGACTCACCTCCGCTTATTAATATAAAGCTAGAATCATGTAGTCTGTAGGATACACGTTACTGCTTGTAGATGAAATAGAGGCTCCGTGCAAATAACTTCATCCTTTTTTTCTAGCTAGGCCATCATAAAATTGCAACAGAGCGTGATGAGTATCGCAGCTCCCAGGGCGCTGCAACTTCCAACAGTAATAATTCCAGACTCCCCCCTTCACTCTAGACTCATCTTCGCATATTTCCTTCGAAATAAAAAGCTAGAATCATGTAATCTGAAGATACACGTCGCCGCTTGTAGATGAAGGTGAAATAAGGACCCCGTGCAAATAACTTCATCCAAAAAAAAAAGTAACGAGAACACACCCGAAATTTAAAAACATATCCGAAAACCCGGATTTGAACCAGGGACCTAGAGATGACAGACAAACTACAGTCTCCCGCTCTACCAACTGAGCTATTTTCGGAAGTCTTGATATTGTGATCACAGACAAATATAATATTTACAACTGTGAAGCCCTTAACCGCTTACTTGCGTGCTTCAAGTAATTTATACTGTTTGAATCTGAAGATCACGTGTAGTTCCGAAAATAGCTCAGTTGGTAGAGCGGGAGACTGTAGTTTGTCTGTCATCTCTAGGTCCCTGGTTCAAATCCGGGTTTTCGGATAATCTTTTCTTCTTTTGGACGAGTGGAGTTATTTGCATGGAAGCTCCTTATTAATTTTTTTTTTTGGATTAATCTATTTGGCAACCTAGCTGCCAAATATGATCAGTTTTGAAAACTCTCCTTGGTAGCCCAGCTGCCAAATAACACCCTCATAAAAAAAGCATTTGTATGGTCTCGTACACACTGCTCCTCCTGTGGAAATAAAAAGAATAAATTATAACGGGGTGTTTCTTTATGGACATGTTGATACCTTGGTGCTGTAAGCAAAGTCACTCATTTCAAACCCAATAGTTGTCACTCCATCCGAAGCCGCTACCAGGCATCGAAGCGCAACTTATTCATATGGGTTTTACTCTTTCTGACAAACACTAATATTCGTAATTATATGGTGAGTGCAACAAGGCGTAGTGTGCGGCCGATCAACCGTTTCAAATTAGTTTTGCAAAACACTATTTGGCAGCCCAGCTGCCATCTAAGTGTATGAAAGTTAGGTGGCTGCCCCAAAAAATAGGCTGCCAAATAAAAAAAAACTGCGAATACTGCGACAGTAAATACAAAGTGAGTGAGTCGGCCATTGCCGGCGACTATACTTGCGAAAATCGAGCCCGAGGTCGATGTGGTTTTTTTCCATAAGTCATAGGACTGAGAAGGTGTAGCAGGGGTCTGTCGTACTCCTTCATGATCAATCATGATTGTGCAGTTGCCTATTGATGCAGAACTCAGAAGTTGTATGTAGAGACTATCTTTGTGTAAATTGATGAAGTATTCATTCCAAAGCAGTGGTTTCAGGAATGGTGGTATAATCAAGGAGGAAAAGAAGATTGGATCAGAACCTTTCTTGACTGTCCCCCACATGTCGCGCAGCGAGCCAGGCGGATACTCAGCGAATTGACGCAAACTTTCAAGAGACAGTTCGTAGGTTGTTCGTTCTTAATATACCCACAGGCAACGCTGACAAACAGAAAAGAGACGCTTTGGGGAGATTACTAGGATGGCTAAAGCATCGGTAAACGGTACAAAAAACGATCTAGCTTTCTTTCGTACTGTAATGAAGACATACAAGAGGGCAGTCCAGCAAAAGCGGAAAACAAATGAGTCACGATGATGGGCCCTTTGGCAATATAAAAGGCCCACATGTCACTAATGCCAAGAGGGCAGTCTAAGTGACGTGGGATCAAGAGTAATATGGGGTATCCATCGTCAGCCTCGAAAAGACTCTGGGCAGAATAAGACGCGATGAGTTCTTACCATAGGATCTTTAAAAAGAAAAAGAAACATTTCATGACAAGAAAACAATGTTACGGTAGAGGTGACTAAAAAAAGTAAAGGCAAATTAGAAGGACAATCCTACGATACGATATGTTTTGCGCTAATGTGGTCTTTCAGCAAATAGCAAAGAGCATTGAAGCAGTGATATCCTACCATGCCATGTTCTCTCCTTTTTTGTGCTCATTGTCGCAGTCGATGCTTTCAGGCACAAAAACGGATTTTTAGTGGGAATCGCAAATAAAAAAAATAAAAATAAAAATAAAAAAAAAAAAATCGCAATGTGGTGAAAGCAGCTTCATGGGGGTCGAGTTGCTTACCGAGATCAAGGCAATTTGTCCTAAAAAACAAATGGAAATAGACCCTTTCATACATTAAAATAAGCCGCAGTAGAGAACTCTTTAATTTTATTAGTTGAGGAAAGCCTTTTTTTTTTTTTTTTTTTTTGATGACAAGGAAAAAAAAAATGAAAGCCTTGGTTGTTTCTTGTCAGGCAGGACTTTGTTCACATGGGTACTTGCACAGCATCTACCAGAGTCAATAGAACGGCGTGAATTTATGACAAATGATGACATCAAAGGCGACGATGGTCATGTCAGTTCACAGGCAACAGAAGCCACCAATCCTTGATGGTTGCCACTCCACATTTGACAAAAAGTGAAGCGAGGAATAGATTGTTGTAGATTCTGTAAATTGGGTTTTTTTCATTTTCTTTGTAACCTTATTTCGACCATGCCATGTTATAAATGGATGATAAATAGATCAGCATTGCCCAAATCATTTTCAGAGTTTAAAAAAAAAGAAATTGGTTAGCGCACAGGAAAGGTAGAAAAGAGTTGTTGTCGCTGTACACTAGTCCCCAGTTCCCGTATTCAACTTGCAGTCGTCCGCTGAAGACAGCTGTGCTATCAAAGCAGAAAGAATGAGCGTTGATGGTCTGGTTGTAACTGAAAGTGTATGTGTGTGCTGTGAGAGAGCAAATGAAAGGGTTCCTTGTTTGACAAGTCAGTCACACGTTTTTTTTGTATAAATATCTCTCTTTTTCACACACATACACACTCAACTCTCTTTTCTTTTTACATTTCATTTGTTAAAGAATATTCACATAAATACTCTCTATTCATATCTCTTTATTACTCATTATTTTTATTTCTTGAATCGTTTTCAATTGAATAAACAGCAACCTGCATACTGCGCCATTCATTACCTATAGTCATTCTCTTTTATTATTTTTTTTTTTTTTAAAAAAAAGTTCTTGTCTCCGTAATCAGTTCATCCTTTAATAGCACCCACTCATCAGCACGACTCAGCAGCGAGTCAAGTATCGATCCACAAATATAAGGTACAACTGCATGTAATAAGCATAACAACAGCATTTCCGGGATGTGATGTCACCAACTTTGCCACCAGTTTACATCATTGTGCAGTTTTTTTTTTTTTTTTTTTTTCTTTTTTTTTTCTTTCATATGTTACCGAGACAAAATATTTGGAAGCATCAAGACGCGTGTCATTAAAAACAAAAATAAAAAAAATCAAACTTTTGTTTAGTTCTTTTGGCACTTCCATAGCATCTGTCGCCTCTATCAAAAGGGTCGTTATTGACCTATTGACCTATTGTTTGGATTTATATTTATCACAAGGCTCATACTCCTGCAACACACTATATCAGAACAGCTGTAGCAATGAGCGGCGAGGGCCTTATTCTGGCTGAGGGAGCCAAGACTCCACCACGTAAAACTAAAACCAAATCACACAGTAAGTTCTTTTACATCTTTTTATTTCCTTTCATGATGTTCATAATAGAAAATGTATCGTTCGATACCATTTAGTTATCCAGTATTTCAATGCTCATCCATAGAGTGCTCATCTTTTTTATTTATTAATTCTCTTTTCGGTGATTATTAAAATGGCTTGGGCATAGATGCACCCGATTCTGCTGGCACTCCAGTCCAACAGCGTCGCAGTGATAGAATTCGTAAGAAAATGGCCGAAATTGTTAAAGATGGTAAGTATTTTATTTATATATATATATACACTGAAAAAATCACGATAAAAAAAAATCTGACATTGATGTTTTTTTTTTTTTTTTTTTTTTTGGTAAAGCGGGAGAGACAATCACAACCCCACGAGGATCTTACATTCACTCCAAGTTCCCATCACATATGGAATTCCTCGGTAACTCTGCATCTCCGAGACGAGTTGAATTGGACCAATTCAAGAGAAGGCTTCAGTTTAAGAGCGGTGCGCGGAGCAATCTAATGCTGACAGACGCATATAAGAACTTTGCAAGGGATGTTAAAGTTAAGGAGTTTCAGGAGGATCAGCGAGACAAACGTAATAATGCCCATTTGAAAAGCCGTGGTTGTAAGTTATCTATTTTTTTTTTTTTTTTTTTTTGGTGAGTGGAGGATAAGTGGGCATTAACTGTATATTTAATCTCATTTTGTTAATGATAATAATATTATTCCAAAAGTGTCCTTGGCTGCTGTCTCCAAAACCCGTCAAACCAGCGTAACCGCAGCACAAAAGGAAGGCGAGCCACCCAAGGTACAATTTGTTCCGCGCCATAATTTGCGACCACGTGTGAAACAGGTTTCTCTAGAAGAGTCGAATTCAGACGTTGTTTTGCATGACGGTACCCTACCCAAAACCACCCTGGAAAGACGCAGGAAACAATATAAACAAATCAAGTCCCATACAGCCTTAAATTTTACGAGTTGGAAAGAGCGGGACGAACAATGGAGAGCCAAAAGATTGGCGAGCTATCAATCTTCATCCAAGACTGCCAGAGAGACCGTCCTGTTCAAGAAACGGAATTGTAAGCAGCTTTAAAAGACGCAAATAACATAGGAAGTTGGATATTTTCAAACTGGAGAATTGATTATTCTAACCATCTATTTTAAATTTAGTGAACATTTGCGGTTGGGGAAATCCACAAAAAAACCTTGGCAATTATCTTAGTATTTGTTGGGATTATAATTCAGACCTAGATGCAGACAAAGATCAGACACTCCCAGAACGTGTTCCATGCATTCTTCAACGTACCAATACAGCAGGAGCAGTTATTGAATCCGGCATGATTTATCATCCGCAGATTATTGTCAACGAAGAAAAGGATCACTTGAACGGATACTGTTTCACAATCCAGTCAGAACTTGCCTTGAAATTTGAATCAGCACAGCGAGTCTTGTTTCAACAGGCGAGCGATCTCATCCAAGCCTCCTTCTTTCAATACAATATGGACCTGTCTTTGGATTCAAGTCTTGATGATGGATTTACCGTTGATATTTTTGTGTCGTCGGCTCCTTCCCAGAATTTAGGTGACATCACAGTCCGAGGGGTGACGCAGTTCATCTTTATGAAGTCGTACATTTATGTCGACAAGATTTGTGTGGCACAGAAGTATCATAAAATGGGAATCGGGGCTTTTATGATGGAAAGGATCTACAAAATCGCCCGAAAGCGGAACAAGGACATTCTTTTGTACGCACTTGGCCCTGTTATAGGTGCATACAAGAAATGGGGTTTCGAATATTGTAAAGAGTGGCCGCCGATCCCCAAGGACATTGGCGTGATCATGCGGAAGCGTATTCGCACGGAAGGAGTTAAAGACGAATATGTCGGCTTGGAGTGGGATGGTACAGGATTCTCTTAAGTCACAGCGGTCCGGGCCAACGATACCCATCTTTTATTATAGCCCTTGTTTTTTGTCTTGTTTTCGCCATGTATTGCTTATTTGTTTATTTGCTTATTTTTGCTTTGTATCATTATCATTATCATCATTATCATCATCATTATCAATGGCATTAATTACTCAGTGTATTCTAATAAAATTTGCGGGGCAAGACCGATTTTTTTTAAAGTGGCTGTGCGTTCTTTTTTTGCAATGATTTCTGAGTACGTCGAGCTAGGCCCTCAACACCCTTTTATTTTATTTTATTTTTTTGTATTAAAAAAAAAAAAAAAAAAAGCTTCTTTCAACATCAACAGCACTCATAGTTGACTCAGCACTTATTTACACTTCATCTAATCCATTGTTTAGTTTCATTCAAGTCATTGAGAGGGAATCCACTGATCTTACGGATGAGGCATGTCCATGAACACACAGAGAATGGAAAAAGACGCTTCTGATAAACTAGTCCATGGGACCAGTATTGATTACCAGGAACGTAGGAAGCGTCTGCGACTATTACCACCAAGTCCACCTGCTGCACTTAATCCATTTAATGCACCGACTGTGAATGCTCTAGAAGGGATGTTTGAGCGCGTCATGACTATCGCGAACGCGTCTACTCAGCCCTTATCGTCGTCTTTATCGTCATCCTTGGGTAGTAATAATAGGAGTGATGGTAGTAAAAGGCTTTTATCAAAGAACAATGAGGAGAAAAGCAGTAATATACCACAAGAACAAGATACTATTGCCTCATCGCATCCACAGCTAAAGTATCAAAAACCAGCCACGGCCACAACTTACACTGATGATCATCACAAGCGCATTCCACCCTTCTCGATATGGCCACTGATCTCCAAAGCAGCAATAGCAAAAACAGCATCTGAGTCTGCAGCATCAGTCAATTATCGATACATGTTGCCCCCCTCTGACGTCAATGTGCCGGTAGCAACAACAGGGAGTAACTCAGAGACTCATCAGCAAAACTCTAGGGCACCTGCTCTAATTGCTCAGCAGCAGGTCTCAGCCTCAATAGTATTTGCTCAACCTTCCGATCCATTTGGCAAAGAAATGCAAACTGGAGGTAATTTATTCTTAAAGTTGACTTGTTTTGAAAAATCGTCAATAAGCAATTTCGAGATACTTGACGCTCATTCCTTTTTTGTTCTTTAAAACTCAGCAGTGAACAATGAATCTGAGAGTGATGATGATGTCGTGGAGCTTTTGTCATCAGATGATGAAGAAAATGTCGTAGAGGAGGCTGAAGAGGAATTTGAAGTAGAGGACGACGATGGCGAGGAATTTACAATAGAAGGCGACGATCAAGAAGAAGATGATGGAGAAGACGGAGAGGAGAGCAATGAAGATCAATATGATGAAGAGGAAGAGGAAGAGGAAGAGGAAGATAAGGGGGAACAAAACAATTTTGATACAGGTAACACCATTAGAGGTGGATATCCCTATCGTTCTGTAACAGCAGCAACAGCTGGTATCGTATCGTTAGCTGATAGTGATGAAGAGCAAGACTATAAAGACGACAAGGAAGAGCGAGCTTTAGCTCAGCCATCACATGAGACCAGTTATTTCGAAAATGCAGAGCAGAATCGCGATGATGATGACGATGATGATGAAGAGCGGCAGGGAGATGAAGATAGGGAAGAAGAAATTGATGAAAATGAAGAGGATGGTGATCAGGAGGAATGCAAAGAGGTACGGAGAGAGTATACACGAAGCCGTTGGCAGGAACAAGGGCGAGGCGCGGGATTCTCCAGTCAAGAAGATGATGAATTACAAGAGCAGTACCAGGACGATGAAGCCGTTCAAGGAATTGATACAGATGTGTGCATAGAATACGAAGGTGAAGATGCAGGTGAAGGCGAGGATGAAGATGAAGGTGAAGATGAAGGTGAAGATGAAGGTGAAGATGAAGGTGAAGATGAGGGTGAAGATGAAAGTGAAGAAGAAGACGAGGAGGGTGAGGGCACTCAGAATCAAATTTTTGGAGCTGTGCCAAGATCATTGGAGCCGTTGACAGACTATCATTCACCTGATGACTACGAATCACCATCAGCTTCTCCCGAGCCTGCTAGCGATGGTGTCGTGCTTGTACTGGAGAGCGAGGATGATGGTACAAAGGATCGGCCTGGACTCGAGCATTCAACTGATGACGAAGATGAGGGGCAGCACGATGGAGGAGTTGAAAGTGTTCAAGAGGAGGGTGACTATGAGCCACAAGGCGATGAAGTTGTGGAAGAACATGACGACCACGCTATTGAGCTTGATCCTGGGGTGCATAAAGGAGACAACGAAGGCAATTCCTTACAATATGGCAGACTCCCTGAGGAGCATTTTAATGAGCTTATGGATGAAGATCAGCATAGCAAATCTATAGAGCCTATTTCTTCGGACCCTGTGCTGGAGGATGCAAAAGCCGATGCTGCCATAAGCTACGGGCTTGAACAAATTGCTAGTAATGTTGAAAGGTCTGTGGTCTTCGAAAAAGCCGTAGTTGCTCAAGAAAGTGTGATGGAAGTAGAAATGTCCAGCATAGCAGGATCTTCTCGAGACCAGGCAGATGGAAATAATGATTTGCAGAACTCACAGTTTCAGGATCTCCATGTCTCTCCGCTACTCCCAAGCTTTATCGCTGAGGACATTGTAGGGACCGAAGTGGACCTCATCCCGGTGCCCATAGACATAGCCTTGCCTTTGGTGGATATTGGCCCTTCAATATCTACTAAGGAATTGCATATTTCTGCAGATGTTATGCCGGATGAACCGTCGCAAGGTTCCGCAGCCAATACCACTATGACAAACACACCTCCAACTCAACATGCTACGGACATTCAAGAGCCAGAAACCATCGCGTTAGGCTCCATGTCAGCGTCGGGATCCAATGAGCAGGGCGTTCAGCAAGGTATTCCAAAAACGCCAGCACAGGAATCTGCACCATCACCAATAAGGTCTGAATCTGGACACGGTGGATCCTTACTTGACCAATTACGAGCGGTTGCTCGTGAAGAAAGGATTTCATTGCCACAAGAAGATGATCAACCGCATGATATAGCAGATGATGGTATCCTCCCTCAGGCATTTCCTCTTCTATCCGGGAGTATAGGTCAGTTTAGCAAAGCAGGATCACCCCTACATCTCTCATCAACTACAGAGGTAGGAGAAGAAGCGATAACAGTAGCTGAGGAAAACGATTCTGTTTCGCTCTCACCGACTCTACCCCGTCGTACAAGACCAGTAAGACAGAGCACGATTGCACAAACAGTTCGTGAAGGCAAGGCATTTCTGGACAAGGCCGAGGCACGGCAGAGCCCTAACAGCAAAGTCTTGCAACAATTGCAACAGTCAGAATTAGCGACAGCCATACCAGAAAGTACAGAGCCCATGGATGATGTACCACCATCACCATCATCATCCGTAGCAACGTCAGAAGCAGGGGCTTCAAATTCACATTCGAGACACAGAGGCGAAGTCAGGCTTTTGGTCCAGGAGGCAAGAGCGTTTTGCAGTGGTATTCCTGGACCCTCTCGTATTGGATCAAATCCCGCAGCCTCAGCAACAATCCATACAGTATCAGGGTCCTCTCCGTCATCATCTCCATCGCGTCGATCCTTGACAGTAGATAGCCTGAATACGTTGTCTTCAAGGGCTCAGAGTCAAGGATCGTCGCCTTCAAAAGGATCTCGCTCTCGTGTGAGTTTGGGTGGTAGAAGCGACTCTTATACCAGTGGTAGCGGCAGCATTGGCGGCGATGGGGATGTTGATAATCAACACCCATCATCCTCTGGGTCGATATCAGCTACAGGATATACACAGAGCCTTGGAGTTGTAGATTTGGCAGCAGAGAATGTCATTCAAAGTACGGTCGTCGGTAGCCATGCCTTAAGACCATTTGTTACATCACCCTCACCTGGTCATCAAAACCTCGGGGCCAGCAGTCAAAGTCAGAGCGGTAGATCTCGATCGAACAGCCAGGAGCCACATCCAGCTTCATCATCTGGAGGAGTGTTTTCAGCGCAAGAACAACATGGCCCTGTATCTTTGTTATTTTCATTCGGTCAGGGACACAGCAGCAATCGTTCGCCCGGGCCATTTGGTTCCTCTCCGAGCGTTGGATTCGGATTTGGGACGTCATTTGTCACCGCACCGAAGGAACAATCTAGCACGATATCATCTCCTTCTTCTATGAAACAAAGTGAAACCATAGCTGCGCCCTCAGCCCAGAACAATAGGCTTATTATGGGAAATAACGATCATATAGAAGAAGAAAGCAGTGACGAGACCAAAAGAGACGATGCAAACGATGCTGAAGAGGGAAGTGACGATGAGAAGGAGCAGGACGATCGCGAGGATGAGGGGAACGATAATAATGATGATCAAGCTCAAGATCGAGACGATGAAAATGAATCCACTTCAATATCTTCAAGCTTTGCACAGGGTGACGGAGATTCCGCGCCCATCCATGGAAGCAGGCAAAAAAGAGGTATTTCAAAGACTCGATCGAAGAAAAGGAGACGGCGAGAAACCATCAAATTGCCAAAGCCAACAGCGTAGTAATGTCAGTAATAAGATCGACTGTTTGCCTCCTCTCTCTTTCTTACTGGACGTTGTCACAGACAATGCCAAAATATTTTTGCTTTATTAGTTGAATATATTTATGTCACTTTAATGTTATTACAAGCTATATTACGGCATAATGCATTAGTAGTGCTCGCCTTAGAATGCTGTTGTCGAGTTGAACGAACCAGAGGATGTATTGGCAGAACGTCTCCACTCTTTGACTGCATCACTCAATCTTGCTCGTTTCTCGTCCAATCCTGGATGGATAAATTTGGGGGTAGTGGGTGAAGGTGATGTAGAGGATGTTTGTGACGAGGATGAAAATGAAGTGGAGAGAGACAGTGTCCTTCCAGAAGACCAAGTGGTTGTGAGTTTGGGAAGCGTCTTGGGTTGGTCATGGTTTTGGCTATTCTTTTTGCGCAAGACCGAGTTCAAGAAGAAGTCATCGTCACAATCATCGTCAATAATGTAAGGAGAGCTCGGTTCTTGGTTGACATTCTGATCCTCACATCTGCTGTTTTTAAGGTTATCTTGGGCACAATTTGGCTCAATACCCACATCTACGCCCTCATCGATTTCAACCAGTTCATCAAATGAAACTTCCAATTTGGCGGGACTAGTAGGGCTAGCAGGGCTGAGAGGGGTTGTTAATGGGGTGGACTTGGATGTAGAAGAGGAATAGGATGTCTTACGGGATGACAGGCTTGGTGAAGTCATGCTGAAACTGGATGCAGCAAGGGCACTTGCTAGAATTGTAGTATTAGCTTTCACAGACGTCGTACTTGAGGCAGAGGTAGAGGAAGGGGTGGTTGATGGTGTTGTCAGTCCTGATTCTGAAGGCGTGTCATTTTCCATTTTGCTGTCCTTTCCAAGAGCGTCTAACCAATCTTTCTCTGATTCAAGTATTGAGTCTGGGAGTGGGAGCGATGGCGGTGCTTTCTTCTCTTGCACGGCGGGTAAAGTTGAGAGTGCGGCACTTTTCTTAGTAGCAACCATTGGGCTCGATGCGCCTCCTGCAAAAGATGCAGAGCGACTTGGACGCATTGGAGTTGTTGGCGAAGCAGCAGAGAGTGGGGATGATGATACAGGGAAGGCCGATTTAGAAGAAGACGACCCGCCAGCGGGACCCAAAGAAGATGTCTGTAAAAACCTTGGCACCAGTTTTCCAAATAGTTTGGAAGACCTCTTGGAGCTCTTGCTTGCAGTAACAGTGGCCGGTGGAAGGACCATATCAGGGGACATGGAGACTGGGCTTTGTGAGATGGATTCGCTGCCTGTGGTGTTGCCGCTGCTGTTACCGCTGCCAGTAGAGACTGAGGTGTCCTTACCACTAACATTGCTCTGAGTAGAGCGAGTATCTTCCTGATTGTCGATGCTTTCACTATGGTTGTTGCGGCGCACATAATCCGACGCGGGTCCAGATAAGGAAGCTGCGCTCGGTGCAGCTGACGGACTGGGACTGGCCCGGTTCTATCGTAATTTCAAAATTTCAAACAAAGAAAAAGAATTACAGTCAGCGAATCACATCGCAACAAGAATCCAGGAACAACTTTTTTTTTTTTTTTTTTTTTTTTTTTAACTATCCCCGCAAAAAATGTTTATAATATTCATGCAAAGGCAAAAGGAAAAGTAAAAAAAGCCTCCCTCAAAATAAACAATAACTAAGCTGCATCATACTTACTAATTGTGTAGATAGCGGCCGAGGGGTTGCCACGGGTGAAGGGACAATTGGCATAGACTCGGCTCTTGCTCTTTGCGTAATTGGTGAATTTTGAGAGGTCTGCAGCAAATCAGCAGTAGCAGCAGAAGTAGTAACAGATGCATACTGAGATGTAGACTCTGACGGTGATGAGGACCCTGCTGTAGCCGGGATAGGCTTAGAAATGTTTGTGGAGGACGATACGGATTGGGCCACTGAGATGGGTGGAGATGCAGAAATTAGCTGATCACTGTCACGAAGCGCTTTTAAAATATCTAGGACGAGTCGTCCACTTCTTTCGGTACCGTTTTCACTGTGATGTCTGCGTTGTATGCTCGATTTCGTTGAAAACCCTGAGTGGGGAAAACCGGTGTTGTCGAAAGTCGCACAAGTTCTGATGTTTTCTTGCTTTTCCTGGATTGATTCTGTTGTCAACGCCCTGGGTCGAGTGTCGATCGTGAGAGAATGTCGCTGTGGCTCTTTCTGATTTGGTTGATGCAAAGAGGTGGCACAAAAAGTTTGTGTAAGTTTGTCATTGTTATCGATGTGCTCATTGTTGTTGTCCCTGCCGTGAGAGGGAGGAAGTTCATCCGGTGACAAATAGGGCTCGCTGATGTTTTTCTGTTTTGATTGTTGTTCGTGATGTTCGCTCTGGTGGATTGTTTGTGATGTTGTTATCGAGGAAAAAGAAGAGGATGTGCTGTTGGTTCTAGCTTCAGTTGTTGGTGCTGTAGAGGTTGATGAGGAGAGACGTTGAATGGATGACCGCCTCCGTGAATGATCACGGACAAGATCGTTAAAAGAGGTGTGGTGGAGTTGATGAAGGGTAGCAGAGGTTCGAGAGGCTGATGTAGGGGATGGAAGAGAGGAAAGGTTGATATCTTCTCCTTCTGCGAATGCTGTGGGCACAGAGCGGCTATAAGCATTGTTTGAGAGTTGCCGTGCTCGAATGAGAAGGGCTTCTGCGGGGTGTGAAGAAGAGGAAGGAGATGGATAGGATGAGAGAGTAGCCATGGTTGTAAAGAAGAGGAAGAAGAGAGGGAAAGACAAGAAAGAGTACTTTTTGACAAGAAAACTAGAAATGTAAAGAAGAGAATGAAGTAACTGAATGAATGTAAGTGAATGGAAAGTAAAAGAAAAAAAAAAAAAAAAAAAAAAAAAAACTAAATAAATTAGCAAAGGGCAATTAGGCGTGGACACCATTCGATGCGATGTGCCAAAGTGCCAAAATGGCTGTTTGTTTGTACTTTCCAATTGACCCTTTTTTTTTTTTTTTTTTTTTTTTCTAGATTGTGTTGAACACCTTAAAAATTTGTTATGCGACATGGCCACAACTTCGTACTTCTACGCAGTGGCACCTCTCTTACTCTTTCTTTTTTATCGATGATGCCTTAATGAGTACTATATGTCAGGATCAGGAATAAAAAAAAAAATAAGCGCGGCAAAGGGTATGTTAGTCGAAAAGCCAATTGAGAGCCTATGACGAAAAACATGAATTATTAACGTCAGGCATTCAGGCATTGGAGCACTCACCCCATTTTTACTTTGTTTTTATTCATTCAGTGGGCGTAAGTGCTACGGGAAACAAGGCACGGCCGTTAATTGGTTGACATTTATCTTTCACTTCAGTCTCACTCTATTCCCTCAATCCCTCTATTCCATCCTCACCCACATTGCAGTCTTACATTGCTGTCCTGTCTTCATTCTTCATTGAATCACCGTAGCGCTGTTCAGACATGCAATCACATGCCCTTTCTTTACAGACCAACGGTTCTCCAACCAACGATAGCAAAGTCATTACTATCGGTGTCAGGTAATTGGTTACAAACTGGCTTTACAATCTGAAAAAAAAAAAAAAAAAAAAAAATTGATAAAAGCTTCTTAATTCGCCTTTAACATCATTACTACCATCACCAATAATAACAACAGAGTGCATAATGAAAAAAGGCATAAACCAAAGTTATGTCCTCCTGATGACCGTAAAAAAGATTGACGCGACTCTTCCCTTCACTTTTTAATTTTTTTTTTTGTAACATTGCTTACTAGTGGTCCATCATCTGGCGGTAAAACGGTAATAGAAAATGAACCGAAGGAAATGTAAACATTTGTCAGATGGATGTTCATTTGACCCTTCAGAGATCAGCAAACTCAACTACTTTCTTCCTCTTTTTTTTTGGGGGAAGGGGTCATAGACAACATCTCGTTATCTGAGATCAATTCTTCCAAACAGTACCCTTATTCACCAGGATGATTTCTATCTTCCCGAAGACCAGCTTCCACTTGATCCCAAGACTGGTCTAGCTAACTGGGATTGCCCAGAAGCCATCGATTTCACGACCATGATTAATACTCTGACCTTTGTCAAGGAGAAGGGCTATTTTCCTGCAGAATTTGATTCGTTAGAGGATAAAAACCCTGTAGGATCAAACACATCATCAACTCCGATCCCAGATCAAGTTCTAAAAGAGATGAGAGATCAGATCATGAGCCAAATTTCTTCCGATGTTGACAGAACTAATCTAAAGTTTGTGATCCTGGATGGATTTCTGCTCTATGTGAACGAGCAGCTGCGAAATACAATCGATATCAAGTTCTTTTTGACAGCACCTTACCAGATCTTGAAGGAAAGGCGCGAGTCTAGAGCAGGATATGCCACGCTAGAAGGTAATTAGTTGGGCAGAAAGCCCTGAAAAAAAAAAAAAAAAAAAAAAAAAAAAAAAAAGACATGCAGGGAATTGACAGTTTATATTTTTCAATTTCAAAATGTATAATTTTAAGGGTATTGGATTGATCCACCTGGTTACTTTGATGACATTGTGTGGCCCAACTACAAGGCCTGTAACGAACCATTTGTTAAGCTCACAGAAGCTATGGAAGCAGGTGAAGAGACTGGTGTATACAACAAGGAGTCGCCACGATCTGAGCCTATGACGCAAGGAGTCGACATTATCTCATCTGGCAGCGGTTCCATTTACGCTATGGTCAAGACAGTTTCAAACCTGCTGGGTGAACGCCTGTCCGATTTGACTCGACTACCGGCTTCGTTATCATAGTTGTAAAACAGTACACATACTCTTTGTATAGGATATAGCCCACTTTCTTTTTTTTTTTTTTATTTTTATTATTATTATTATTGTACAATCAAGAAAAACGAGCGTGCGCAATTATCCTTATTTAATAATATCTTGATAATTTGCTCGATCCCTTCAGGCTGTATTTACTCCAGTCCTGCTCGCTTTTTTTTTTTTTTTTTTTTTTTTTTCCGCTTGTGAGCTTTCGTGTCATTACGATTGGAACTTCTTGAGATCCAATGTCTGATTCAAAAAGTTTTGTAAAGTCTCGTCATCGATTTTGTTGGCAAGACTAAAATCAAATACAAGGTATTTTTTTTTTTTTAGGTCAATCAATCTGGATAAGGCGTCTGTTACTGTATCTCTAGTACGACACATAGAACTTTCGCTAATACCTGGGAATCAATGCTTTGGCCTCCTCAGCTTCTTCACAACAAAGATTAGCAAGCTGTGCTAGTTCAAACCCTGTCAAGAGAGAGTGAATCGGTTCCTCATTCATGCCACTATCCATAATATGAGGAAGACCAGGCAAAGGAATTGAGTGTTATCGTCATTGTAAATTAATGTTGGCATTGATCCTGCCTTTTTAACCACCACTGCATATAAAAGAAAAAGATTGTCCTTACGCTCTGACTTCGCGCACAACATCTGGATTGGTGAATCGGTTGAACTGAGTGACATAGTTGAGTGACTTTTGATAGACCCTATGTAATACAAATAAAAGGAGGAAAAAAAATAAAAAAACAACAATTGAAAGGAAAGAGTTATGAGCTCGCTCATGTGTCCTAACAAATATCCGATCGATCTTATATCTTTTTTTTTTTTTTTTTTTTTTTATATCCACTGGTCATCACTCGTATCATTCGCGTAAGAAAGGAAAAAAAATAAACCTCTAAAATATGATGTCTTACTCTGATGTGTTTGGTCGCTGAGAAGCATCCAACAAGATCTTAACCTCCGATACGAACAAGCAATGCGCATCCTGAAAGTCTTTTTCATTCAATTAAATAAAAAATAGACCAACACCATGGTTTTTTTTTTTTTTTTTTTAGTTCTTTTCCGTGTCAATGTAGTCAAGATTATAAGAAGCTGATGATTAAATCCTAAGCCCATTGGTTTTTACAGGGGCAAACGTACCTGCACCCAGCTTTAGAGTGGATGCATCCTCTTCCTCAATAACTCCTCTGTGTGGTCTCATCCTGCCGCTCATCCTGTCAATTGGAAAGAAAAGATGTGGCGTAGAATTTTCAACAGATGAAGGAACAAAAGAAGGAGAAGGACATGCATATTAAAAAAGCAGTCCGGTCTCAAAACTGGGCGAAAGAGGGTGTGATGGACTTACTTTTTCTGATACTCCAAAACAGTCGTCTTAATACGTGTGTGAACTTTGAATAGTTCAGCAAATCGAAGTCATCATCGGGACAAAGGAAAAAAATATTTGGAAGAGTCCACGACATCCATCCTTCTTTCTCTCATTTCTGCTTCTGTCAGTTCATGGACCGAAAGAATCATCGAGCCGGAGGAATTGTCGGTATCTCACCGGCAAGTGCCTCTGCCTCCACTTCTGCTGGTCCTGCTGGCACCGCTGGAATTGGAGACGATTCACAGGATGAAGTGGTCGTCTGGAAAAGAGTTTTGGCTGACCTTCAGTCTTTGTCCGAGATTATGGATGCCAGTGACAACATCATTGCAGCACTGGACAAGGTGCCCGAAGGTGAATGACTCTACATCATATTTACACCCTATTTTATTACTGCAACTGCTACCACAACTACCACAACTACCACAACTACACCGGAAAAAAAAAAAAAAAAAAAAAAAAATGAAGTACCCATATTAATCGTATTAATTATAATTAACGCTGCCATCAGGACGCCTCAATAGATCTGTATCTTTATGTCAGGAAGCAGCAGAAAAGGCCCAAGAGGAAGGAGAGTACGTTTATTTTGTTTGACAGGATCTTTTTTTTTAATAGACTTGTTGATAGAATTCTGCAGACAACAAGCATCAGTTCGACTCAGCTTAATGAAGTTGTTTATCATTTAGAATCATTCAACGAGCATTGGAGGGCGTTAATTTTTTGATGGCATTGCGTGATGGAGATCTGACAAATGGTATGAAAAAGAGTTTCCTCTCCATATTCATCATACCCATGAGAAACGACGTCAATGTTTTGTCCACTCCAAAATACTTAGTACAGTTTTTTTATTAGTTGATAACACTCCAGAAGGCAAGCGGAAAAAACGTAAGATTGAAGCTGAGGGACTTAATCCTAATACGAAAAAGATTCGAAGGTTGGTGTTTAATATAGCTAAAAAAAAAAGAAAAAAAGAAAAAAAGAAAAAAGAAAAAAGAAAAAAAGAAAAAAAAAAAAGAAGAAATAAATAAATAAATATATTGAAAAGACGTTATCTTTTCACAACTGTGGGCTCAGGGACGATGGTTATTAACCAATGTTCATTGTCTACATGTCGTTGCCCTAGATATTCCTCTACGGATCCGAATGGAGTTATACCTGTTGGCCATCAGGTGAGTTTTTATGTTTCTTTTAAATCATGACAACCTACAAAAATATACAAACAGACTTTCCAATAGCCTTCTTTCAATGACTTTTTTTTTTTTTTTTATTTTTTTTATTAATGAAATATGGATATCCTTTAATATTAGGTGGCAGCACGTACACCAAAGGATAAGAACAAAGTGGAGGAATGGATTTTGGCAAGAGTCCTATCATACTCTGCAGAAAAGAACAAATATTTTGTTGAAGATGATGAAGCTGATGACTATGGCAAAAAAATGTAAGTACAAAAAAGGTTGAGGCTTTGCTCCTACAGTATCTTTTATTATTATCATTATTATCATTATTATCATTATTATCATTATTATCATTATTATTATCATTATTATTATCATTATTATTATCATTATTATTATCATTATTATTATTATTATTATTATTATTATTATTATTATTATTATTATCATTATTATTATTATTATTATTATTATCATTATTATTATTATTATTATTATTATTATTATTATTATCATTATCATTATTTTACTAGAGGTATATACACAATTCCAACTCGTTTTCCCCTCCCTTCCCCTTTGCATCAATTGTTTTCAGGACTTACTCTCTTAGCGCAAGGAGCGTAATCATGATTGCAGACGATCAAGACTCTGTTCCGGAATTCCCGGCTGGACACACAGTTTTGGCGCTATACCCTTCCACAACGTGTTTCTATAAGGCTATTGTTGTACAACCACCGTCCAAGGTAAAGGCTTTTTTTTTTCTTTGTTTCTTTTATTCTCCAATTACGATCTAGCTCTAGTACAAGATTAATAGCTGATGCTTTTTTTTTTTTTTATTTTTTTATTTTATTTTATTTTATTTTTATTTTTATTTTTATTTTTATTTTTTTTATATTATTATTATTATTATTATTATTATTATTATTATTATTATTATTATTTTTAAAAACTCTTTATTATTACCATCCTTTCCCATTTGCCTATCAGAACAAGGATCATGCGACACCGCTTTACAGGATCAAATTTGATGATGATGAGGGCAATGAGCGCACAGCACCTCCAAGGATGGTGCTTGATATGCCAAAGCTCAAGTAATTTTTTGAATTTATTAGGGTTTAATTTCTTTCTAGTAGAAAAAAAAAAAAAAAAAAAAAAAAAAAATTAAATGTAAGAATAGATAATTTACAAGCAAAATTAGTTAACAATCCATTTTTTTATTTTTTATTTTTATATTATATTTTTAATCCATGCTTTTAAGTCTAATTATTTTTTAATTTTTGCTCGCTCCATACTTTTAAGTCTTCGGAGTAAATTATATATATACATAATGACATTAATAGTGTTTAAACATCGAGAATATTGCATGAATATGAGAGATTGCTCCTTGTTAAAAAAAAAAAAAAAAAAAAAAAGTTCAACTTTTTCCTTTCAAGGAGCGCTTGAATTGGATGAATATCTTTTTTTTTTTTTTTTTTTTTTTTTTGTTTTTTGTTTTGAGAAGAATAAACGTACTTTTTATTTCTTACTGAACATTCAATTTTTATGTTCGTATAGATGTTTAATACAGCAGTACGATACACTGAATCAACATCATTGATCTTTTCCCTTCCAAAATCCACCTATTATATTAGTCAAATCAATGTGATATCCAAATTCATAAATGTATTTTTTTTTTTTTTTTTTTTTTTTTTTTTTCTTTCAATAGTAGCTGGATTCTTTTGGTGGCACACGATTCATGGTCGACAAATATTTGTGGCCCATTGGGTTTACAATCATGAACTATTCAGGTTATCCGACGTGATTGATAAGTATATATATATCTCACTATCAAAGTTCAACCAACAAAAAATAAAGCCTCGTCTGCGCAATATTGTCGTAGCACTGAAAATGAGTTGATAGCAAATGTCTTGTTTATTACATCTTATCAGATTAACATTACGTGATTAAGAAATAGTTGAAAGAAAGAAAAAGGAATGTATACAGCGTGCCTGCGAAGGTTTGTTAGCCGAGAAAGATATAAGAAGGATTGAATATAAAAAATAGTGGATTTGTTTTATACAGACAATAGGAATATTACAAGATTACACACACACAAAAAAAAAAAAAAAAAAAAATAGAAGGAATAAAAATGCTTAGAAAATTCAAAGAGCCTTGCCCTGCCCTTTGCCAGAGACAAATCCATTGTCAAAACGCACACGAGTCGAAAGAAGCTCGCGATAGCCGTGAACTTCAACTGCACTAGACCCATTGGGCGAAGCAGCTCCAACAGAGAGCCGTCTTACCGTGGCTCTCTTGTCGCCCTTTGTCTCTTCGTGACTGTCGTTCCCACTGTTGTTACCACTACTATGGACATCCTCATCCTTGTTGAATGTTTTGACACTAGGTGAGGGCCCAGCAGCCACAGGAGTCGGTTCATCAAAAGAGGTCGAATTGTAATTAAGGGCAGTAAGACGAGCTGCCTTACGTTCTTCCTTCATCTTGATGATCTTGTTAGCCTCTTCACGCGACATATGTGTACCCAGAAGGTGATCCCAAATAGTGCCAAAAGGCTGAGAGAAGTTGCTCTTGATACCAAAATTTTGATGGTGAATATCATGACTATGTTTAAAAAATAAAGCAAATTATTAGCAAGGGTTTGTTTTAATGCAAGGCTACACCCAAAAAAAAAAAAAAAAAAAAAAAAAAAAAAAAACAAGCTTACTAGTCAGCGTTGTTCCAAAAGAAGCGCTGGAGGGGGTTGAAGGGTAGGTTGTAACCGCAGTGGTCATCAACAGTCTTGAGAGTCGAGAAAGAGAAGAAGGCGAGGGCACCACGATTGCCCATTCCAGAAATCAAGAAGGCTAAGCTGGCACCGACACTGTCCATCAAGAAACCTTCAAAAGGGTGGTTATAAAGAGCGCCAAATGAGTAGGTCACATAGAGGCGATGGTGGCGCGAATGGAAATTTTTATAGAGATATGGGACGTTGTGGAACAGGCGGTGAAGGAAGTACTGCCAAGTGTCGAGGAAGGACATGGCAACAAAGAAGCGAGCAAGGGACTCGAGATAATAATAGCATACATGCGCCATGGTTGCAATATTGGCTTGGGAAACGAGCGACTGTAATCCTAATGTGGCAACAAGGTATGTAATCCACTTTTGGTATCTGGCTAAACTCAGTTCGTCGTCAAAGATCATCTCAGAATCATCTGCAAGGACCACAATGAAGCCAAGGGCAGTCTAAACAAAAGCCAGGTTAGGAGAGAAAGAAATCGATAATGGTTAGCACTCACGTTAAAAACGTTCTTCACTAGAGAGAAAGAGAATACAGTGCATCCCGCGACAGAACTGCCGTCGTCTGACTATCCTCAAAAGTCCTGTCAAGTTTCTTTTTCCCGCCAATATCAGCTGCACTGGAAAGTAAATGAGGAGAGGCTGAAATCAAATATGAACGTGTTTGCAATCAGAGCGCCGCTTTTTTTTTTTTTTTTTTTTTTTTTTTTCTCCCTTTTGTTGTTGCTGGTTTTTTTTTTTTTTTTTTTTTTTTTTTTTTTTTTCCTCCAGAGTCCTGAGCTTCAACCCAGCTGAATTATCATGCGCAATCGGAAGTTCATGTAGAGAGAGGATGAAAGAGCTCTGATAAAATGGCTGAATTGAGGAAAGCGGAAACGAAGCGGCTCTTATTTATTTCAACAGCAGCAACACAAGAGGGATGAAATAGGACACGGCGCAGCGGGTTTATATGAAGTAGCGTGGCAGACAAACATGGTTCCTGAATATCAAGTTTTAGCACGCATTGTCTGGCTGCAGAGTCGGTTATCATGCATCCAGGAAACGATGACAGTCATGGTGTCATCATACCATGCACCTCTTCTTTCCTTTCATCGTCTCCTCTTTGCCTTTTCACACGCTTGCTGTTGCTGGGGCCCAACCACCTCATCTGCATTGTGTAGTAGTATATATCACTGGAATTTCCTCAGGGTGCGTTGTTTTTGAATGATGAAGTAAACCAATCCTTTCCTTGAAGGAAGAACTAGAGAAGAACCACACATTATAAGATCTCTGTCACAAGTCCTTTTTGCTATTTTCTCTTTTCCCTCGTTTATCAGATAGCTGTTCATGAACTTCAAGTCTTTCCCTCAAACCGAAGATCACATTTGTTTCTTCCTACCTGAAGAGCCTGTTGGACGATGACAGCCTTGATGACATCTGGTAAAGAAACTCTATTACGGGTTTCCTCCTCTTTGTCATGGATACGATACTTTTCGAACCAGGGAAATTCTTTGATGGAGATCCAGTGAAAAATCAAAGAATAGACCCAGTATACAATTACAGGCAGTAGCAGTGCCAGTGATTGGTCAGATATGAAGGAAAACAATGGAGTTTGGACCGTGGGCGCCATGGTTGCAAAGAGGATGGTGGTCGATGGTTTTTTTCTTTCTTTTTTATTCGATAAAGGAGGGAAATGAGAGCAAGGTGTAAAGACAAGAGTTGGAATGTTGAAAGAAACTGAAAGAATGAGAGACTGAAAGACTGAATGAATGAAATCAATAAAAAAAAGGAATTGAGCGAGTGTTATGTTTTACGCGAATAGGAAGAGATTGAACATCGTCAAAGGATCGATGTAATATCTGCATGAAATGTTGAATATGATATGGAGTACGGGGAATAAAACAGTAGAGATTAAAGAGTAGAAAAAAAAAATGGATGCAAGCTGGGGACATGATCATTTTATAATTCAGGTCCAAGGATAGTAGTAACTAAGACTGGCAACCGTTTGAATCTGGATTGAATCGTAACGTAGTGTAAACATGTAAATGTAATGGAGTTCAATGACTACGCAAATATTATTCATCCGTCCCTTTCTCTTTTTTTTTTTTTTTCTCCGCTCCAAAAAAAAAAAAAAAAAAAAAAGACACTTTACGTTACTCTGCATCTCTGCCATTTCTTTTGTTTTGCTGTTGAATCTGGAACCGGGACACTTTCCAAACTGTCTTCGCCTTTAACGTCTACTCTCTTGCCATAAACCTGTCCTCTAATTTTTGTCCCATATTCTTGGCATCCTTGTCGACTCAATTTCTATTTTTTTTTTTTTTTTTTTTTTTTTGAATCATTTATGAATCAAAGAAAAGAAAGAGAGGGAGAGAGCGACAGCCCGGAACAGCCAAAGTTTTCATCTTTGGTTTAATTGAAGAATTGCATATGCTTGTTACTTGGTTGGCGTATTTTCCCTATTTGAGAATTTGAGAAAGAAAAATATGTATTGAGCATTACAAATATGCAGTAGACATCCAACCGCAATATTGTTTGTATACAACCATCAATCTTACATCGTCATTGTGTGCCCGTTGCTCAGATGCTCAACTCAATTGTCCACAGGGACATTTGGTTTAGTTGGACCTGCCACATTTGCTGTCCAACCATCGTAGCTGCGCTTTTTTAAAAAATAAAAATATCTCCTTACTGGATTATAAAATGCCTCCTCACGCGGGAAAAAAAATCTTGTCATTCCTTAAGAGAGGTTGCACAGAAATGGATGTCAAGAGGAGTGAATGGGGAAAGAAGGATCCTGCGAAAAGCCAAAAAAAAAAAAAAAAAAAAAAAAAAAAAAAGGTATGCCTTTTGCCAACGAGAAAATTATCTGCTCTAGAGTTGTTTCAAAGACACATGTTTTACTTATTGATTTGTGTATTTTGTTGTTTGTTATTGCAATGAGCCAGAATCCTGTCGCGCAGTGCATATCGTTTTTAGAGATAAAAAAAAAAAGCAAAAAAAACAAGTTAAAAGATAATCTGGCAGTGAGTGCTTGCGCAGCTCATCATATACACAGGTACAAAGGAAAATAGTATTCCTGATCTCTCAGCAATCCAACGTCAATGCAAGTTTTCCAATTGTATCGGATGATAAACTAAGGCTTTTCATAAGCTTATCATAGATCCATTGATAGGGAATTGAATTGCAAGGATCCGCCTCTTTTAAAAGTACTGATGACTCCCACATGGAAAGTCGTGCGCAGTTTAGGTTCGAGTGGCTATTTGTAAACATCCATTGTCCTCCACGCAAACTTTAAAATTATAGGATGGTTAAATGGTTGAAAGGATACTCGGCTCCGTGTTTATTCAACATTCACTCAGCTCTTTTCTGAAGTCTATCCAAGATAAGAAAAGAATAAGAAGGATAGAATGTGTTCGTGACCATATGAGTACGTGTGATGTTACCAGTTATGATTAATCAAAAAAAAAAATAAAATAAAAATAAAAAAAAAAAAAAAAATAGAAGTTGTATGGCTGTTGAAAGAGATTGTAAGCTTAGCGTGGTCAAGTTATATTTGTATATTAGGGAGCCGGGAATGGATTTATCCATGTGAACAGTAAACTTTTTAAACTTAAAGGATAAACGAAAAACGGGTATTGAAAACCTTTCCGAATGAGCTGGATTTAATAAAAAAAATGTACATGTACTTGTAAATAGACGAAGATACAAACACCATATTGTCAGTTTACTGAACAGGCAATTGGAGAAGCTGTTTTGACACTCGTTGAAGACTACACGTACCATGCTTTGCCTGCCACTCGCACATGACGAAGGGACAGACCAATAATTGAATATTCGTATTATTTTAATCGCCTACAATGGGTGTCAACCTCTTTTACTCTTTTAGAACTTGAACGTTGCAAATTCTTCCAAATACAGGAAAAGATACAAATCTTTGTAAACCTCTGAAGATGGCAGAATTGCCAGGAAGTGGCATCCTAAATCAAAGCTTACACCATCCACCTTGTACTTGCAAACAATTAAATTCGGAAAAAAGGCAAAAAAGAAAAAGTGTCGAACTATTGAGCAGCCTCTTACCCAACATATTTATATTCAGATTTTCCAATGAACTGCAAGCACTGAATACCTTGAAACATTTTTTTCTACAGAGTAAGACATTTTCGATAAAACGACTGAGCCAGGAATTGAAGGGCCGATGTTCTGGTAAATTCAGCTTGTGTTTAAAATGACGAATCTGAATACAGATTATTGGTTTGGTCATCAAACACCCCGTAAATGTCATATTTCTGCCTTTTACTCTTTTACTACAGTCCTTCCAGCAACTTCTCGCGTCTACTAGAAACAGGAGCGGAGGAAGACTCCATGACTTCATTTATATTCCATGAAGTCATGAACTGACATCCCAAGTCTATAAAAAATGCCACCATTAACAAAGCACATTTCTCTCTTCTTCCCCCCCTCCTTCCTCAACTCCACTTTTTCACACACACAAACATCTTTCTTCGCACAAACACATTCATACATTCATACATACATTCATTCATACATTCATACATACATTCATATACATATTCCAATAATAGAAAGATAATACATCTCGCATCAGAACTCCCAAACACAACAACTGTACAGCAACCATGGGAAAAGATTATTACAACATCCTCGGCGTATCAAAAGATGCAGACGAAGATCAGATCAAGAAGGCATATCGTAAACTTGCTCTAAAATACCATCCTGATAAGAACTCAGCTCCCGATGCCAAAAAGATGTTCCATGACATTTCAGAAGCCTATGAAGTCTTGAGCGATAAGAACAAGCGTACCATCTTTGACCAATATGGTGAGGAGGGTCTTAAGGGCGGTGCCGGCCCCGGAGGCCCTGGCGGACCTGGTGGTGCCGGTGGTTTCCCTGGCGGGTTCAGTGGCTTCCCTGGTGGTGGTGGACACACTTTCACTTTCACTTCTGGAGGTCCTGGCATGGGAGGAGGTGGATTCAGACCAACGGACGCAGAGGACATCTTCAAACAGTTCTTCTCATCCTTTGGTGGTGGCGGTGGATTTGCAGATGATGATATGCCCGGATTCAGTACGGGTACAAGATCCGGTATGGGTGGTATGGGAGGCATGCCTGGTGGCATGGGCGGCATGGGAGGAATGGGAGGAATGGGTGGCATCCCTGGTATGGGCGGACGAGCCCGGGCACAACAACAGCAGCAACAATCTGCACCCGAGAAGCCGCCAGCGCTGGTCCGCAACCTAGTCGTCTCGCTCGAAGACTTGCTCAAGGGTGTTACCAAGCGCCTCAAGGTCACACGCAAAGTTCGTGATGGATCAGGACGATCCACCGACAAGATCCTTACCGTTGATGTCAAGCCCGGCTGGAAGGCTGGCACAAAGATTCGTTTTCCCAATGAAGGCGATGAGTTGGCCAATGGTGCCACACAAGACATTGAGTTCATCATTGAAGAGAAGCCTCACCCGACATTCACTCGTCGTGGCGATGACTTGATCGTTGATCTGGAGCTCACACTGCTAGAAGGTTTGACAGGGTTCTCAAAGACAGTCAAGACCTTGGATGGACGGACGTTGCCAGTTTCTGCTTCGCGTGTGATCCAACCCGGTCAAGAGGAGCGGTTCCCCGGCGAAGGAATGCCAATCTCTAAAAAGCCTGGACAAAGAGGCGATCTCATTGTCCGCTTCAATGTCAAGTTCCCTAAAGAGCTTACATCAGCGCAAAAAGAAGGCCTCAGGAAGATTCTTGCATAAGAGAAACTTTTTTTTCTTTTCCTTTTCCTTTAATTCTCCTTATTTGTTTGCTAACCTCTCATCTCTACTCCATCCTTTCACCCTATTTTTTCCAGCGGGACTTTTTTTGGTTTTTTTTTTTTTTCATTTGTACCTGTAAATTCTCCACCACCTCTCCTCCTTGTAAATAATATCAATAAATAAAATAAAAAAAGATCATGATAAACATCACTTTTATTTTTGCATGAATACAGAAAGTTAAACATGTCATATAAAAAATCCAGAGATGGGAAGGGAGTTAATTTTTATGTGTCGTATTCTGGAGGAACTACCATGGTTTCAAAATCCCAATAGAATTGGATCGCATCCACATAACCCTCATTGTCTTTGTTACTACTGGTTCCACTATTAGAAAGAGACATATCTTGGCCTTGACCACGGAGGCGACCCGCCTTTGGAACCCGACCAGTTTCCTTGAAGCCGAGACGGCGCCACAATCTGATAGAGGCTATATTCGAGACAAAGACCAGATTGAACATGGAGGCCTTGTAGCCGATGACAGGGACGATTTTCAAGAATGCCTTGCCAAGGATCTGCCCGATACCAAGACCGCGATGGATAGGGTTGACTACGAAGCCTCCGTTACAAATCTATCAAAAAAAAAGGGTAAAATTTAGTGTCACCAACAATGTCATCAAATACTCTGCCTTTTTGCCTGAATACTTACGTGGGAACAACGGCCCTATTGGCAAAACAATATCAGAAAGAATAAGTGCACAGCCAGAGGAATAGATCAAAACATTGTGTTCCTTTTTTTTTTTTTTTTTTTTTTTTTAATTCTATTTACAGGGTAATTAGGCTTAATGTAAAAGAAGCCTAAAAGTTCCTCCTCCCAATCCTCGGTACTTCTCAATGGAACATCGGACGCTTGCTTATAATTGCCCTTGACTAATACAAATGAATCTCCAGAGAAGAAGTAGTTTTCAAAATGGGTTTCATCCAAGGCAAACTCCTGAGGATAAGTATCACCACGCTCAACTTCTCCGTTGAATACTTGATGCATAGTCTCTACTAAGGTATGATGCGTAGCACCTGATAAAGAATAGATCTGTGACTCATTGTCAAGTGTTTCCTTTTGAGAAGCAATGCGGAACAAGGTTGCATTCTTTCCATTTCCTTGGGCTTCATTGCTTCGGCATGTCGCATGGCGAGGTAAGACAGACGAGAGGCTGAGCCCAGAGACAGGGCGGGCGATGGTACCGTAGGCAGATGACATTGGTTAAACAAGCAAACAGCAAACAAGCAGGCATGGTTTTTTGTAGTTAAATATCATGTGATCGTAAGCTTGCATTCCAGCATTGTATGATGTTTCATTCAAAGCTTAGAATTAGTTTAGCCCAAGAACATCATCAGTGCAACAAGGGATGAACAAAAATCTTAGCAATTTTTTCGGCCGCTCATCTCCTCCTTCTACCACGGAGCCTGATGACTACGATGACGATGGTAGTAAGGAGCATACTGGACTACTCTCACAGAATCACCAGTCAAAGCGTCATAGCGAGCACGATAGTCCTCATAATCTTGCTGAGAAATCTTCAAACGTTGGCAATGATGACAGCTATTGTGAAGGGAATACAAGCATACTTCATTCATTTTACGCGTCGCCAAAGGAAACAATAATACAGCGAAGCCAAGCCTCTATTCCTGGATCGTCTTCGAGTGGTATGTTACACTGTTCAATATCGAATCTTAATTGCCCAAAAGAAACCTGCGATGCTTCTAACTAAACGGTTAGGACCTCTGACGGCTCTATTATAGACCAACATAGCGGCAGGGGTTCGTCAGTGTTTAACGACGATATTCTACAGATGTGGCGCCACGGCAAAGATAACGATGATAAAGGCAGCGGTCCATCTGATAAAAGACAAGGACTACATTCAAGCCTCATCATCGAGGACGCATCTCCTCCATTGCCTAGCCATCCCTTTGTTTCTCGTGAAGACCTGAGCGCAAGTCAGCGTTTCGGCATGGATAACATCTCTGAAGGCGGTAAGAGTTTCATTTGCTTTTTTTTTTTTCTTTTATCTTTCTGTTCATTTTACTGTAGGATCTACTGTCTCACTGCCAATATAAATCCATCATGTATTCGATGCTCTACAGCATTTGCTGTCCCGTCGAGCCTGTCGAATTCACAGCATTTACTACCACTATCAGAAGGAATAGAGTTGACTGGAATCAATGTCAATAGTACCTCTAATGCCAGCCATACAAGTGTACATACGGCTACCAACGATACTGTTCCTTCAGATCCGAAAAAGAAGCGATGGGGACCCAAGACACAAAAGGCAGCGGCAGGTTTAGTCGAGCATTCAACTGAACATCCTCCACTCATAGATCACCAACTATCACATCCACCCAAACAGAAACCAATAACGAACAGCACGCTATTTTACTCTACGGGTGTACAACTTGTTCCTACTGAAGGCCCACATACACAGTCAAATTCTTCTTCTTCCAAAGTAAACAAGGACTCACGGCCCAACTCTTCAACTTTTGAACTGAGATCAACCCCCTCTTCCAGTACAGGTTTTGTGTCTGGACTGTCTTCACTCAGAAATTCTATCATGATACCAGCTCTCCCATCTAATAATAATAACTACAAGAGCAATAAGACAAGTAAGGCGGGCTCTGGATTACAAAATAATTCTCTAGCAGTTTCACAGAGCAGCCTTTTGGAATTTGCAGACGATCATGAGCCATCAAAGCTGCGTTGGGGATCTCCCGAAAATTCATCATCTCTCGCAGAGTCCCCGTCTATATCATTCTTCCGAAATGGTTCTTTACCTTCAAGAAGGAATTCTGGTTCAAGCAGTGCCCACTCAGACAGAGGACATGAAAGACCCACGAGAGAGAGCTATGGCTACAGTGCAAGTCCCAAGGCCCATGCATCCCCATTTGATGTTGGTTTGGGCCATAAGCTATCCACATCTTCTTCCGTAGTGGCTGATCGAGCATCCTCTTCCAGACGACAGCGAGTGGCTAAACATAATAAGGCGGCTCATTCACTCTCAATCCTTGAATCCGAATTTCAGCAACTGATACAGAAGCAGGGTCAACTCTCAGCTCATAAAACGGAGTTATGTAAGGAGTTGTTGTCATTATACAGTCGGCGGAACATAGGTGAACAGAAGCAGGAGGAAGCGGCCAAAGCGGAGCAATTTGATGATGCGGATACTGCAGCGACCACAGTTTGTGTTGTTCAAGAACGAATACAGAAACTCGAGGCAATCTATGCCAAGACAGATGGGGAGCTTTGGAAGTGCAAGAAACGACAGGATGAACTCGCAAAGTCTATTTCAGAAATGCATCAGGAAGTACTACAAGAAATGGAGCAGATGCAACAAGCCCGAGAAAACGAGATAGCAGACTGCCGTGCAAAGATGAATAAGGCTTTTGACCGAGAGATGGATAGGATTCAAGCAGAGAGGGAGGAGATAGAGAAGGAAAAGAGTGATATTGCGCTTGGCCAGGATTTCTTGGAAAAGAATGAAGCCGAGCTATTGGAGCATATGGAAGAGGAGACCAAGACCGAGCAGGAGGAAATGAATGATTTGATTGTGAAGCAAAATGCTACCCGGGTAATGCTCGTCTTTCTTGCTACTCTTTTTGAATAGCCACTATGGTCCTTATATATTTTACTCATTCTAATCGGTCAATTTGATCTTTTCCCTTTATTATATTTTCAAATGTGAATTCAGGCCGAGATTCAAGAGTTGACACAGAAGCTGGAGCTGCTGAACAGTAAAGACAAAGAACTGACTCGCAATATTAATATGCTTCAAAAAAAGATCAATGCAATTGTTAAACAATTTGACGATAAAGCCAGTGAGGCTTCACGCGAAAAACGAGAACTGGAGCGTCGGCAATTATATATTCAGCGAAGGACACAGGATCTCGAACGTCAAGAAGCTGGCGTCCAAAAGACAGCCCATCAAGCCGAAGCTGCTCAGAAGGAGGTTCAGGAAGAAATTAAAAATATTATCTTGCAGCGAGACCGTCTTGAGCAGGTGAGAAAGCTCTTTGAGGTAGAGCGAGTTACCTTACAAAAACTGCGTCTGGAGGAAGAGGCTTTCCGAGAGAAGGAGGCTGGCTGGAATATGCGGGCCTCTAGTTTAATGGAGGAATTGAAGGGGCATGAAGCAAAGATTGAGGCACTAACGAGCCGGAGTTCTGCAGACCAGAAAGCGATCTCTGATCTGCAACTAGCCCTGGAAGCAACGCAAAAACGCATGGGAACGATAGAGTCGCTCAAGGCGCTATCAGTCCAACGTCGCGATTTTAAGCAGGCCTCACGGTGCTCGAGTGAACTTGCGAAATGCCGGGACACAATTGGACAGCAACAGGCAGAGCTAGAAAAACTGACAATTAGGATCAGTGAGCCTGGTGTACAAGAACAACTTGAAGCATTGCGGCAAGAGTACGAGAAGGCAAGGACGCATGCGAGGAATGAGGAATCTAATTTGTCTAAAGAGATCCAAGAGGCGACAGCTGATATTCTTTCCAGGCTGGATGCATTCGCTACAGTCTCATCCACCGCTGGTTCAGAGGATAAACAGCTCAAAAAGGATGGAGATGTTGTTGCAACAACGGACGGTTGTAATAGTGCAGAACACTCTACTGCTGCCGCTGACCCAAGGGTGGCGGCTCCTGCGGCGATGGGTCAACTTTCTCAGTTGGTTCTTGATGAATTGCGACGTGAGATCAAAGATCTGCAAGAACTATCGCGGATACGGTTTGGGCGAGAAGAAGTAGTATTAGTATCTGCTTTTTTAGTGCAACCAGCGAATCATCCGACAACATCAACCGACACGCCAGAAGAGAATAGCGCCGCTAGTACTGCTGTAACGGCTGTAATAGAAAACACTGAAACTAAAAAGCTTGCACTTGAACGCGACATTCAAGCCGCAGTTGCCGAAGAAAGTTACGAAGCGGCAGGTAAGGTTTACTAATTGTTATATTCAATTTGTTTTTAAGCACGGCATTGAACATTGTATGCGTTTTATGCGTTGTTCATTAATCGACGAATATTTACATACATCTTTTGTTTTCAAAATATAGCGGAGCTACAGGCACAGCTTGATGCTCTGTAAAAAGAACAATGATTCCTTTTTTCTTTTACCTTCCTTATACCCACACACCAAATTATTGTAGCGCAGTAATTAAATAGTATGTCAGAATGACTCAGAGAAGGCTAATGAAATGTATTCAAGGTACCAGGCACAAAAAAAGAAGTTTTTTAAAGCCAACTACTTCTTGTTTTTTTTTTTTTTTGTCCGGCACTCCTAATACAGTACTGGCGTAGTCCTGACACACATGGTGCACATAGCATAGTGCATCAATATTTTCGTACTGGGTACATGTAATGTGCTGCGGGTAGATGAAAAAGAAAAGGGTCACATGATACAAAGCACGTCTTTTTTCAGGGCGGGCGGATCAGAAAGAAACAAAGAACCACCAATTGTTGTGTGCTTTTGTAAAAATATCTTCTCTTCTCTCTTTTCTTTTTTTTTTTTTGTCATCAATAACCCTCCTCATTAACAGCTAGAAGAAACAAATATTCGCATTTACTGTTGAGACTTTCCTACAACATACCATAGAAGAAAAGAAAAAAAAAGCTTTAAGAACAGCGTGTTACCAGGACACAAAGACAAACAACACAACTCCCCAGTCAAAAGAAATCGGATTCACCATGTCATCTCCAACAACCATTAAAGCTGGAATTGCGCTTCCGCCCAAGAACCCTCACAAGTAAGACAAATTGGATTATTTATGAGTGCTTTGCAGTGGAAAGAAAGAAAGAAATAAAGAATCATCTTTATGGATACAGGTCCATTATGGTACTAACGACATTTGAGCACTGTGCTACATCGTGATACTGCAGGGTTCCAATTCCCGGTCAGCGTAACGTGTTGATTACCTCTGCCCTACCTTATGTTAACAACGTTCCCCACTTGGGCAACATTATCGGCTCCACTCTTAGTGCAGATGTTTATGCAAGGTAAAGAAAAAAAAGTAGTAGATGGTGCTACAACTTCTGTTTTTAATCTTTATTTCTCATTTTTTTTTTTTTTTATTTTTTTTTTTATTTTTTTTTTTATTTTAAAAAAAAAAGGTATCAACGTGTACGTGGTATCAATGCACTCTACATTTGTGGTACAGATGAGTATGGTACTGCAACAGAAACCAAGGCGTTGTCCGATGGCGTAACATGCCAGGAACTGTGTGACAAATACCACCCAATTCATAAACAGTGTTATGAATGGATGGAAATTGACTTTGACAAGTTTGGAAGAACTACGACCGAGGAGCAGACAAAGATTGCACAGGACATTTTCATGAGATTATACGAGCGTGATCTCTTAGTCGAGGATTCTATGCCTCAACTCTATTGTAGCCAATGCGATAGGTAAGAGACAAGCAAGAAGCTTTTTACTAGGTTGGGTTACTCTTTGTCTCAATTGAGATAAGGAAGATACTGACTCTACTTGTACGCTTCAATGATTTTTCTCCTTCCTAAAACGATAGATATCTTGCGGATCGTTTTGTTGAAGGAACTTGCCCAAGATGCAATTACGATGTATGTAGATCAACTTCGTTGTAAACAAAAAGTTTCCCAATGAAGAAAACATCAAGCTGACTTCTCTCTCTTGTACCTTTGACTTTTATCCTGATAGGATGCCCGTGGTGACCAATGCGACCAATGCGGAAATCTATTGAACGCAATAGATCTTATCAACCCTCGTTGCAAACTTGATGGCAACCGTCCTGTCCAGAAGCATTCGAAACACCTGTTTTTGGATTTGGGTAAGCTACAAGCCAGGTGCGAAGCTTGGGCCGAGAAAGCAGCTGTTGAGGGTAAATGGTCTGCGAATGGTAGGATCATTACACAAGCTTGGTTCAAGGAAGGATTAAGGTTGCGCTGCATTACTCGTGATGTGAAATGGGGTACTCCTGTCCCTCTTGAAGGATGGGAGGGTAAGGTTTTCTATGTTTGGTTTGATGCTCCTATTGGATACCCATCTATCACGGCCACATATACCAAGGAGTGGGAGAAATGGTGGAAGAACCCCAAGGATGTCAAGTTGTACCAGTTCATGGGTAAAGACAACGTCCCCTTCCACACTGTCATCTTCCCAAGCTCTTTGATTGGAACTGGCGAGGAATGGACACTCTTGAATACTCTTAGTACCACTGGTAAGCTAATTTCTATTTTCCATTTGGCAATTTTCCTCGTAATTTGAGGAATGATATCATGACTGACATTGCATATTTTGCACCAAACATAGAATACCTCCAGTATGAGACTGGCAAGTTTTCAAAGTCGCGTGGTGTCGGTATCTTTGGTAATAACGTTCAAGAGACTGGAGTTCCTCCTTCAGTCTGGCGTTACTATCTTCTTTCGAATCGTCCCGAGACGAACGACTCTCAATATCTGTGGAAAGACTTTATTGCCCGTAACAACAATGAGTTGTTAGCCAATGTTGGCAACTTTGTGAATCGTGTGATCAAGTTTGTGAATGCCAAGTATGATAATGTCGTCCCTTCGCTCGAGACCGCAGCTGCTCCTACGGAATCGGACGAAAAATTGATTCGCGAGGTTAATGAGAAGCTCAAGCTATACATCGAGGCTCTGGATGACGTGAAGATCCGTGAGGCTCTTCGTCTAGCGATGGAGATATCGGCCCTTGGAAATGTCTATTTGCAAGAAAATAAGATTGACAATACTCTTTTTGCAGAACACAAGGACCGCTGCGACCGTGTTGTTATTACTGCTTTGAACTTGATTTACTTATTGTCAGCCATTCTATTCCCTTACATGCCTTCCACCTCTGACTCAATTGTCCGTCAGCTCAACGCCCCACTCCGCCTGTTACCTGATGAGTTCAGAATCGATGCCATCTTGGCCGGACATGTCATCAACAAGGCCGAGTACCTGTTCAAGCGCATTGATGAAAAGATGGAGGATATCTGGAGAAACAAGTACGGCGGCAATTCGTCCGTGCCCGAGCCTGATGACAAGAAGAAGAAGAAGAAGGCTGCAGCCAAGGCCGCTGCTCCTGTCTTTCAAGGCGAAAAGCCTGCTGAGGCCATTGCGCTCGAGAAACAGATCGAGGAGCAAGGCGCAAAAGTTAGGGAATTGAAGACTGCCAAAGCTGATAACGCTGTTGTTCAGAACGAGGTCCAGACTTTATTGGCTCTTAAGAAAGATCTCGCAGATCTTTTTGCCAAGCTCACAGTCTAAGTGGTCGCTAGAATAATGGTTAGAAGTAAAGTACAAAAAAGTATCAGGTTGCATATATATTTATATTTGTATATATTTTAAATCTGCCAGTTAAACAAACAATAAAAAAAAAAGAGTTTAGAACACATTTTATCCCAAAGAACGACTTGGATCATTGCAACTGGAGATGAAAAAAGTATTGGAACGATAGAGCTGTACCTAATTCCTTTTATTTTCAAATCCCTATACCGCAATATCTCTAAGCTCATCAATCTAAGCATTTTTCATCAAGGATCGGAATCTTCTTTTTTCTTTATGGTTGTTTGAGCCTGATACTATTTACTGTAACCTATTTGTCTGTGAATTATATGTTACTTGTTCTCATTATCTTTGTCATCTTTTTTATCCTGGTCCGCCTTGTCGTCCGCTTTACCATCTCCAGCGCTGTTCGAAGCCGACGAGAAACCTTGAAGGACATTCTGGATACGGGGATCTGTGGTGTCAACACCTGAAAGCGAGCCTAAGACAGAATTCATGAAATCCGGATCTTGCATTGCTTCATCAGCTGCTGCTGAGGAGTTGTCGTTGCCTGCCATTGACATTTGAATTGCCCGTTGCATCTCCTCATCCTCTGTCAGTCCTTCCATGTTGTGGTCATCCTAAGAAAACACAATCGATATTTAGCAACATTAGAACACAAATCGCAGGGTTTACTTTTTGGCAGTCAATTTGCAAGCAAAAAAAAAAAAAAAAAAAAAAAAAAAAAAGACAAGAAGTGTAGGCATACATCCGACTGTGATGAGGCGAGTGCTTGAGCCAGCAGGTCATCGCTGGTTGAGATAGCACTAGCAGACGCAGCGTGAGTAGAAGCAACTGTAGTTTCTGCTCCGCCTTCTGTTGTGGCGGCGCTGCTATTAGCAGCTTCCTGACGCGCGCGCTCCTCCTCCATTGAAATTCTGAGTGCTAGTGCCAATTCAGGATCCAAGTTGGGATCGACTCCGAACTCGTAAGATCCACCACCACTGGAGACGTATGCTGGTGCCGAACCATCCTCTCCTGCGACAATAGCAGAGCTGACAAGGACATCACTCAATAGATGTGGTCCTGGTGGGACTGTGACAAGATTGCTGGGAAATCAAAAATTCAAATTACAATAGTAACAATTAATTGTTAGTAAAAAGTTCCCATGGAAATTCCACTTTAGTTCCTATGGGTATGAGTTTGACATACCTATTATCGTTGTTGTTGACAGCAGCCACAAAGGCCTCCAACTTTGTTGTGTTCTCAGCCTCTTCCCCAAAGTTGATCACATCCACTGCGATGTTGTTTTTCTTTAGTTTCTTGGCCAGTTTAACCAACATCTTTTCATCCTCTTCCACTGGACTTCCTACGAACACAATGATCCTTTGTCTTTGATTCTTGTTCTGACGATGCTTCAGCGCAAGCTATAAATTGCGTAGGCATGTGTACTTTCGATTAGTGAGCGAATACATAGGTGTTTTTTTTTTTTTTTTTTTTTTTTTTTTTTTTTTTAATTTATACATTTCATTATTGCCCAAGGAGACACAGGCTAGGCTTACCTGAGCGATCTGAACACTAGTCGTAAAGGATGCTCGACCACCAATGGAGACATTATGAAGAGCAGACAGAATCTTGCCCATGTCTGATGTGAATGTCACCAGCACTTTAGGGCTATATATGTCCCACATTAAATAGGAATAGTAGTTGTAATGAGAATTAGAGAAAAAGAGAAAAGTATAGGCAGATCAACCATAAAAAAATGATTTCCTTAATAGCTTTTTTCTCTGCCTTGCCTTTTTCCAGCCATGGTCATCAAACTGACTGTATTCTCGGGATTAGACTGGGTCTTTGCGTTAAAAATCAAGCTGACAGCATCAGCCTGAGCCTCCAAACGTGTTGGCGTATAGTCTCCACTAGAAGGATTGGATGAAGACCACAACGTCCAATGATGTGCAAAAAAAAAAAAAAAAAAGAAAAAAAAGAGAGAGATGCAGGGGGAAAGTTAGAAGAACGTAGATGTATTGTAGCGTAGAAAGCAGTTGGTGTTATCGACTTGATCCGGTGAGCATACTTTCTCATCCATTCTGAGTTATCCAGGCTAATCAATTGATACAAAGTTTGAAATGAAATATGATACAGTCAGCCCTATTTGTGCTCTTCAATATATACTATCTCCTGCGAAAAGAAATAATATATTGAAATCAAATTTATATAGTGCCCTACACTAAGATAGAAGCTTCCAAGACCATCGTTGTGATTATAGAACTATCCTTTTGTAAGGTGAGGTATGTTTAACTTTCCACTGATGGTTTTGACTTTGTCCTTTTCCTTGAAGAGTCTGTTGGTGTTCCAGAATCAAAGGGGCTCGAATAAGAATATGTATTGGTATGTGTATATATATATATATAAATCCTTGTGATTATGAAGTGTGTAATGTTTGAAAGAGAGAAGTGAACATTAAAATGAAATGAGGTTTTGTCAAGAATGCAAGCACACGCATGCGACGCGACACGTCATGCATAGGATATAGCTCAATATGCGCCGAAATTACGTCACTAATAGTCACGTGGTCAGTCAACATCTGTCCCGAGTTGATGTCGCGCTTACTTCAAGGATCCAATGGCGTTTCGGATAAAGAGCCACGTTGCCAACGGTGGAGGGGATCCCAGAAGAAAGTCTCCCCAGAGCAAGACATCCATGCTTGACTGTGTGCAGCTCTTTGAACTTAAAAAGACAGCAGTTACAGGCGGAAGCCATTCATATTTAGCTCCAGGGATCAAAATATTAATGGGGCACCTTAGTATAAATCCTATGTTGTCTGAGTTGTTTACATTTGTGATTTCTTCGTACTTGTTGAGGCGTTAATCCTTGTTTACGACGTTCAATAATGGTATTCAGCGTTGTTATAGTATAACCCGAAAAGATGCTGCTGCTCCGCGCCAAACGCTACTACACCGTATCTGGGGGCGCCGGAGCCTCAAGAACCGGAAGTTCTACTTTCAGGACTTCATTCTCCTGAAAGAGCTTTGTTAATGCAGGCTCGAACATTCTGTCCGCCACAAACATAATTAATAGCATGATGATTGCTCATAGAAATATATTCTAAGCACAAACTCCATACTGTCGAGTGTTCATGAAGTATGGGAGCTAATAAAAAGAAGTATGGGCATAGCTCTCAAATAAGGTAGGAAGGATACGTTGAGCTGATCTTTTAGCTGGGTTATGTCATTACTCAAGATCGTGTGAGGCCAAGGACATGGTTAACACAGAAACTGTAACTTGTTAGTGTTGTGTCCGTGTCAAGAATCCGGCGTTTTGTAATAGCACTTAAAGGATCTTTAGAGCGCACTCGACACTGCAAGGAATCAGATTTGAGCTTCGGGTGTTACAATAAGTTGCTTTTTTGAGGGGAGGAAGGGACTGTTTGCTGCACACAGAGCTGATCCTTTTTGTTTAGGTTCCTGACAATGGCTCATTGCTATATTACGCACAGCAGTGTAGTTAAGAGGGATATGTAATCTAACTTTTACAGTTCACTTTGAGTATCTTGCTGACTTGCTTCATTTTGATGCTTATTTCCGGAAGGATTGTAGGAAGGAGTAAATAAATGCATTTGATTTATTTTTGCAAAAAAAAAAAAAAAAAAAAAAGAAAAAAAAAGGAAGCAGCATTAATGCTGGGATGGATGGTAAAGTATAAATAGTTGGTTATTTACAAGTTGCTTGTTCCAGAGATAAAGAACCACTTGTCAACCGAGGGGTCGATAGGAGCAGCGGCCTTATCGGAGGCAGCAGGGACGGCTTTGACGGCATCGTCCTCGGGAGAGACCTTGTAAGGGCTGTCTTCAACGGTGAGATTGCTCCTATGAGCGTGAGAAAGCAAAAAGATGAAAAAAAAAAATCAGATCAATCGTCCATGCATCTCTTTGCGAATTTTGCGTATTCCTGATGACTACGCGGATAAATATATATAAGTAACTTACACCTGAATATCGTAGGCCTCAGCCTTGGAGGGGATGGCACCCTTGATCAAGCGCTCCCAGGCTTCATGAGTCTCCTTGACGACCTCCAATGCATACTTTCTGTTCTTGGCCTCACCAGAGAAGGCGAACTGGTTTTCGGGCTTGCCATCAGGGATCTTGTAAATGCGGAACCACTCGTTAGTGGCGCGGATGAGACCAGGAAGATGACGCTCAACATCCTCAATATCGTTCAACTTGCTAGCAAGAGGATCGTTAACATCAATGACAATAACCTTCCAGTCAGTCTCGCCTATCGATGATAAGATATGATTGATTTCAAAAAGCATGTTAATTTCAGTAGAGATAGGCTATTTTTCAATAAGCAAGAAGATGAACACAATTGATTATAGAGAAACCTTCATCCAAGAGAGCCATGACACCAAGGACCTTGACCTGCTTGATTTGACCAGTATAGCCGACTTGCTCACCAATTTCGCAGACATCAAGAGGATCGTTGTCACCGCGAGCCTTAGTCTCAGCATGGGACTGAGTTGGATCCTCCCAAGTCTATGAGAGCGAACCATTAAAATGAGAAGTATGTTGCATCGCGTTATGTAAATGATATACAAGATTTTCCAGTGTCGTACGCTTTTTTTTTTTTTTTTTCTTTTTTTTTCCTTCTAAGAGCAATTCAAGGAAAGGTCAATAGAGAATGATTAGATTAGTGCATACCTGAGGGAAAGCACCATAATTCCAGATGTAGCCATGGTGGGGGAAGCAGTTACGGACGAAGCGCAGCTTGCCCTTCTTGACATCCTGCTTGATGGGGTTGAAGGGCTCATCCTTGGAAATCTCCAACTTTGCGTTTGACCAACGAGGAATTTCAACAATCATGTTGAAGATGTTGTTGGCCTTGTCAGCGTAAAGAGGAACATCGTGAAATGCAGAGACAGGGGTACCATTGCGCTCTAGTCAGAAATGGCATAAAAAAGATTGCTTTCAGGTTTAACATTCCACATGGTCGAATTCATTTTCTCGGCTTCTGCCCTTGAGTCACGTCTCTGTCATGTTTAGTATTGATGAGTACAGTTATTAATTACCGATGAAGACACGATGCTCAAGGGTGTTGGCAGAACCAACGGCGCGGGCAGAGAACTCAGACATAATGTGAGAAAAAATTTGAAAAGACGGTGAGGTTGAAGAGAAAAGAAAAAAAAGAAGACGACGGAAGGAATTAAGAGGACGACTTGATGATCGGGGATTTCATGCCCCTCAATCGACTTGCACACAAGATACCTCAGTCATGCCATCTGGAATCATGATGGCACCATACATAATCCTATCTCCTGCTTCCTCTGCTTTCCTTGCTCTTTTGGCTTACCGTGTTATGATAGCAAGAAACGATCAATCTTCAAGCTACCATCATATCTCTGGCAGTCATCCTAACCGTGCCAATTAGGCTATTGATTCCTCACGATTGGACTATTGTTGACACGTAAAACACGTAAATTAAGACTCACAGTCAAATGTTGTGCATGCTACTACCAGCCACGTGTATCGTTTACGACGCGTGTTCTGATCGCGACTCTCTTGGATTCTAAATCCTTAACCGTTGTAATAACATCCTCGCACTCGCCTCCCTATAGCGCTGAAAATGGCTGTAGCCCCATCCGCTATTTCTATCCTAATCGCACAACACTGATAACTATTTCTGATTTCTAGCGTCTTTTGTAAATAATATATTTGATTCCTCGATGTCATATTTGCAGATGTTCATCGTCTTTAATAGAAATAGCTGTTATTCCTGGAGTATTGAGAGAGGCGACTGTTCGGACTCCATATGATACTATATAAACACCTGAACACTACCACATGTCATTGACTACTCTACGTCCCTTAAACAAAATTCTTAGCATACATCTGAACTTTTGCAAGGGATGTATTGATGCTTCGACAAACATGTAACATTTAATGGCGACATCACAGCCCTTGGATTGTGGAAGGGCTGAAAGTATGCGGAAAACGGGAACCATTTGTGTTTTTACTAGCAACAAGCGTGGTTTCAAAAAGTTTGCCCCAAGGAACAAATCCTATATCCTTGATTGCTCAAAAGAGACAATGTTGTCTTTTCTGCACCCCAAAAGCTCGCCACAATCCTATTGAAGCGTTCAGAGGCATTATTTGCCTCATAGTTTGAGGATTAGCGGACTTTCAGTCAAGTTTTATTGTTTTGAACAACACAGTAAATCCTGTCCATTCGAAGTGAAGTAGTCCCCCTAGATGGCAGCTATTCAGGGGATGCTAATCAATTCCGGTGAAATCAGAGCAGATTTGGATAACCAACAAGCACCGAACAGTCGCCAGAATAAAGAAGCACGTGGAACAAGAAAACTGGCTCATGTAAGCACTATTTCTGATTTTACAAATTTCAAGTCCGAGTTCAATGCAGTCCAATGCAGCCCTATGCAGTCCCTTTACCTGTAAAAAAAACTTACGCATAGTAAATATATATATATATATATTATATATAGCCATAGCCATGATCCATGGCCCATATTTATTTAAATATACTCCAAGATATTGTACATGTACACCGCTCATTGGAACCCGACTCTGCTTTTATGTGTACAGCAATGCCATAATAAATTAATTAAACATGCAGGCGAGAAGACTGTCGGCTCACCAAAAAATATTCTTTTTTTTTCTTTTATATTATTGTCGCTCTTTTTATCGCTCTTGCTTTTCTGCCTGTTGTGTATCTCTCTCTCTTTTGTGCTCTCCCTTTCTCTTTCACTCTCGATTTTTCACTTCTCTCTTTCTCTCTTTCACTTTTACTTTCACTTTCATATTTCACTTTTTTTTCCCTCTGTTTTTTACTCTCTTTTATTGCCTACTTTCTAATTTTTATTTGCATCACGTTCATTTGTTATCTGCTTTGATTGTCTCCTTGCACCTTTCTGCCTCCAACTTGTAGAATAGATCTTCCCTAATATCACTTTATACTCTCCCTATTGCCGTGGCGATAGACGAGAACAGAACAAAACAAATATTCAAAGAAAACCTGGTGCACACTCATACACTCATACACTCATTCTCTTACTCTCAATCTGACACACATAGTCTTCTCTCCTTCCTTTCTCTCTCTCTTTTTTTTCTCCCCTTTCCGTCTTTGCCTTCTACATAACGACCCTTAACTATCATCCTCTTGACAACAACCTTATAACTTTAATACCTAAGCCGATCAATACAGCATTGGCAGTGTAGCCATGTCCTGGCAACTCAAAAATAAGCGGTTTCAGGCTACTGGAACAGGCAATCTTAATACTTCAGGCATAGGCACCTCACATGGCGTCGGTGTTTCATCTCCCACTAGTGCTACAGGACATCATCTACCACTTCATCTCGAAGGAGGTGAAGACATTGTACGTCAATCCGCTCCTGCCGCATCTCAAACTGACACACAAAAAACTGCATTCATGCGATGGGTTAATGTTCATCTCGCCACCACAACCACTTATGGACCCATGACCTCTATAGAAAAAGACCTTAGGGATGGTAAAAGGCTTGTTGGATTGCTTGAAGTGGTTTCAAAAGAACCACTCAAGCCTGAACGCGGCAACATGCGTATCCATCAGATGGCAAACGTCTCCAAGGCACTATCTTTTTTGGAAAAGAAGACAGATGAGCCGCTTGGAAGAATTGGAAATGAAGATATTGTCGACGGAAATGTCAAGCTTACACTCGGTCTCATTTGGATCATTATTTATCGGTTCCAGATCCAGACTATCGCCAACAACATGACTGAACTGTATCCATCGCTGATTGAAGAGATGAACATGGTAACGTAGCTGAGAACCACTTTAATGCGCAGCAACAACCTATATTCTTTTTCTTTACTTTTTTAAATACAAATATCACCAATTCCTTACTTCATTCTAGAGATACTCCATAGTTTTGTTTTATTTTTATTTTTTTACTTTATTTTACTTTATCTTATTTTAACGGATTAATTTATTATGGTTTTTGGGTGGTTGAGAGCAATTTCCGCCCACCCGTGATGCCAATCTGAAAAGATATCTCCGCATAACGACCTTAAAAAAAAAAAAACTGAAGCTAACCTATAAACATTTTTATCAAATCAAAATATATTCTTCTGATTGTCTTAACAGGAAGATGAAAGCAATAGCGTTGCTCCTATTTCGACACAAAAAGGGAAAAGGAAGGGTCCTTCACAGCATCAGGTCGATGCTAAACAGGCACTACTACGATGGGTGCGTTACCAGCTTGAGGATTACTCAGACATTATCCAGCCCATTCAAGATTTTCACAGATCATGGAGGACAGGAGTGGCTTTTGCAGCATTGATTCATCGGCATGATCCGGAGTACATTCCAGACTTTTATCCAGAGATTCTACAGATGCCCCATGAGACTGTCGAACAATGGCGGAGTACTCTGACTAGAGTCTTCGATATTGCTTATGAAAAATTATCCATTCCTCGGTTGCTCGACCCCAAAGATCTAGTTGATGTAGAAACGCCAGATGAAAGATCTCTTATGACATATGTCTCAGAGTATTACCTTGTCATGGCCAAACATCAACAGCAACAGGATCCAGCTCTTGCAGAATGCCTCCAAGCCTTGCGCGTTCGTGCCAAAGAGGAACGCCTAGCTGTGGCAGGCGAAGACCAGCAAGCAGCCATGCGCAGGGTACAAGAAGAGGAAGAACGCAAGAAGCAAGAGGAGCTAGAGGAACTGGAGCGCATCCGTCTTCGAAGAATGGAAATCGAGGGTTGGTCCATTCGTGCTGTCGAGAAGGCCAGAGAAGAGGAGGAGGCAAGGAGGAAACGCAGAGAAGAGGAAGAAGCAAAGAGCTTGGCACGCAAACTAAGACGTGAACAACGTGAGCGTGAGCAGGCTATGCTCCTTCAACAGGCAAATGGTGGTAAACGGCAGAGAAGCTTTTCAGTCTTGAACTCTGTTGATTCAGGTATCGCAGAGTTGGATTCAGTTTTCATTACAGGAAAGCCAGAACCCATGGACCCCGAAGAGCTGAAAAGACGGCAAATAGAGCTGGACGAAAAACTGAGCCTATACCTGCAGGAGTCGACAAAATTTTTAGAACGGCTTCAAAGACAAGAGGAAGAGTTTCCTGAAATACCAGATACCTCTAAACCACTTGATCGTTCAAAAGATATAGATCCGTTTAATCTTGCTGTCGAGCAATCAGAGGAAGAACAATTGGACAAACAGGAAGAAATGACTCGTCTTCAATCTGTGCGTGACGAGCTCTTGGATCACGAGTCTCCTGAATTAACAGCTGAACAATCTACAGAGGTCGATAAAATGTGGTGGAGCATCGATACGACCTGGAACAACCTCAACAAGAGAATATCTGAAGCCAAAAACATTATGCAGGAGCTACAGTGGATCGTGGAATGCTCGCAAGAGATTGAACGTATCCTTGGCGATGTTCAGCGGTTCGAAGAACAGCTCCAAGCTACAGCCGAGAAACGGCTTCATGATAGCCCTCAGGATCGATCGCAACTCACGCTTCTCGATCATCAAGATTCCAACTTGCTCTCGATTCGTACGCTACTGAAGAAGTATGTTGAAATCCTGTCAACTTTGCTGGATTCCAACACCTACACAGTCCCAGAGCATCTTGAGCAGCAAAAGGCGCAAGTCAGCTCCGAGCGTCTCCCAAAACTGGACTCTAGTGTAAAGGAAGCTGAGAACAATTTAAGAAATGACCGTTTGTTGAGTGTATTTTTGAGCACATTCGACTTGTCACAAGAATGGATTCAGAAAAGTTCAGAGTGGCTCGCGACCCTCCATGCGCCAAGCTATGTGCTAGAGGATGTTTGGGCCACTGGTGAGACTGTCAAAGAATACTTAGCTAGAGATCAGTCCCGTGATGACAATCTGGATCAATACCGGGCCGAGGCTAATGAGCTTAAAGCGAAGTTGGACGAGGAGCAGGCCAGGGTGATTGAATTTAAATCAACTACAATTGAGAAATTGGATCAAGACTCTGAAGCAGTAATCGTAGGCATGGCGGAGACTAATGACGCTACTGCACAGCGAACAACTGGAACTGTCCAAGATATGACTCAAGAAATCAAAAGGGATTTGGAAAGAGTGGAGGATATGCTACCCAAGGAATTGGAACGTTGTGCTTATGCAATGCGTGTCCTTGACTACCTTTTTGCTATGCGTTCGACTCTTTCCTTGCTTGAGACTGCTTTTCATGCTGTCAATAGCTGGGTACTAACTCAACCCTCTACAGATGTTGAAACAGCCGTGAGCCAAGTTGAAGACAGCTACAGCTGTTTAGAGAAATCTTTCAAGACCGATAAAACCCTTCCTATTGTTTGGGAGGCAATCCAAATCCGACATGCAGCTGTATGCAAACTTGTATTTGACCTTCGTTCTACTTTTGTCGACAAGCAGAATATTCTTAAGGCAGACCAGAAAATGAAGGAATTCCTCAAGTTTGCAGGATCCTGCCAGACGACGCTACGAGAGTTCCGATCCAAGCTTTATGCTGACGCCCCTTTAAAGGACTTTACTTTGGAGGATGAAGTACCATTTACCGAGTATAAAACAATGGTCAAGGATGTCGGTGATGCGGTTGTTGCATTTGAGGCGGAAGAATATATTAAATTTAATGAAATGGCCTCTGAGACAACTGCTGCAGTCAGCGTCCCTGGATCAAAACATGACCCGATCGTGGTTCAAAGCAGAGTTACGAGCGTCAATCGTCTTTTAAGTGATACCAAGGCGCTTCAAGTTGATCGGGAGAGAGATATTGTCACTATTGCAGAGTGTCGCCGAGTAGCAGGTTTACTTAAGGCCTTGAGGACAGAATTGAGTGAGCTTGAGTCAAGGTTTGCTGCCTTTGAGGTCACAGATGCCAGTCAGAAGAATAGTTTGGGCGGGATGATTGAGCGCTATGGCCAGCTTTCCAATGAATTTGTTCTTCACGAGCAGAGCAAAGTTTATCGCCATATCAATCGGGATCCATCTTGCATTGTTCTTCTCAAAGAAATCAAAGAACATTTGGTCAAAATTCAACAGGCCCAAACCATCCTTCAGGCTGGTCTAGAAGTTGGAGAGCAATGGAATATTCTATGGGACCAATTCATAGACCGTGTTGAGACATTAGAGCAATATCTGGACAAGACAGAGAAGGGTATTCTGGAACGAGGCATTGCTACGGCTGATGGCCTTGCAGATGGCGACATTAAGTGGAGAAAGAGCGAGGACGAGTTGCATGATGTTGAAGAGATCAACCATCAAACGCTTACAAGTCTGAAAGAATTCCAAAGACAACGCATGCTGGAGCTTTCGAACTTAAAAGTGGCTCTCCATCAAGCTGTCCAGCTGTCAGGCGGCATCGAATCCTTGGATCAGATCCGTATGAAGCAGTACCATGAAGCAGAGCAACATCAACAACGATTGAGAGAGCATCTTCAACGTCTCTATTTACTAAACCGTAAGGAAGGCTTCCAACTAGAGATTCTCGGACAGCGCTTGGTCTGGTCACAGCAGACTGCAGAATCGAAGAAAGAGCTTGGTATCTCGATTTCAGCCTGTCAAGGTAAAGCTTTATCAAAATGCATTCCTCTCCTTTACACGTTGTCACTCTTTTCTAACGCTTATATGTATATCTCACTATTATTCTGAACTGCTAGACATTGTGGAAGATTATGCCGACTTGCTAGAAAAGTGCGATGAGCGTAACGGAACTGCAGGTTAGTAGAAGCGAAATGAACAGTATTGCATCTAGATTAATTGATATGAGGTTTTTATTATTTTACATTAACACATATCCCATTTTTATATATATATTTTTTTTTTAAAAAAAAAAAAAAAAAAAAAAAAAAGATCTCAATCCAAAGACACTAGAGCAGCTCAAACATCAATTAGATCAAGTTACGGCCAGAGTAACAGCTCATAAAGAGGCTTCTTTTGACGTAAGTCTTACTATCTACGCTTCCCTTGCAGAACTCGCAACCACTGCTGCTCCTGGAGAAACCGAGTCTACCGAGAAGAGGGTTCCTCCTCATTTGGAGGCCGAACTTCTCGAATTCAAGAGCCGCTACGAACTGGTGGAGCTTCACATAGAGTATATTCGTCAGGTTGTGGGTCATGCTGCCCAGGCAGTTGAATACGTACGAAGAATTGACGCTATGGATAGCGATTTATTGCGTATGGCTACGGAGCTCAAGGCCGATAAAGAAGCCGATCCTACTGCGCTTGATAGGCTTGAAGTTATTCGTGCCGAACTTCAGGATTTAACTAGTGAAGCCAATAAGGTCGTCGAGATGCCTAAGCCTTCTGAAAAGATCATAGAGATGTACAGTTCCCGACGACAGCCAAATCGCGCTTGCCTAGAGAAGGTTCTCAGGTCACGCCTAGCCCGCAGCAACGACTTGAATCGGGTTCTTGATTCTCTACTTTCTGATTTCAAAGCACTGCTGGCTTACCAGAATGGCCTCCGTAAATTGCTGGAAGAGCTCAACGATCACAGCAGCTGGGTAGGTCGTTCTAACCAGAAAGTACAAAAAACCCATGATCAGATCAAGCAAATGTTCAAGTCTTGGCCAGGGGATGAGCTTGAGAAGCTGAAATTGCAGGCGCACGATTCTATGATGCTCTTTGATGTGGATGAGCAAGTCGTGGTTGATGAACTAGATGTACTCATGGCTGACATGGATAGGGAGTTTACTCATGTACAGACGCAAAAGGCCGAGTTCTTGAAGACCAAGCAGAAGGTGGAGTTAGCCTTATGCGAAGCAACAACGAGTTCAAAGCAGCTGCAGATGGAGCTCGAGTGGTGTATTGACCATTTAGCGCGCTCTATTCAGCAGCTTGAGACTGACATTCGCTTCAGGTCGTTGCAACTTCAGGCACTGGAGAAGCGTGCCATCTGGGAGAAGGAAATTGAGGTTGCACGCTCATGGTTCAAGGATTTTGCCAAGGCTGTGATCATCTTTGCACGTGAACAAGCGAAGTGGAAGGCCAACCATAAAGAATTTGATGATACGTCGTCAATGCGATCCTATCGGACGACAGCCAGTCGAATGGTTATTGACCGCCTAGGCAGGTCCGTGCTGGAATTTGATGAGCAAGTGGAGATTTTTGAGACAGAGTCTCGACCACGTGTCGATAAAGCATGGTCGGATCTGTGCTCTGCGCTTTCATTAATCGCACGGTCGGTCCCAGATGAGTTCCAGGGAAGACAATGTGCGCTCGGCGATGAGTTTGAAGAGATCCGTGAGCAGGTCGCGTATAGTACAAAGATTGTCACTCAGCGTAAATCTCTCGAAGAGATGGCCATGCGACTGGAGGAGTTAGAGAACGAATATGGAAACGAGGTTGGATCCATCAAGAGTGGATGGACTGCGCATGTGCCTATTAAGACCAAGCCTCCTAAGAAACGTAAGCACAAAAACGAACTTAATGGTTTCATTATTGAATCTGTGAAAGGTTTATTTTCTAACAGATTTTTTTTTTCTTTTTTTATTAACCATTAGAAAAAGGATGGAGTAAATTTCAGGCCAAGGTCAAGAAGCTAACACGGAAGCAACATTAAAGACGATTTAATAATTTTCCTTTATTTTATTTTTATATTTATCCAGTCATATACCCTCATCAATACACCTTCACTGCATCTTTGCACAACTTTATACATTGCAACCTAAAAAAAATACATACAGTGATGTAGCGACTTCTTGGAGATGACATCTTGGAGTTACTATTGTTATGACCTTTTTCTTAATAAAAATAATGATCTCTTCTTATTAAGACATTAAATCAAAATTAGACATCAAGGAAATACGACTCTAAATATGCTTTCAACCCGTAATCTCACAAACTTTCAGACAAAGAAGAGGCTGTCTGTAGAGGGCAATTTATTAAACAAACAAAATTAAAGTTCTAAGTGAGGCTGTCCAATAGTGCTGTCGTCGAAGCCTCTCGCCGGAGAATAGGCCGTACTGTTTGACATTGAATCGAGAAAGAGGCCGCTCGTACCATCCTAGGCGGCACAAATGGTTCTATTGAACCACTCTCCGATTTTTGCGGAGCACGACCCATTCCTCCGTGGCTTCTGGCCCTTTCTCTTGAAAAAGCACGCTTCTGGGGACTCTTCGGACGTACTTGGCTAACTTGTTGTTCTAATGAATCCATCGGAAGCACTTCGCCCATTACAATGTCCGTATCATCACATTCATTAGTCTGATAATCAAGGAACGATGAGTCAAGACGTTTACTTAAAGCTGTTGAGCCTACTATATCGGTGATTTCCCGCTCTGCATCTTGCTCATTCATGTCGTCAAGGAGAGTGATTTGTGAACCTTGACGCCATAACAAAGGCGGCTTAACTATGCTTTTTGGTGACTCTATTGTCGCCGCCGCTGATGTGCTAGCGCTTCCTACCGCTGGCGCAGATAATTGATGCTTCAAAAGAGGTACCTTTGGAGGGTTCGTCGTGGAGAATATAGTTTGATCAAATAGGGGCTCTGGGGAGGGTGAGGAAGCCAATGAACCAAGTGGTTCAGAACAGCTGGGAGCGGTCAGGGCGGGCGTATGGGCCGTACGGGCTTGAGCTGAGCTCCATAGCCGATCGAGGCTGGAGGCGATGTTCAAAAAAGTATTATGATTGCTGTTAAAATTATCTGATTGGGAGGTCTGCGAAAGATTGAGAGCGTTCTCATTAGTCGCTGTAGATGTGGAGGGAGATGTATTCGAACCAGCGGTGCGTCGGGTGCCCTGAGCCGAATGAGAAGAAGCATCAATATTTGCTTGGGTCGGTTGGCTCGATAGTCCAGGGACTATCAATAATGAAGACCAGCTCCACCATGGTGGAGGGTTTGGGTATTGATCATCTGGTCCAACGCATGCTTTTCCATGGTGCATATGGTGCTGAGGATTGTATTGATCGACCTCAAGATCTTCATCCCTCTCATCTTCGGTGTAGTCGCTGTCACTGCAGTACTCCAAGGCATTGTTTTCTTTGGAAGATATAATAGTGGATCCATGTTCATAACCAAAGATAGAGTTTTTGGAGTCATCGAATCGCACTGTCTTTTTAAGAGGACTCGTAACAGGTGATTCTTTGTTTTCTGAGAAAGAGGGTTTTGGCGATTGCTGTTGAAACTGCGTCTGTGGAGGCGATACTGAAGGCTGAGTGTAGGGCAAGGAATGGGGAGAGGTATTGTCTTGGCCAGAAATACGTCTCTTTTTTGTATGAAACTCTATATCAGCATCAAATTCCTTAAATAATAAATTTTGGAATGAAAATTACGGAATGTTGATTAGTGGACCGTGCGGGTGATGTGAGATATTTGTAGGAACGTCCTCAGCGGTCCTCACGTATTAACCATTTCAATAAAAAGTGATTTTCGATTTTCCTCTTGCTTTTAGGCATTTTGGTAAGACGTTGAGTCACCGTACCTGTGACGAGAGTAAGGACGTATCACTTGGTTCTGAAGATAATGGCAGCGACGTTGGTGAATCAGCGACTGATGGATCCGCTAGAGTTTCATCTTGGTCATCGAGCATGTCATCGCTATCCATGTATAGTACATTATTTGGTGGAGTCCTTGGACTGTCGTTGGTGATAGCTGAGGAGTGTCTCATAATTGAATACGCAGACAATTTTAAGTGAGGGCCAGATGAATTGGATTGAGTTAATGGAGAAGCATTTCTTACTGACTTTGAGTCGGATCTTCTGAAAGGTGAAGACCAAAATTCAGGCCGTCCGATAAGACTGTTGGCCTTTGTATTCTCCCTGGTGGCCCTAGCAAGCTCGACAGCTTCAGGTGTTAGTCCGGCCAAAGAGTCGAAAAGGCTAAGGCCTGCTGATTGAGACATATTACTACTCGTTTTAATAGACTCGGCGATAGTGCTCGTTAGCGAAGAGGATGAAGCAGGTGATTTGCATGAAGTGATCTGGTTGTTGTTATTATTATCGCTGATGCCTCTGTTGCTACTGCTGTTGGCATCAATGTTGTCGCTATTATCCAAAACAGTGATTGAAGGGCAGTCTGCAAGGGCGTGAGGTGTGGGAGACCTGGTAAGCCTTCGTTTTTTAGATGGATACGAAACAGAAGCAGTAAGGGATGCATTGTCTTTTTGGAAAGATGAATGCTCGTGTTCTTTCCCCATTATGCTTAGTGTTACTGAGAAATAACAAGTTGCGAGCTGAATGGTAGATTGAAGCAAAATAATGAGAGTCAGGTGCACAAACAGAGAAGGAAAATATGGAAGAAAGAGCGAGAGAAAGAACCTGCGAAGGGAGAGAGGATAAAGAGTGTTTATGGTGAAGGGTGGATGGGTAGAGGAGAAAAGAGGATAAGTAGTGACATCGCCAGAAAAAAAAAAGAAAAGGAGAAAAAAAAAAGTCAGCAGAAGCTGATGTATTTATATTAAATATATTAAACGTGAATAGCTAGAAGAATTATTGGTTTTAGCTTGGCATTCCCATCATTTGCACCATCCAGTGACAGTAAAGAGAAAGAACCAACGTTGCCTACCACTTCTGATTATATTAATAAACACACTATTCCTGTCTCCCCCGCTCTCTACTCTCGCACCTATCCTGTTTGTATCTGGCACTCCCCTGGCTAGCAGGACTGGCAGTTGTATGCCATCCTTTGTCCGCTACTACTGTTACCAGTAATCGGTTCATTTTGAGGTATGCCTGACTTCTCTCGAAAATACAATACAGATACAAGTTGCCTTCCCCCACACAGCAGCAATAGGCTCAATCTATAATAACGAGGGCACCATGGTTTGCATTGATTAGGCATGTATGCGATGCTTTTTGCATGATGGGTTTCTCTTAAGAGACTGAGAACATAGACTGAGTTGGCGTGTTTGGTGGCAACTGAGCCCTTTTTTTTTTTTTTTTTTTTTTGAGTTTGGCAAATCACAAATAGTTGGGTAAGGTCATGTCAATTGAGAATGACTCAGTCCACCTTGCATCTGTTTTTAGCACCCATCAAATGACTTTTTTTTTTTTTTTATTTTATTTTATTTTTTTTATTTATGCCACATGTGCCTTTTAGAAATTTTTTAAGTATATATATTGGATATCATCGGTAACACTTCTTTGGGTGCCCAGGATCATGGTTATCCTCTATGTCGTGGCAAGACGATCCGAAGAGTTGGATTACTAACATCAGTGTTGGTGATACAAAAACAGTAATGAAGGGGCTACAGATTATGTGAACACCCCTATTTTGTAATGATCCTCTGGCGCATAACTCGCTTGTCTCGCCACAATCTGACACCTCTGTTGCTCTCGCATCGTTTTATAATTTGATTGCGCCGCAGTACCTGCGAATGGTCTGACCACCGCGAATCGCTATCTATTCGTTCTGGTTTTGTTTTATTGTTCTACAGGATGTTTACTCCTGGATACATCCTTTGTTAAATTTTCTAACGCCTCCAGAACACTCCTCTACACCTGAACCATGGGATCTGATCCCCTATATGTTCATACAAAACCGCTAAAACACAGGCCGCCGCAAAACCAAAAAGGCGTCAAACGAAGGACAAGGCTGAAGGGCGAGATCCTTGACTATATCTTATTTTGAGTCATCCATGATTGGCTGTAAAGCTGTGAGTTGGCTCTTGTATAAGATGTTTGAGCCTGTCTTGCATCTTTCTGCTACCATACTCTTAAAAAAGAAGTGAAATCATGAATTGACTAAAATGTGATCGGTTGGTACAGCATATGTCGCATAAAATCGAGTGTTTCCATATTTTCTTCTTTGAGGCTTCTTTTCAAATCGTACAAAGCCATATATGCTCTCTGCGGTAGAGAAAAGCTTAAAGTAATATTGATAGGGAGAATAATGAAAATGTATTCAGTAGTTTGGGCTTCTCCCGGACAAATCTATTTCTTTATTGAACTGATAGAGCAGGTTTAAGATTTTAAATTCATGCAGAGGTGGTTGAATAAAATTTAATTGCTTTGTCATCTGATACAGAGGCAAATTTATTGCCTTGCTTGTTCCACGCAAGACCCCAGACTTGATCACTGTGGCCATCCATGGTGTCAATGCACTGGTCTGCTACTAAATCCCATAACTTCACTTTACTGTCGCTTGATCTACAGAATCAAAGTAAAAAAACGGTATGTCGTTCAGTGTTTATATACGGTCCAAGGCGCAGGCTCTATCGTTAGCAAGTAACTTACCCACTGGCAACATGAACGCCATCGCTGCTGACGGCAACGCTTAGTACCCAAGCAGAATGTCCTGAAAGTGTACGAATGGTATTTCCATGAACACTAAAGGTGAAAATACCAAAGCGGAATAGAGTTAGAACATAGATGTAAATAAGTGTTAAGTTTCGACGAGGCTGAAAGAAATTAGAAGTGGCTGGATCTTTACGCATCATGAATCATAATCCTCTTGTCATCAGAGCCCGTCATCAGTTTCGAAGAGTCACTGGAGAAAGCCAATGAACGAACAGTCATAGCATGACCTAGACCAAAAAATAAAGGGGAATCACAAGTTAGAATGCCAACAGCATTCATGCGTTTTTGTTGTTTAATATCAAAATAGCGTGAGCACAAACCTTTGAACGTATTGCGCAGCTTTCCAGTGGCAACATCAAATAACAGCACTGTTGCTGAATCAGGCGATGCCTCTGTTCCACAAGCGATATATTCTCCGTTGGGACTCTATTGCGAAATATCAGCAGTAAAAAAAACTCAAATCTAGTCAATATCATAAGGGAATGTAATGCCGTTCTCGCTTCCTTCTTAATCCCACTCGATCCTTTCAACAAGATGATTATGTTGCTTAATAGAAGTCATCTTACATAAGCAACACACATCGAGAATTTGCCGCGGCCTTCAAATGTTTGCACCTTTTCTCCTGATTCTACGCTGAATTGATTTATATCTCCTGAAGATGACCCTGTAGCAATGTGTTTCCCATCTGGCGAAAACTTCGCTGTCCATGCTTGAACTATATTTGATATCCAAGAGAATTAAAGTACTTGGTAAAAAATCATTGTATTAACCTGCAAAAAAAAAAAAAAAAAAAAAAAAAAGCCCATCGTCGAGTAAAAGAAGAGTAAAAAACAAGAAGCAAATATTATATCCGTACCCGCGCCAGCGTCGATGACTTTGTGTTGTTTAATATTCTCCAGATCCCAGATCCTGATTTGACTATCCAGGGATGTTGAAACAGCCACTATTCCCAAGCACATAAAAAGAATTGTATGATGAGCCAGCTTGCAAATGCCCCGTGGAGGCAACGCCATAAAGAGTTAAAAAAGGAATAGCCAGACAACTAGGTTGGGCTCCCTACGTGTCCCATCGGCATTGGTATCCACAGAATTAACGCCCAGCTGGTGACCAGTTAATGTCCCTTTTAATTCGCCACTGTCAGTATCCCTATTAATGATGAACGTTGTAATGGATTTGGCGTCTGAATGAGTATCTTCCCTTTTAACTAGCTACTAATCAAAACTAACGTCTTCTAAAAAAGATTTCAGAAAAGCATACCAAACCTTGACAGTAGCATCGAGCGAGCCAGTTACAAGCGCATTTTTTGATGACCATGCAACGCTCCAAATGCCGTCCTCATGTGCTTAAAGTTAAGAAAGGGCATGGGTCAATTTAGCTATATGAATAAGCTCGTATTGCCAATTCAAGAGGCTAGGTATAATAGGTAGTATGCTTTACCATCCTCTTTAGTCAAACTAGTCAAGAACTGGGTAGGCTAAAGAATGTCATGTACAGGAAAACAAATAAGAGACGTGTTAATGAAAAGCATTCCATCTCTTTTTAACGCGTTCAATGTCATGATAGCCCTAGTTCCTTGCGCTTGCCTTCCCATACCATACTATATACTGTAATAGAGGATGTGCTCAAAGAATGGGGAGCTATTTATCTGATGGATGAATGTACTGGCGCAATAGTAAAGACGCGTCGTCTGCGTTGCAGGTCTTAATGGTTTAATATGAATGTTTATGATTGTGGCGCAGTTTAACGATCCTTCTCGTTGCCACATTTGGCTATTCTTGTCTTTCTGGAAACTGAAACTGAAATTGTAATAATTGATTCAGTACCTCTACTCCTCTTTGCGAGGAAAAAATAAAAAAATATTAAAAAATTCTCATCTTCCAACATTAACACATCACCTTCCTAGTATTAAGTTAGACTACTCCTATACTTCTTATTAACTCCTTCGCCAATCCATTACTATTATGTCTAAACAATTGAGTAGTAACATTCTTCGCCATGTATTACCTTTCACAAGGCGTGCCAATAACTTGGCAAAACCTCTCGTCAGCCGCATGAACAAACACCAGCATGCATCACTACAAGTCGATGATTATGTCAAGGTAACTTTATTAAAGGCTCACAAGAACTCATTAGAAGATGTCTTGCCATTGATCAGCTCAATAGTCTAGTTAAATTATTTTTCAGTATTAACTTTACATTTTATGACCAAAACAATAGACTCCTGACCATACCCTCTCGAAGGCATCAACAACAGCAATATCTCCAAGCGACAATAGCATCAGGACTAGCAGCAGCAATTTGGCTGCAAAAGTTACAAGATTGTCAAATGGAGTCCGTGTGGCTACGGAAGATAGCCAAGGGCACTTTGCATCATTGGGAGTATATGTAGATGCAGGATCTAGATATGAGGATGATTCTACACGAGGCGTAAGTCATATCCTCGACCGTTTGGCGTTCAAATCAACCACAAATAGGACTAGCGAGGCTATGATGGCTGATCTAGAGACCGCAGGAGGCAATGTGATGTGCTCGAGCTCAAGAGAATCCATCATGTATCAATCTGCGCTATTGCCCCAGGATCTACCTCGAATGCTCGCTATTATGGCAGACACCATCCGTAATCCGGCTATCAAGGAGGAAGAATTGGAGGAACAGAAGGTTTCAGCAGGGCATGAGATCCACGAGTATTGGTCGAAGCCTGAGATGATCTTACCAGAGTTGTTGCACACAGTCGCATATAAGGATAATACGCTTGGCAATCCATTACTGTGTCCTATGGACAGTCTAGAGACAATGACCACGGATAACATCAAGGGATATATCAAGACGTGGTATAGGCCTGAGCGGATAGTGGTCTCGGCAGTTGGTGCAGACCATGACAAGGTTGTAGATTTAACCGAAAAATTATTTGGAGACATGAAGGCGCCAGCTTTATCAGGGGCAGGGGATCAATCAGCATCACCATTAGTGGAATCATCGAGGACCAAGAGTGGGCTTTTCAAGTCGTTGTTTGGTGCTAAAACTGAATCTTCAGCAACCATTCACACACCTGACTTTAATGCTCTTAGCCGGCAGGCTGCCAAATATACTGGGGGCACTCTTTTGATTGAGGATGAAACTCAGCCTTTCACTCATCTCTTTGTTGGATTTGAAGGCTTGTCAATTCATGATGAAGACATTTACGCTTTGGCTACCTTGCAATTGTTGATGGGAGGTGGAAGCTCATTCTCAGCTGGTGGACCAGGCAAGGGCATGTACTCACGGCTGTTCAGCAATGTGTTGAACCACTATAACTGGATCGAGTCCTGCATGTCTTTCAACCATTGCTACTCTGATTCGGGTCTCTTTGGTATTTCTGGATCGTGCTATCCTGGGTATGAAACCATGCTATTGGAGGTTATCGTCCGAGAACTCGAGCTAACGACACGGACAGGTCGTGGTGGCATTGCACAGGGAGAGCTGGATAGAGCTAAGAATCAGCTTCGGTCGAGTGTATTGATGAATTTGGAATCCAAGATGGTGCAGTTGGAAGATTTGGGTAGGCAAGTTCAGGTTCATGGATACAAGGTGCCTGTGGAAGAACTGTGTGCCAAAATTGAAAGGGTGACCCGCCAAGATATGGTCCGTGTAGCTCGCAGGATCTTTGGAGGTCAGGTTGGACTAACAACGGGTGGTTCAGGCGAGGTTACGATCGTAGCTCAAGGCTTGACTAAGAGCCTGGAGGGTGCTGAGAAGGTTTTAGAAAAGTATGGTCTTGGTAAATCCGCTAAATGGTGATAAAAACAGTGGAAAAACGAAATAAGTCTTAAAAAAAAGCTTCGTGGAGCAGCTTTTGAACATCTTGTCTTTATGGTGTAAAGAGCACAAAACATATTTTAGATTCAAATGTCATTATCTCTTCCAGCAGTGGAAAGTCGAAAAAAAAAAAAAAAAAAAAAAAAGTTGGCTAAAATGCGGATATGCCTGAACATACCAATACAGATCGATTTATTACTAGAGCATAGGTTTATAATTGCCATGATATTGGAGCATTATACTTTACAGGCGGATAGTTAAAAAGCACGCCAATGATTAAGGGAATAGGTGTAATATCAATTGCGTCAAGGATTGAGCGATACATGTTTAAAGCATGGGTCATAAAAACAACTAATCCTATTTTTGTTGAAGCAAAAGCTTTTTCATCCACTGGCAGAGATGTCAATATGGTTAGTGATCTTGCTATCGCAGTGGTGCCTATGATAGGCGGTATCTGTTTCAATCTTTTCATCAACATCTTTGATCGGCGTAATTTCGCGTAGTGCAGAAATGGTGCTTACAGGACTATCGCTGAGCTCACATGCTTCTGCAGAAGCAAGATTGGTTGTGATAATGGCTGTTGAAGTTGGAGCTGTAGCTGACCCGGATGTGAGGCTTCGTGGAGTTGTAAGACTATTACGACTGTTGTTATTAGTGCTGTCCGATGTACGTGGTGGTAGCGGGTTGGTTGTAGTCGCGGAGGTAACCACAGCTAGCTGACTCTCACGTAATGTACTCTCGCGCTTTGGTTTGATTTCATCTCCAGTAATGACACCAACGCCGCAACGCGCCAAAAACATGCTCAGCCGGATCCTGAGGAAGTCAAGGTAGAGCTTCTCAGGAGTAGTGGTGCTCGATATTATGCGCTTCGAAATCATGCGAAGAACACTGTAGAATGTGCAGACGGATGTTAACCGTGTTCTACAATAGGGGCAGATAGTCTTCGATTCGCTTGTTGTATCTGTGAGTCGATACTGGTAATAAAGAGGTGTCGTTATGCTAGTGCCACAAAGAGCACAATTATGGCTAGTATTTGTTGCTCCCGATCCGTTCTGAGTGATCGTGTTAGGGTTAGAGGGGGTTTGTCCCTTGGGGAGAGAATTGGACAAATGATTCGAATCCTTGGTATTAGGGCTGATAGGCATTGCTTCGACGACGAGTGTATTTTCTGTCACTGCAGTCATGAGTCGTTTTCGCTGAGTCCATGACAATAAGTTTCCTGGGTCGAAACGTAAGGTTGCTTCAACATCCTCAGATGACATTTTTTTCAAAAGGCGACAATTAGATAGAAGCGTACTTATGGGTATCACTGTATTTGACGCGGAAGAAGATGTATGTGCTGTGGTAGGGGTAGCTTTGCCCATGATATTGAATGAATAGATGGCTGTGAGGCCTATAGAAGTGGAAGGCGACGTTGTTGATATTGTAATTTTGCCTTCTGATGACTCCGCTGTGGCTGCGGTGCCGAAAATACTCTCAATGTACGATTTAAATTCAACGAAGGATGGATCCCAAAGATGGAACCCAAGGCTGGGGATACGATCATCGTTTGAATCGTTGAGTAAATGTGAACCAGGGTGATCCTCATCTGAGAAGTAGCACGAGTCCGTTTTGGATTTGACACTGGAGGCAGAGCTGCGGTGCTGGCGTGCATCATGTTGTAGAATTTGCTGGACATACTTTCTGGTCCCTACTGCAGTCTCTGCATGCATACCGGAGAATGAGCCTGACATGGAGTTGGAAGGTATCCAGCGGCGTGCAACAGCTGCTGTTGACATGTGATGGTGAATGGATGTTGAGGGGGACATGGTGTGGTGATAGTGCTGTTGCTGTTGCATCTGATGCTGAAGCTGTACAAATGCCAGCTCAATTGCATCCCGCTCATGTTGAACTATATCCTTTTCATCTGATAGCTTGCTCATTCTTATCTTCAGCTCTACTAATTGGTCTCTTTCAGACTTGCAAAGATCCAAGACTTCGTCTAATTGTCTCTCTAACGACTCGATCTTTTTTTCAGCCATATATGTTGCTCGTCGCTCCTCTTTAACCATTCGATTGGCCTCTTCAAAGAGACTCCTACTGAGGTCTTCTAGCTCAGATTCTAGCTTCATCTTGGAAGTTTCGATCTGGGATCGCCTCTGGGACTCATAAGCGAGGTTCTCAATAACGGGCTGAACATCCTTCTTTTCAATTAGCTGACCTGAAGATATCATGTTTAATAGTTTTTCATAGTGCTTTTCATTTTCTCTGAGCATTTTCAGTTCACTTTGAGCTGCCTGGAGCTCCATTTGTGTGATGTTAAGCTGTTGATCAAGGTCCATGCGCCCTTCGGTTGATTCGACCAGTTTATTGACTAGGGAATCATTTTCCGCAGCTAGACTTGAGTTTTGGGCCGTAAGTTTGTCAATCTGAACTTTGACGGAGGGTATGAGAGGATCATTAGATGGGCTCAGTTGCTGGCTGAGAGTCGATGACAGTTGTACTGCAGCCCCACAACTGTTGCAAACTATTGACATGGTATGAGGAATTTAATTTGACAGGATACGAGAGTAACGGAAGGACAGGAGTAGAGGGTTTATCGATCAAACTTATTTTGGGGGGGTTGATGAATTAAGATGGATAAGGGAGCTGTAGTATAACAGGATGTATAAGAGGAGCGCAAGAGTAAATGGAAGAACAATGCAGACATCACAAGGCGACGAGATTAGCAATAAGGTGATAAAATTATTGTTTTTTTTTTTTTTTTTTTTTTTTTTTAGGCACAATGAAATGGGCAACGCATAGGTAGTGAGAAAGAAAGAGGAAAAGGAGAAGAAAGACAGGGTTAGTATATACACTGATACATTCGGGCTCACGGCGAACAAAGTGTGTGGGTATGCGCGTTGTTCATTTTTCATAATTTTCATGTGTTTGATTAATTGACCATTCCAACCCAAAATAACGAAGAAAAAAATGCGAGCATGCACGAAGATCAGATGGATAGTCAGAAGTATGCAAAGGCATAGGTTATTGTGATCCGGACGGGACAAAGAAGATTGTTTACTGAACAAGGGAAGAGGATACTTTTGTTTTTTAGTGCGGGAACGTTGCTCAATGTAATAAAGAAAGTAACTGTGATGAATAGCAGGCATTGGCCAAGCCAAGCCAAACCAAGCCAAGCCAAGGGATCAAACAAGAATGATGAAGAAAAAGGGGAGCGGACCAAAATAGAAGGCAAATTAGATCTGACAAATAAAGTAACCAAACAGTTCAAATGACGACTATCAGCACAACCGTCGAATTAGCAAACTGCTTCCGAGATGTAAGAGGAATAAAGAATAAGACAACGATCAAGACAAGAAAAAGAATTGATATATAAGAGAGAAAGGGACAAAGAGTGCGTGTGAAAGTGGGATAAAAAAAAAAAAAAAAAGGAAAAGGAGAAGAGTACTTACCTAGTGTGTGTAAAAATGCGAGGGAAGCTGGTAATTGCGCGAGAGGGAGAATGATTAATGAAAATGAAAATGATTAATGAAAATGAAAATGAAAATGAAGAAATGGAAATGAATGAGTAAAAGTGATAGGTCAAGAAGAAGAAAAAGGCAACGAGAAGTTTTATGGGACCTCAGAGCGAGAGGGGAGAAATAAGCTCGAGGGCAAAGTGATGAGGCGATGATGACGGAGCAGGTTATTTATTTTTAATTTACTCTCGAACCAAAATTTATGTTGAACCAGCACCGGTATATTCTTATCATTATTATAAATCACAGACCATGGCCACATTGACTGCTCTTATTTTAATGCATTAATGAACAATGGCCTGTAGCAAAACTCAATGCAAATGATTTGGGGCGCCCTGCAAAACTTTGTTTTGGATAAAATTGATTGCATTAAGGCACCACACATGTCAAAAGAGATCAGGAAAAGTGCTCACTTGCTTCTTTTCACACCGCGATCCATCCCCTCTGTTTATTATAGGATAGTAAATATAAACACTGTGGCTGTTCTTGCCAGTTTACTTGCTACAACAGCCTGACTTGTGACTCTCATTTGATCACCATTGACAGGTTGACTACAGCATTGTCCCATTGCCCCTGGACTCCTTTGGCTGTTCGTGCCAATAAAACCCGTATTCTTTTTTGGTCACGCGTCGAATTTTAAGATGATGAGAACAAGGACATATTCAGATAATCACTTTACGAAGCTACATGTCTCAAAAAAGTAGACAAGGAATGAGATAATCTTGCAGCAAGGAGATATTAGAACTCGGAAACTATTGCAACAGTTTTTAATAAAGACATAAAGACCCTAACTCTGTAGGTACCGCTTAAAAAAGTACCACAAGTTTATTGAGCCACATCTCATACAAGAGATTTGTGCACATCACGCTTCAGGTTAAACATCTCTGGATACACCAGATTGGTTGGCGAGAAAATATCAATGGGGAATATTAGGAAATGCATGTGGTACAAAACATCTCGGCCAAGTTCATGATGCTGCAATGGATCCAATCACCTGACCACGACTGCTCCAAATGTAGTGCTTGCTGTAGAACAAAAGCGTGAATGCATTCCCTTACGCGCGCGTCTATTCTTGCATGCAATTTTCTTTGCAATTCTAATCTTTTTCGAGCTTCCAAACATATTGTAACAATGAACATTGTTTTTACTGCCCGCAAATCCAGTTCAGTCTTTCAAGCGATTAAAGGCAATTTCACGGGGCCAGCTGATCTAAATCTTATTCTTGGGTACGTAAACAGGAATCTCGCACAAAGGAAGCGCTTATTTTTTTATTGCTCAAAATGAAAAAGGATGGCTGGCCCTCCCTAACCTATCCTCTGATCTTTCTACGCCGGTTTTGGTTCCATATCCTCTTCATAAAAATGAATATCACTGCTTGAAACAAATAAATAACCAAACTATGCAGTAAGGGGACTCGGATCGAAGTCTATCTTATTGGGCGCGATGGCCTTAAACTGGTCAAGGGATTTGGCATTTATGGAGAAATTGCCTGTCTTGAGCCCTTTCGGCCTCCGGTAAGCAGTGCGGAGGAAAATCTCCTGCTTCACGGAGGCTTTTCCGTCCTGAATGGACTGGGATAAAGTGGTTTACAAAAATTCAATATGCTAATTTTATTCCTATTTGGCACGTCGCTTTTGTTGGTTTTGCGGATGTCATCAGGGCCATACTACAGACATGTTGCTAGTGACGACAACACACTATGATATGCTGACGCTATCACTGCGGCTCACATCTGCAGATGGATCAGCTGATGCTTTAGCTAATAGTGCTTCGCAGTTCAGCATTATTTCAGATACGCTTACAGACCTTCGAGATCGACATAATCGACCCTCGGATGCAGGCCAGATACTTATTATTGACCCCTCGTCATTGGTCATTTGCTGTCATCTCTACCAAGGATTGCTAAAATGTATCACTGTCAATCCCAATGCTCCAATTCCTACGGGATCAGGCGGACAAAGTATGCCGCAGCCTGGTCGATCTGCACCTTCGCATAACTCAAGGTCTTCTAGAATGGGAGATAAGACGTTTGTAGAGCAGTTCAACCTCCCAATCGAAGAAGTGACCATCATGTCTATGGTATTTTTACATGGCTGTTTGCGGCCTACACTTGTAGTCCTTTACCAGGATAAGAAAGAAATCCGACACGTAAAAACATATGAGCTTGACATAAAATCCAAAGAGAAATCAGAGACTGGCTGGAGCCAGAGTGGTCTGACTGGAGCACATACTTGCATTGCGGTGCCATCGCCTATTGGTAAAGATACTCTCTCAATTTACAATATATGACGAAGGGATTCAGAAAGTTCTAATGCATTCATTATCTTAAACATATAGGTGGTTTTCTTGTCGTGGGAGAATACTCCATCTCTTATTTCAATCCTGCGCAGCGCACTTCGCCTCGCTCTATCACAATTAATCCTACTATTATGCAATGCTACAACCGTGTGGATGATCAGGGGAACCGCTATTTGTTAGGGGACATTAAGGGGCAGCTTTATATCTTGGTGCTAGTTTTGGGCGACGTGCCAGGCCCCTCAACGTCCTCGTCTTCCGCACAACCAATTCAGGCATTTCAAGTCGAAGATCTCAAACTTGAAGTACTCGGAACGACCTCGATTCCCGAGGCAATCGTATACCTTGACAATGATCATGCTTTCATTGGATCGCATCTTGGGGATTCGCAATTGGTCCTTCTACATACCGAAGCTGATCAGAACGGTGAATACCTAGAAGTGATGGAGACATTTACAAACATTGCGCCAGTCTCTGACTTTGAGGTAGTAGATTTAGAGGGTCAGGGGCAAGGCCAGATTGTCGCATGCTCTGGTGGATTCAAGGATGGCTCACTTAGGATTGTACGAAATGGAGTCGGGATAAATGACCGTGCTGTGCTAGAGCTCCCTGGCATAAAAGGCCTTTGGTCACTGAAACAGACTCTTGATTCGGCAACAGAGGATACATTGGTTATGAGTTTCTTGAATTCAACGCGTGTCGTTCGCGTGACATCAGATGCAGAAATGGTTCAGGAAGAGATAGAAGGGCTCTTGAACGACTCACAAACCTTGTTAAGTGGCAACGTCCAGGCCAACTTGATCCTACAAGTGACGCCACGGTCAGTTCGCTTAATTGCGCCTCCTCAACATATTCAAGCAGGGTTAATCGCTGAGTGGAAGCCTCCGAGTGGTCAGCTCATTTCTGTAGCATCCATGAATCCAATGCAATGTGTGGTGGCTGTTGCCGGTCAGACACTTGTGTATTTGGATATTGGCTCTGAAGAGATTCGTGAAGTTGGGTACGGGGAGTGCTCTTTGAGCTTTCTTATTTCATATTTTGAGTTAAAGCGTGATCTGCAAGGACATGACGGATATCTTTAACACTAATTTCTTTGTCGATGATGTATGATTTAGGCGCACCACATTCGAAAACGAGATTGCTTGTATTGATATTACTCCAATCGATGTTGGTAAAAACAACGCATCGCAAGTATGTGCTGTCGGGCTGTGGACGAATGTCCAGGTTCTCTTGGTTCGTCTGCCTACAATGGAGACCCTTGCCAGCCATAGCCTACAGGGCGATATCTTACCCCGATCCCTATTATTATCTAGATTTGAAGGTGTTCCATATCTGTTGGTAGGTCTCGGTAAGTATTTGGAATAGACGTATGGATGAGTGATGCAGCTACATTTTACTTACACTCATCAACGATAGAAAGATGTCTGACAGTCTACTAACTTTTTTGATTACTTTGATATTGTAGGCGATGGTCAACTGCTGACGTTCATGCTCGATGCGACGTTGGCGACATTCCCCACTCCAAAGCGCATTTCGCTTGGAACACAGCCCATCATGCTCCGCCAGATCTCATCAAGCAATGAAGGAGGACCTGGCGAATCTGAAACTAAAACCAATCATGTTTTTGCCTGTAGCGACCGTCCTACTGTGATTTACAGCTCAAATCGCAAGCTTCTGCTCTCGAATGTGAATCTAAAGCAAGTAGCCACAGTTGCGTCATTCAATTGTGAAGCTTTCCCTAATGCCTTGGCAATCGTTGGCTCGGATGAGGAAGGTGTTCTCAGGATCGGAAGTATCGATGAATTCCAGGAACTCCATGTACAAACATTCCCAATCCACGAGAGTCCTCGTAGAATCGCCCATCTGGCATCAAAAAAATGCTTCGGTGTGCTGACCATTAAAGTTGTGAGCGAGGAGCCGGAAGCAATGGGTAGCACCAAGATGGTGAGCTGTGATGAGGTAGAAGTTGGGTTTGTGCGGCTTTATGATGACCAAACTTTTGAACGTAAGCTGTATTGAAATGATGAGTAGTAAAGCGAGGCATAACGCGACTATTTTCAGAAGCTTTTTAAGTACAGCTCGAGTCGCATGAAATACTGATGTACTTTTTCAATATTTATTTTCATCACAAGTCCTCCATACCTATGAACTTCAGAAGGAAGAGGCGCCACAATGTATTTCAGCTGTGACATTTGCAGGCGATACAGCCAGCTATATTGCAGTTGGAACTGCAGACTCTGTATCCGAAGGTATTCCTACTAAGGGTCGTATCTTGATCTTGGAAGTCACTGAATCTAATCAGCTGAAATTGATTACAGAGCTGGAAGTCAAGGGTGGCGTTATGTCGATCAAAGGGTTCCAGGGCAAGCTGCTTTGCGGTGTAAACGAGCAGCTTCGTCTTTATTCTTGGACACCCTCTGATAAACTGACTTCGACAGCAGAATCCAACTTGGCATTGGAATGTTCTCGTCGCGGGTTCATTTTGATTCTCTCTCTGGCGATTCATGGTGAATTCATTGTGGCTATGGATTTGATCCGGAGTATGACGCTCCTTCGATACACGGAAAAAAAGATTGAAGAGATTGCAAGAGATGCCTGTATGGATATGTTGACATCCTTGGAGGCCATTGACGACGAGACTTTCATCGCGGCTGATAATGCCTCGAGTATATTTACACTGGTCAAGAACACAGAAACGACGAGTGAAGATGAAGCTAAGCGGCTACAGTGGTCAGGAGGATGGCACTTAGGCGACCAAATCAATAGGTTCAAACACGGTAAGTCTGTGATATGTTCGCTATGAAATAGGGTTGGAATTATTAATGCGTAAACGAGTGCATTAAACGAACCCGTAACCCCTATGTGTAATCAGGATCATTGGTCATGACTAGCCAGGAGGGTGATGCACCAGCAGTTCCTAAGCTTTTATTTGCGACTGTTAGTGGTGCGATCGGTGTTGTGGCATCACTTACACCAGAGAAGTATGAACTACTTCATCAATTGGAGATCAATATGGCTAGAGTTATTAAAGGCGTTGGCGGTCTCGATCATGCTGCGTAAGTCTTTTTTTTTTTTTTTTTTTTTTTTTTTTGGTAAATGGTCCAAATTATGATTTTGACCAACGCAATGACTCTTATAATTCCTTTGTTGACAATAGCTGGAGGCAATTTCGAAGCGATACGAGGACTTTACCATCTACAAACTTCGTAGATGGCGACTTGATCGAATTATTTCTAGATTTGAGTCAAGATGAGATCAATGACGTCCTTACAGGAACAGAGGCGAGTGGACCAGTTAATGCCTCTGTGGAAGAGGTCACCAAGCTTGTCGAAGAGCTCTCGCGCCTTCATTAATCAGTAGCAGCCTCATCAGTATAGAAAGTTTGTCCCATTGTCAACTATTGATGAATATAATATACAAGAACGAATGAAGCAATAAAATGGACGTTGTATTTTATATTTATATTCTCTATCTGACTGTCTGTGTCATCTAAGAGGTGGCGTAGTAACGAAACGCACCCGTGTCTCTGATTTTGAAACCTAAGGATTCATATAAGGCTCTAGCTTGGACTCGATCGGGCTTACTAGTCAGATCAACTATTTTGCAATGCCGCGCAAATACAGCCTCATCTAGAGCACGTTTCATGAGACCCCGACCTACGCCTTTCCCACGACAGATGTCAGAAACGACAAGATCCTCGATATGCGCGCGATTATTCATCAATAATTTTAGCGTTACCAACGTCAGACATCCCACGATTTTTGTGATCTTGAACGAAACCTTGGGCGACCCTGATGTTTTTTCGAAAGCTGTAGTTGTAGGCATAGTGGTAACATTGCTATTAGTTGTTATTTCCTCTTGGAGTGTTATTTGATCAGCATTTATTTCCGGTTGGCGCAAGGTTATTGTCTCCAAGGTTTCTGTTGCAAGAAGCAATGTAAATGTATCCTCGTTGGTGAGACATGCTTCGATCCTGTCAATATCAGGCCCTGCCGTGCAGGAGGTAGAGAGCTGTGGAAAGAGTTCAGAGAGCGCCTTGACGACCAAAGTTTTGTCGAGGGGCAGATAAAGCCCACGAGGTGAGGCTCCGTTTCTGGTGCAGACGAGTCGCCAAATAATAATGGAAGTAGATGTATCATTGTGGAGAGGTGATAGAGAGAGCTCAGTACCATCAATATATTGAGGGTCAACGACAAAGAATGTGGTAGCCATCAGAAATTTGCGGAATTAATGAGATGATGAAGACGATGCAACATTAAGGTGACGTATATCTAAGTAAACGACAAAAGTAGATAGATATTATAATGTATTGTAATGTTGCATGGAAGGACATGTATCCGTTGAACTGTGCGACAAATGCGAATGCATTTGAACAGAAATAGGAAAAAAAAAACCCTAGCTCTGTTCCATTTAAAAATTAAATGTTTGGATAATAAAATTAATCATCAACTTGGCATACTTTTTCCTGTCAGGAATCGTTTTAAGGGTCCACCACTTCATACCCAGACCAGGCACTGTTGGATCTCCCAGAATCTGGGGGATCACATTATGGAACTAGACCTGTTCATGATAGTTTAAAAAAAAAAAGAGTAACACAGACGAGCGTTCCCGTCAGCCTGTCATATTGCTGACAGTGTGACAAAAAATGGGGAAACAAACTCTTTCTCTTTCTTCCCTCTCTTTCTCTCTCCCCTTTCTCTTTCTATCTCTCTCTCCTCTCTTCTCTCTTTTCTCTCTTGTCTTTTTTTTTTTTTTTGTCTTTCATTTTGCATTTCCATTTTCACATTTCAATTCTCAAATAGAACTTTTTGCACTAGCTCACCCATGTGTTGTGCCCGTCAACATTTTTCCTCCTTTTGCATGTACAATTCTTACCGTCTTTTGTAAATTTTGAACCCCACCAAAAAAAAAAAAAAAAAAAAACACCCTCTCTTCTTTATTTCCTTCTAACCTTGCACACACAATATAAAAGCCTCAATGGAAGTCTCTACCCCACTTCTGCCACAGTCTATAGCCACACTCATCTCAACCGTCAGTCTAGGTGCCCGTGTATCGCTTCGAACAGCAGCCATCATAGTTGAGGCAAGTTGGCTGTGTGCTTATTAAATAGGAAAAAAAGAAAAAAAAAGAAAATTTTTAGCCTGAGTGCCACCAAAAAAAAGGGACGGTCCACAGACCAAGTGGGATCTGAAACTGGCACCACTCTTCCTACTCAGATTAAATCCCAAAAGGAAGTGGCAAAAGACAGACCCTGAATATGTATCTCTCTGAAGAGAAATTGAACATACTCACGTTATCAACATAAAAAAAAGTTTTATGCTTAACTGGAGGTTCTGCTATCAACCATTATATCAATAGGCTCTCTTGGAGACACTACAGCATGGAACAAGCGCCACGCTTGGCATCAGTCGGAGATCACTCCTCGCAGCGGTGTCAACTGCAAAGATCTTAAATATCCTCAAGGGCAATACTGGTCCAAAGTAAGCTAGAGAAACATGTCAGCTACTTTACTGCTTAAGCTTTTCTATTAGCCATTATTAAATGATCATTGATCATCATACCTATTTTTTTTTGGGCTCATGTTTCAGTGATGCGTTTACTATGCTCCTAGACAAATACACATCATTGGGCGTGTATGTGATCCACAACTCTTTTACTTTAGCAGAATTGTTTTCAATCTCGGGCTTACAACTCGTATCCAATACATTAACTGCCGGTATTCGCGTAAGTCTTTTTTTTTTTTTTTTTTTTTTTTTTTTTTTATCAATATGGAAGATGGATATCCAAGCGAATTATGTAGAAAAAATTTTTGGGGTTACTTTGGGTCAGGGACACAGATATGATAGAAAGGAAAGTGGAGGTGATAATCAAACTGGGAAAAGCATCTCATCCGGTAATCATGTAATTAAGACAATCTATAGCTTCTATAACTATTCGATGGAAATACCCCATACGTTTATGAATGTGAAAGCTCACTAGGACAGAATGATAGCAATGTGATTCAGGAGTATAAAGGGGTGTAAATGAATCACTGTCAGGGCTTTGCAGTCGCATGTCAAATTTTAAAGAAGTTCCATAATTCAAAAATATGGGTCAAGGACCCTTCGACTGGGCTTATTCCTCTTAAATTAACGAGTGGAGCTTATCGGATTTTTCCCCACGTCATGTGCAACAGTACACGCATCCGACAATTCGGCCACTTCACTTTACAATACACATACACATTTGTCCAACGTCTTCCTCACTCCCCCCCCACTCATAAAAGCAGACTAAATATCACACACGAGATAAACAGGGGTAACAAATTATGGTCGCAAAACAACACATGGCATCTGGATGATCATTTTCAGGCGGGCAATAGAAGCGTGGGTACTAGATGTAGGCATATGATTGCAGTTATTCAATAATTGCAACTCTATCCTCGGTTTGGATGTGACTTTCTGTCTATAAGCAATATCTAGACGTGCATACACCATACTGCACTGCCAACGAATTAGCTCATGGACATTTGTCAGCACTCAATTGTCCTTTAGACATGTGTTTTACCTTTTCTCTTAGTAAACAAAGTATTTGAATGAGCTGAGCATGTAAGACTGATATATGCTTTTCTCTAAATATCTATTTACCGTTTAGACTGCAGAAGAGTCGGTACGCATAGTAGACGGCTTGTTCGGATCAACTGAAACATCGAGAGCACTAGCTGCTGTTGTAGGCTTGGTCAAGAAGGAAGTATATGAAGACGAAGACTTTGCCATCACCAGTTCAGGGAAAATGGCAGTATTGGCATCAATCACCAAAGCCCTTACGGTTTTTGCATGTCTACAGGCAGCAACACACAAGCGCACCCAAAAATCCATTCGCACCATGCTAGTGTACGAGGGTGTTGTATTGCCCAAACCCAAGATCCTTGGTGATGTTAACGCTACTCATCTCACAACTATTGAACAGTCCGCTATCGATAACTATGATGAAGATTCAGGAGAGCTTTTGAGAGATTTATCAAACACATTAATAACTGACCCAGATGATGTCACTGAAGACATGACAACGACTCAGATTGAGAAGGTGTTGAGCGCGGACATTCTTCAGGTGACGACTACAACGACATTGACAACAACAACTACACAAACTTTTGTTCGACCGGGAGCCGATTTGTCAAATCTAGGAAAGCCTTTACCAGCCATCCATCACGACAGAAACACATCCTCCTCATCTTTGCAACGACAGCACCATTACCCAACATCAGTTGAAGCCACATCTAGCTCTCGAGGTGCCACTTCATCCATGGCTATTACTACACGGTCTAGACGAGGCTCTGTTTCGTCTATTGCATCTGTTGCCACTACCCTAACGCAGTATGCCACTACTTCCATCGTCGCCAACTCTCATGGCTCAGTAAATGGCTCCTCTAGACACACCCCTTCCGTTAGCGAGACCTTCGCCCCCTCCGAATCCTTAGCCGTTGAAGGAAATCGAAATGCCAATAACAATTTGAGACTAATGTTTTCTACCGTGACAAAAAAGTTCAAGAAGAACCAAAAAGTGCATATCGGTGGCGAAGGTGAAGGTACAGTCTTAATGAGGACGCAGGAACGTGAGATCAGAACAAGCGAGACTAGGGATTCACTTGACTGGTCTGAGGACGACACGGATTGGGTTGAAGTTACACAATCGTCCGAAACTATGTCTTCTATGGAGATGAATGCGATTTCATATGATGTACCTACTGAGAAAAAATCCAGCGATAAGTTTGGGCCGTCATTCGGTCTCAAAGGTGGATTAACTGGAAAAAAATTTGGACATTCGTTTTTTTCTAAAATGACAAAACAAACGACCTTCGGAAAGGGCAACGAACGTGAAAGCCTTGACAGTTCTGACCCCCAGTTGACGATCACAGAAATGGATGAACCTCGAAACGACTCTGACAATTCGCTCCCTGACAGTAATCCAATCGCTATGCCCATCATGGTGGGCTTGAAGTTGGGAGATGATGAGGATTTTAGACCGTCTCCGCCACCCAAAGAACCAACAGAGCCCAATCCTGCCAATTTCCCACGAGATCATCTTGTCCGTAATATTCAAAGGTTTATGCGCTATGCCTCGGCTAGTTATGGACATAATTTCATGAGGATCTTGGGTATCGGTACTATTGGTGACACTGTCTACTCACCATACGGTGATCACCCAAATCACCATGCATTTGCAACGCACACTTCAACACCACTGGACTCAATCCTTCTCTCATCATTTACAGATCCAGGTGCAAAAGGTAGCTTCCAGGCGCCTAAAATGCACTCGTTGGTCCATTATATCAATCTGGACCATGGAGCACAATGCGTTGTTTTAACGTGCCGCGGCACTCTGGGTCTCTCAGATGTGTTGACAGATCTCTGCGCCCACTATGACGACCTAGTCTTGCCTACAGTCAAATCGAATGGAAAACGAGGCGAACAACATGCACCGCCAACGTACAAGGTCCATGCAGGAATGTACGCATCTGCTCGTCTGCTGTCCCTTGAGACCTCAACTGTCTTCAAGACCATCAAGAAGGCATTAGAGGACTACCCTGATTATGGTCTTGTTCTTTGCGGACATTCACTTGGTGGAGGTGTTGCTTCCATTCTGACTTTACTTTGGTCGATGAAGAGTCAGGATTTTGAAGCATACGTTGAGGAACAAGAAGATAGATCCAGCGATGAAGAGGGTGACGAAGACAGGGACAACAAATCAAAAAACACTACAAGACACCACCAACGATCGAAAAAACGTATTGCATACCCCGAAATCACAACACCATTTGTCACTTCGCCTGGATCGTTTCTGCCTGCAGGACGACCCATTCACTGCTATGCATATGGTCCGCCATGCGTAATGTCGTTACCGCTATCGAAATACTGCCGGGGACTTATTACAACTGTTGTTCATCAATACGATCTCGTCCCAACATTAAGCTTGGGACTCCTGAAGGATTTCAAGAATGTTGCGACCACTTTACATGAGGAGGGACAGATAGTAGAGGATATTGTTAAGCGCCTGATCATTGGTGTAACATGCAATAAGGTCGATGCAGAGAATGCCAAAACCGCTCCATCAACATATACCAACGGATCAAATCTTCCAGCACAGTCTACACTACCACATAAGCAAAAAAATGCAGAGCCTCCGAAACGATCCCAAAGTATGCCCATGTATTCAGAGTATGATCGATGGCAGCTTCAAGAAGCAGAAGATCAAGACTGGTCATGGTCGTTAATCAAGACGATGCGTGCAGATATGAGTTCGGATAAACTGTATCCACCTACGCCTGTATACTTGCTCGAATCTATTGCCACAACAGTTGTACCTGCTGGATCCTCGGCTTTAACTACGATGACAGGAACCATTGCGGCTTCGATGGAATCTCGCCCATCTGCAAATACCGCTAGTTCCGTACCTCTTTCAAAATCGTACTCTGCATCTTCCGCAATTACAGCTGCTGGCGCAGCTGCAGTTAATCTAGCAAATGGGTTTCGCCCAAGCTCTCCATTTGGTCGATACTCAACCCCTACACCCAGCGCTAAGTCTAAGGTGAACATGACCGCAACAACACCATCTACAGACGCTCCTTCAGCTATGCCACAGGCATCTAAGACAGCATACAAAGTCTCGATGCGACGATTTGATCATGTGGAAGATCGTTTTGGGGAACTGCAGTTTGCACGATCCATGTTCACTGACCACAGCCCGGCGAACTATGAGGTCTGTGTAGAAAGACTCTGTCAGGCTGTATTCTCATCTGAGGATAATTTGTAGAAACCAAAATGAATAAAAAAAAAAAATTGCACATGTATATTCGTCTCCAACCTCCCTAATGCAATGGACTATATTAGGTATATTTGGATACGGCAGACGACTATTCCAATAGAGAGGTTCGACAAGGTCTATCCTCCCGTTTCCCTTTCAACCTCATGCATTCACAAAGACAATCTCGTAGAAATTCATCATGTCTCTTAGTCGACTTGTCAAAGAACACAATGCAAAGCAGGCAACTCATAAGCGCGAAACTGGTACGATTAATGTCAAGAGCTAGTGACAGTATGTCGACATCAAACAATCTTCGATTTAACCATTCAAATGCTGTAATGTCTAGAGCAACTGCGAAAAGAGGCTATTCAAAGTGTAGGCGTATTCTCTGACGCAATTGCGGATATCCTCAATAGCCGGTAGGTATAGTGGATACGAGCACAGGCTTCTGCTCAACTAGCATGGAGAGCAGAATCTAATCATATATGTGAATATTTTACTGCCGGCCTTTGTCTACATCCCTCCAAAGGGTGACACAGATATTCGTTAACCAGAAGAACTTGGAACAAGAAGTAAAGAATTTGTCGGCTCAAACGACAAGATATGCGAAGCAAACAGCGCAATGGCTTTCTCTTGTTCAGCAGTTTGACTCGGCCCTTAAAGTACGCATCTTGATTTAGTGATATCAAGTCCACCATGCTTCTTTAATATCTTTTCAACATGATCTCATAGCTTTTCTAGCAATTTAAAATATTTTTGCACTTTGATAACAATTAGGAGCTCGGAGATGTACAGAACTGGGTTCAAGTTATACAGAGGGATATGGAGCAGGTTACTGAAGCATTAGAGAGCTCACAGCACAATCATGAAAACAGCATAATCTAGGCCCAATCCTCACCGCAAGGGAGAATCTGGCCATGACCGCGCTGCTTCTAAACTTGGAAGTGTGCTTGCGAACACACATGTGTGTAGATTCTAGCCTAACTATACTACCTATTAAATTTTCTTGCCTCTCTATACTACTGGCCTCTTACTGCGAGTCGACGCTGTTCTGACTAAAACTCGACCCTCTGTCTGTCGTTGTACTTGTGTCTGTGTCTGCTCTTGTGCCTGTGCCTGTCGCTGTTATCGCTCTTTGATGTATCCAAGGAGACTGTTCTTTCGTATCCACAGGCTGAAGATGATGCGGTCGTTCTTGTCTCTTTAGGTGGCCACGAATAATATTGCATACATTATATGTCACCATTGCGATGAAAATACGTTTAGCACAATACAGGTAATTTGTCCAACAAAGTCTTCACAGGATGGATGGGTATTTCTTGGGCGTATAGACCTATTGACCACCATCCATATAGTCAAATGAGAGCGCCTAAAAAGAAAGATCGATCTTGTTAGAGAGAGCAATCCTATATATCGAAAGAATAGGAGAGAGAGTCAGCAAAAAACTGTGGCTGCACAAATAAAAAAAAATATAAATAAAAATATAAAAATAATCATGAAGACTTACACATAATTCTAGCATCCACTTGGGAGTATTACAGTCTGTTGCTGTCTTAACACAATCGATCATATTAGCCACTGTAATTGGGGTTGTAGAATAGTAGCGGTTTGTTAGGTCTGTTACTCCTTCATCTTGTTGCCTTCTCCTGATCTACGTAAATCGCTACTAAAAAAAACTGTGGGTCTAGATTCGCTTTGCTAGGCCTGTTGAAGTTATTGGAGACCACTCTAACATACTACACTCATAGCGATATGTTAGAGTGAGTGGTGAAAATTAATTCCTTTGTGCGATTCGGGTGTTGTGGATGTGGACGACAAAAGAATATGTTGAGAGGATGTGAACGGTGATGAGAAGAAATCAAGGCGAGAATGAAGGTTTTATATACCATTAAGCCCTTGGCAAAGCAGCATGATCGATAAATTCATGTCAATATTAATATAGTCCACGCGTCCAGGAAGCACTTGAGAATCTGCATGAGGCTCTCCCGAAATCATTTGTGACGGCCTTTGGTTCTGTGGCTGTTTTATCGTAATGTTGTGCTTTTTTTTTTTTTTTTTTTTGGCCACCTTCACATCAACTTTTTCTTCAACTTTTACTTTCTACATTTCTACATTACTCACAATGGTATGTTTTCAAGCCTTTGATCACTATGAACACAGTTAATAGCATAACTGAATAAATGCTGAGCTGTTACCAAGACCATGATTCATTTGATTTATGATTGATTAAAAGAATCGTTAACCAATTGCATTACATTTCTTTGTATACTAATTAGACTGAAGAAGTTTCCAAAGCCTGGCCTCTTGCTGATGCCGCCCTCACCAATTCGATCATGGATCTGGTTCAGCAGGCATCTCACTATAAGCAGTTGAAGAAGGGCGCTAACGAGGTTACCAAGACTCTCAATCGTGGTATTGCCGAATTCATTGTTATGACCGCCGACACTGAGCCTATTGAGATTTTGTTGCATTTGCCTCTTCTTTGTGAAGACAAAAACGTTCCCTATGTCTTTGTTCCTTCCAAGACCGCTCTTGGCCGCGCCTGTAGTGTCTCTCGGCCTGTTATTGCCTGCTCAGTGACTTCGAATGAGGGTTCTGACCTCAAAGCTCAAATCTTGACCATTAAGTCCCAGATCGAGAAACTCTTAATTTAGAACAACCCTGTATAACATCCACATCTTGTTGCATCAAAGAATAAATCTTTTTATTTTATGGATCGTCTCGTCACTTCAGCTGCTATACAGTCCTATGCATTTTTCAATGAGTCTTGTGTCCAAATTAGCCGAACCTGCCCTTCGCGATCTTTTTTTTTACATTCTTATACAGTAATTTTCCTGTTCTAGTGCAAAGTCCAGGATGACAAGAATGAAGAAACCGGGAGAAAATGAAAAGGATGTCCCCCGAGAAAGATCATGAAGATGTTACAGGGTGATATTGGTTAAGCTGTCGAGGCGAGCATTGGCTGGTGACTACGCTTGTCAGAGGATTGGATATTAGTTTGTCAACAAAGGTATTGAAACAAAACTTAGTGGTACGATTCGACTCCTTGGTGCTGGATAGAGTACGTAAATTACTTTATCAAGATGAAGATATAATACCGTGTTTGGCTTAGCATTTAACCTAGGGCTGCAATAATATTGAACATCAAAGCCTGTCGAGAAAGCCCATATTACTCTTTCAGATGAGAAGACAGCTTTGTTTTCTCTTTCTTACACGGTCTACGAAGAATGACAAGTTCGGCACACAAAGGTAACTGCTATGAACTTTATTGAGAATAACGCCTAGTTGAAATGGCTGGACATTCTATAGAGTATCTTTTACCTCGAGTCCGCAAAGAAAGGGTTAAATGTGAAGATTCTGAAAAGACCAGAAAACATAGACCTCGCCTCGCATAGATTATTATATCAAAAGACAGAGAGGGGATAATGTTATTATAACCATAACCATAGTCGAAGTAGAATCAGTTAAGTTCAACAGTCCAAAATATAGGATTTGTGTACACATAGCAACTTTGGGTTGCAACCTGAGATCTCCTTACCTTAGTCCCTTTTTTTGATGTCTCCTCACATTACTTTTGAGACAATTTCTAAAACAAAATCAAGGGATCAAGAAGTTGCTAGGTAGAAGCCTTTATACTGTCCCGCCATAACCGTCGCATGAACAGGACTCCTGTGGCCTTTCTCTTGGCTATAGCTGTAGAAGCTATATCCTTATCGACTAGCTATAACCGCTAGTAGAAAGAATGAAGGATCTCCTTTCTTCCAGAGATGAAGAGTACATGCTCCGGCTCGACGCCTACAGACCAAAGAATTATTGATATTATTACCGCTATGACTGTTTTCCCTCGCAGTTTCTATTTTCCATTATGCGTGACATATTTTTGTGTCTTTGAGTATCAGATCGTTAGGAGGTTGCTTGGCCTTCCTCGAGAACCCAACCAACGAAAGGCTGTTCGGGTCTTGGCAGTACCCTTGTATTCCTGAAAGAGAGTTATCCAATAACTACATGGAGACTAAGCGGCTATTAACTAGCAATGCATTCCTCATGTCTATAAGTTCTAATCAAGCTTCATACCATTCTGTACGAGAGATGATTTGTCATCACCAAGAAGCGCTTCATTCCGGTATTGATACATATAACAATGTTGAGCCTTAGCATAATATATTGAAGCATCTCTTCTTCTGCAACACAAATGAACGGCAGTCAGCTACCATCATCTTTATCCCACTGAACCGAGCAGTCCCGCACTCTTAACAAAGGTGTGTCCTCGACGACGTCTGCAAGCGAAATTATTTTAATAATTTTGTACAACATAGTATTTCGCCCAATTTTCTAGAGCATTCCTTGCAGCAGGACATTAGCAAGTATAAATAGGCCCACTTTTCTATCTAGTTCTGTAGCGCAATTCCCCTGAATAAAGACACCTTTATTGTACCCTTAGATTCCCCTAGAACACTACCTTGACTTTTGCAACGTCGATGTGGAACACGTATTTGCTTTCAATGTGGGGTCGCTTTTTTTATATTTCGGCAATGCAATTCGAAACAAAAGGATCACATTTTTTTTAAAAAAAAACACATACTCACCAGATTTTCAACAGAGAAACAAACAAGTTTTTTTTTTATTTTATATTGAGTATTGTTTACAACTCTTCTTCAATCTACAATTGCCAAATCCAGTCATGACTATTAACAAGAAATGAATACACGGTAAAAGTTGCCAGATGTGCAAAGAAGTCGAGGCAAGTGAATGGTAAACATAGTGCATTGTGATTATATAGCTTGATATATGCTAATTTTTTTTTGCCGATTGATTTTTACTGCTTTCTTTCTTCCTTGGCATGTAAAGACGGAGAGACCGCATGATTTGAACATAACAATAGTCATAGTATTAAAGGCCCCATCTTTCATGCACGGCATGTGTATTATTATTGTTTTCAAACCTGGCACCAACTATGCGAGGTATTTTTTTTTCTGGCGTGGGGTTCCTAGTGTTATACGGCCAGGCAGAAAGCTTAAAAGACAAACGAGCACACCAACGGTGAAAAAAATGTATGTGAGCAAAAAGTTGCTGTGCTTCTTTGTTGTCTGCACATGCCTTCTTGCAATCGCGGTTTTTTATTGTTTCGAAAATATTTGGCGGTACATGCATGGAATGGGGGCGAGAATTTAAAAAAAAAACGCGATGCAAGATGGTATGTGCAAACAACAAAGAAGCACGTCAACTGTTTGATTGTTTGATCAGTATCCTCCTCCTGTTTACTCACATACAATTTTTTTTTTATTTTTTTTATTCACTCTTGGCGTGCTTGATGTCTATTAAGCTTTCTGCCTGGCCGTATAACACTAGGAACCCCACGCCAGAAAAAAAAATACCTCGCATAGTTGGTGCCAGGTCTGAATGCAATAATAATACGCATGCCGTGCATGAAAGATAGGGCCTTTAATACTGACTATTGTTATGTTCAACTCATGTGGCCTCTCCGGAATCAACTTGTAATCACAACTGCTACTCATGCTCTATTGCCAAGGACTTGAGAAGGGATACAAACCCCTTCCTCCTTGCTCTCATAATCGCTTCCATCCTTTCAATACACTCTTTCGCCATAAATGTCCATTGCATCTGAATCACACACAGGCATTTCAGCATTCACTCCAACATAGATATATGTATCACCTTGGGTATGATATATTGGTATGGCTCCCTCTGGTTTCAACAGGCCCAACAAACTCTATTAGCAGTGTTTACCAACCCAGATATATCAAGGAACGCAAGAAGACGAGGAAGCAAACGATGTGAAAATCAAATCTCGCCGAGCTGTACAGGAAAAGATCAAGTTAGTCAAGCTCCATGGTGCGGTAGGATGAATCAACTCAGATTGCACTCCTTTCAAGTCGAGACTACGGCGGCGAATATTATCACTGCTATATTACACCAGTCAATAGATAAACGATACAAAAAAGGGCTCCCATGGGAAAGTCTTCATGAGTTTTTTTAATTGCACAAATAAAGAAGCCAGGATATCTCCATGACAGTTTAGTTTTCGAGACAATGCCTATGGATTGCTGGATTTCAAGCCCATTTATAATAGCAAATTTGCCCTTCTTACGGACGAAGGGATAAGTTGTACCCAGCTAACTACCCTATCCGAAATACTGCACCATTAGGTAGACTCAAGGAAATCAAGCTCAAAGAAAGTGGAAAGCAATGATACGAAGGATTATTTCCATCATTGATCAATCAGGCTTCGTATCCTTACTCTGTCATCCAACACCACCGTCACCAATCACCTGAGAATCAACGTTTTCCATCAGTCTCACTTAAAAAATATCGAGGAAGGGCAACCTTTCCAGAGCTCAGTGGGAGTCAAAAGCACCTTGCAAGAACTTGATCGTCATTTTTTTATTAACCCCCAGCTGGAAGAAATCTGTGATGATACACAATCATGTATCATTGACTGCATTTTTTTATACTTTTACATTTTTCCTTGAGTAAAATAGAAAACAGTTGACAAAAAAACAAAAAAGGCTAACTGTACCAAGCCACAGAACAATTTCCTGAACATGACTTGAACAAAGCAGCCCCGCGCTGATACACAGAGCAAAGAAAAAGGCACGGGTCATCTTGTCAGAATCATTGTTGAATAGTTTCTTCTTTTTATTTTGTTTCCATCAGCATCACTGTCGCCACGTAAACCATCTTTTTTTCTTCATCATCCTTGCACTATCTGATTACGGCTTGGAGCTTACTACAAAATAAACTTTTTTTTTTTTTTTTTTTTTTTTTTGAACAGGCCAGGCAAGAGAGGTACAGATGTCAACTTTAATATAAAAGAAATATAACTCCAAGCTTCATGGACTTCAAACATCTACACATCAACTAACGCTCTTTACACTTCCCGTTGCTTTATATCCTTTGTTTTATCCTTCTTTCCATTTTAATTTCTCAACTTCCTTTCCGCTATGCTTTAGTCAACCTCCTTATCAACGGATATTATTGTCATTGGGGGCGCGTGTATGTGCATTCACTTTGTAGTCAAAGTATGTATTGGATTTTATTAAGCTTAGTTTTATTATTTTGCCACTAAAGCATTTATGAAGAAAGAACAAGATTAAAAGAAGGGTCACCATTACGATTACTCACAAGCACAACAGGACGAACCGAGAAAAAGAAAACTATAAGATCTAAGTTTCTTTTTAAACTGTATCAGGCGAACCAACTCCTCTCTTTTGATTACTGTATCTTCTACTATATTAGATCTGACAATTTCTGTAACCACTCATACATACCGTGACAGAACACATTCAACGACTCAGCGCTCATGGCAGATCAAGGCCAACGACCACATGGCAATAGTCAGCCTCACGGCCACGGTTATCCAGGGCAATTTCAAGGAGCCGGACATCCGTCAGAACCGAGGCGATCTTCAATCCAGAACATGTTAAACCCATCGTCACCAGATCCAGCTGGATCGTACGCGTATTACGCTGGCCCTCATAGCAGCCATCCTCCTCCACACCATTTGCAACAGCAGCCATATATTCACTCCATCAAACAGCCGCCGCCTCCCTCACAGCAGCAGCATTCTCAACATCATCATCATCAACCTCCACCCTCTCATCATCCAGAACAATATCGCCATGATGACAGACAATTTTCAGTTCAGTCATACCATTACTCACAACAGGCTCAGCACTCACAACAACAGCAACAACAGCAACAACAGCAACAGCAACAGCAACAGCATCATCACCACCATATCCCACAGCAGTCCCATGCTCCTCATCATCATCAACAGCAACCGCCTGCACCGCAACCAGGTTACTATCCTGTACATTCTTCGTCATCATCAGCGTCCTCATTACCCTCAGCACCATCATCAAATCCACTACCATATTCTGGCAATGCAGGCTCATTGCCGTCGATTCCTTCTCAGTCACAATACAGATCATATAGTCAGTACTCACCTGGACCAAACTCATCTGAACCAGTCTTTCAACCACCAGTAGGTTCTCTACAAGGGACACCGCAACCTCCTCATCACCCACATCATCAGCAGCAACAACAACAGCAGCAGCAGCCGCGGCATAGTCAACATCCGAGCATTTCTGGACCAATTAGTGGTGTTCATTCCCATCCTGGACACGTTTCACATGCAACCCATAACGCTGGCGCGCCGATAGCATCAGGAAATGCTTCTGGACCAATGCCACATGGCCCTCCAAGGCGCTCTAGTGGTGAATCAGCAATGGATATGCGACTTCAGTCACCTCCAGCAAATTCTACTCATTATGGGCATACAGGCCCTGGGCATATGGCTGGTCGGGCGCCTTCTCCACCTCCTCACCGTAGCAATGCGACAGAGTTCACAAGGCCAAGACAAGCATCGGTGTCAGGACATGCATATCACGAGTATCGACACATTCCCCCACCTGGACATGGACCTGAATCACCGATAGCTAGCTCACATCATGAGTACTCACAACATTATGGCAATTCTTACCCCGAACCATTATATACGGGAGCACACCATCCATCTGTGCACCAGCTTCCGCACCAGCATCAACACCAGCACCAGCACCAACATCAACACCAACACCAACACCAACACCAGCAACCTCAACAGCATCAGCAATATTCACCCCAGTATCCACATCGTGGAGCCTCTAGCTATGTAAGGACTGCTATATCAGAAATTGACCGTCCCCATTCGCATAATATATCTTCACAACACCATTACCATCAGGGCTTCTCGTCGAAGCCCTCACCCCCGCCACAACACGTTCAGCAGCCCCTCATGTCGCCATCTCCTCACAGAGCCTCAATATCTGACATTCACTCAGGCGGATCTAGACCAGTACCTGGTCAACACCAGCAGCAGCATCAACACGAACGAGCGCATGCAGAGAACGATGAGGCTATTGTGATGAATTTCATGTCTGAGCTCCAAATGCAACAGCAACATCAACAGCACCAGCAGCACCAGCAGCATCAACAACCACAACAACAGCAGCAGCAGGGTCATGTTCCTAAGCAGAGCCGCAAGGCCGTACCACAGCCATCACCTGTACAGCAACATCACATTCAACAAATACAACCGCAGCCACAACAGCAACAGCCACAACAGCAACAGCAGCAGCAGCAACTACAGCTTCGACACCATCACCATTCGCATCCACAACAACAACAGCTGCAACAGCTCCCGTCGTCACCAACCCCACAGCAACCAGTGCATCAGACACAGCACCATCATCATGTAGAGCGTCCTCCTCACCTTCCTGTAGATCATGAACAACATGCTCGATATAGTGACCACTCTGGATATCGCCATAATCAAGAGCCACAATCGCCAGCCTACCGTCCTTCACCAGAGATTAATCGTCCCATCACGCCTCCAACTCATGGCCATTCAACTATGCACATCCCCCCAATACCTGCATCAGACATTCGCCACAGGTCTGTGTCGACTCCAACAGGCCCAGGCTCACCAATTTCTGTCCCAGGCTCTTCCTCTTCCGCATCGCCTTATCCTTCAAAGCCTGATACTCCCAAGAAACCACAAACATCTGGAAACCAGTCTTCGTTACCCCCTCGCTCACTCAGCCTCATGAAAATCCTCAATGAGCCAGAAGTAGAAATCGACATAGAAACAGGCAAACCGCAGGAGAATAATAGTGCTAACATCCCCTTGCCGGCTCCGGAACAGATTTCTCATGATCGGAATTATCTTGGTCAAGACCATCATCATACCCATCAACAGGAGCAATGCTACCATACTGGTTTGCAAGGGGCTCCTGTGCCTGATTCTTTACGCCCCATCCAATTCGAAGAGCTATCGAATATGTCGGACCACAACTCAGCTATGGACTTTCAGATGGAACCTGAGCACTCGGAGCAGCTTGAAGAGGGGCTCGAGAGCGGAAGCAAGGAAAAGGGCTCTCGCCCTGTTAAGGAGAAGGCACAGAAAGAGAAAATCAAGTCTGCAAAGGAAAAAATCTTAAAAGAAAAAGTTGAAAAGCCGAAGAAGGAACGTGTTGTGAAAATGCCACCCAAGAAAAAGGCTATAGGATCTTCTACTCTACTTCCTAGCCAGGAATTAACAGAAGCATCGATTGAGGTTCCAGGAGAGTCTAACATAAAGCCTATGCTTCAGTCTGCTCAAGAAATGACTGTTGGAATGAAGCACCCTATTGATGAGGCCGAGGTTGAGAGAGTAAGCAATGTCCCTAAGAAGGCCCGTACCGAAGAGCACTCAGTTATTGAGATTGGAGCCAATGAACAACAGATGCAACCAGCTACTCCGATCGAAAACCTTAATGCAATGACGATCTCAGCCCCACTAAAACGAGTCGACATGCATAAGGAAGATATTCAAGTAAAGATCAATGGAAACATCATTGCATTACCGCAGCAGCGATCAGAACGGGTTCAGGAGATCCCAAAACAGAATAGTGAGACTATCACAATTACTACACCTATCACTGCAACGCCTGGCGCTGCTGGTACGGCCACAGAGCCCAAGCCAGACCTTTCTCCAACTTCAAAGAGTGCGCCGTCCGTCACTCGCCCTCAGTCGTCCAGCTTTACTTCTATTCAGCCCACATCTACTCCACCTATATCCACATCTACTCCACCTATATCTACATCTACTCCATCCCCATCTACCCCATCCACATTCCCATCTGGACCACTTGCCTCCACTCCTGAAATAGACTTGAAGGACTCTACTATACGCCCCAGGAGAGTCTCTAACGATGATCTTCAGATCGGCTCACCATTATCGCCGTTAATATCGCGGGATACATCCAAAATGCTCAATACTAAAGCTACAGGCAATGTTTCTTTGCCACCAACTAAGGAGAAAAAGATGCCTAAAAAGAAGTTGGCTGTCGAGAGTCCTCAAACAGACGAAGCTTCTATGTCAACAAAAACTGATAAAAGTCCTGTTGGAGGGCTACAGAAGGAGATTGAGGGCATGGAAATAGAGATTAATGAAATTAAATCGCTATCCAAACCGCTTTCGGGCGCTAAGAAGGCAACTTCAGTGTCCACGCCTCATAGTGGTAGTCTGAAGAAGAGGTTTAGTAAACCTGCTGGGGATCAGGTGTCCACTGGTGATTTTAAGCAGAATGAGATAACCAAGGTGATATCAACAGATAACCCCCAGCCCTTGACTCCAGATAAACCTTTGTTGGCTGATGCCCTGCGTGAAAAACCTGTAAAGCAAAAACGAGCGGACCGTATCGAGCCGTCTGCTAATGTTCCTGGCAAGTCGGAAGGGTTGACTAAGAGTTCTCAATTATCTCCAAAGGCGAAGGACTGTAGTTTGATGGTCAGTAGCCGAGTAGCAAGGGAAGAACCTCCTGCCCGTGAAGCAGAGAAACAGATCAAGACCGAGGAAGATGAGGGACTATATTGCATATGTCGAGAGCCCTACGACCCTAACCGTTTCATGATCGCTTGCGATGGATGTGATGACTGGTTCCATGGCGATTGTGTTGGCGTAGCAGAGAAAGATAGCGAGATGGTTGACAAGTACTACTGCAAGCGTTGTGAAGGTTTGTTGCTTAATATATACTTTTTACTTTATTATGTTTTATTTTTTCCCAAGCTTATTTGCCCGCTTTCCCAACTCCCACTTATTTTTATTTTTCATGCATGTAGAGAAAGGGCGACACGGTTCTCGTAAAAAAAAATGCTTCCGCGACTCATGCTTGAAGCCAGCTGGCCGCAGGTCCAAGTATTGCTCCAAAGAATGTGGACTGTTAATGGCGACTCAACGAATCCACGAGTCACAAGCAAGGGCTTTTGGCACAGAGGATCTTTCGACTGATGGACAGATTCAGAGACGCCGTAGATTGACGTTAGCAGATCTGGATGATCGTCAGAGACTTCTTAGTATTCGTGAGAGAATGAAGCAAGTTCGCCTAGTTTGCGCAATCCTCGATGGACGTGAACAACAACTCAAAGTGTGTGTAGACCGGCAAGCTCGACAGGATCTTGGAAAACCTGTCACGCCTTTAAGTTTAATAATTGACAAAGACGAAGACAAGGCAACGCCTGCCGCAGATGATGAAGAGGAGGCAGAGAGTATCTTACGCGCTGGTTCATCGGGATCAAAAGCCAAAGGCAGGAGTAAAGGCCAAAAGATCAAAGATAAAGAGAAAGAAAAGGATAAAGATGCACTTTGCGGCTTTGACCACAGTCTTGTTTGGGATGATGTACGGGACATGACCATTGTTGAACAAGCTAAAGCAACAGCCTCACTAGCGACCACTCCTACCGGGTCGCGAGCATCCTCAGTGGCTCCACCATCCTTTGGTGTAGTCCTTATTAACACGAAGAAATATATTGATGACTCGGATGGTCAAAACAGCAGAGTACTCAATAACTCTAGTGCAGTAAACGAACGGAGCTCGGCTGCGACTAATGGCCTGGATTATCATTCGGTTGGATGCTTACATCTAGAAGAGATTGGGCAAAATGTCTGTATGTCACGTCGACAATGTGAGCGACATTTTGGATGGCAGAAGCTCAAGGCTGCAGAACTGGATCTAGAAAAAACTCTCCAGGTTGGTAGACATGCTTTTTGTATATCTAATTTTTAATCACCTTGCTAACAACTAGTCTCGTATCCTAATATGAATGATATTCTATTTAATTTTGTAGAACAAGCTACTCAAGACACTTAAAGGCAAAGCCAAGTTGATAAAAGGCCGGATGAAGCGTCGCCGCAACGATCTTTCAGCGGGTATTTTGAATGGGACCATTGAGCATTAATCTAGAAAAAAAACATTTGTGACGGTTTTTCATTTTTATTTGACATGGATGTATTTCAGAGAACAACATGATCTAGTGTATAATTGTACAAGTGATGAATGATGGATAATTAAAAGGGAAAAGATAGAGAAAAAGCCAGACAGCACAAAGAGACAATAAAAAGAAAGAGACTATGAAAGCATAACGTTGATCAGATAACTAAATGTGAATAGAAAAAGAGGAAAAAAAAAAAAAAAAACAGCAAGGCAAGAAGAAATAGAAGCATCACATTATGACTGTGCGTTTGAGATAGAACTGATTCCTTGCAAAGACAAACTCAATCTTCATCTTTACGGATCAGCACTCATGGAATAGACAATAAATGGGCGAGAGAAAGAAACAGATCGCCTTCTAATGTAAACTACTTGTCCTGCTCTGTTCTCTGCTCCGATACTTCATATTTTGATTCCTCGTCCCCAACCCCATCCTATACTCTTTTTTTTTACCGTGCATCAAATCATATTTCTACAAGCTTTTCCTTTCTTTCTCTTATTCTTTTCTTTGGCTTCCTTTACTGAGATGCTGGTGGAGCAATATCAGGGAGCTATTGGTGCAAGCACAAAATATGATGAAATACCAACAGAACTGTTAACAGAACGAAAGGAAGAAGGATAAATATATAAAAGAATGACATGAAAAGATTGTAAACTTACCTGAGGCATCATAGGACGGTTTTGATCAGCAAAAGCCCTGGAGAAGACAATTCCAAGACCCTCAATGACGGCAAGAAAGACACCTCCTAGAGCTGCAGAGGTGATAGCGACCTTAGGGCCACCTCGAGCGGCTAAGACGCCGCCAGTCAAGAATCCTGAAGCAATCGAGTTCCAAGGATCCTCTTTCTGACGAATTCCCTTCATTCCACAGTCAAAGGTCGAGAAGAGGCCACCCCAGACCGCAAAGTTTCCACCCAGGACAGGAGCACGGGCCTTAAGTGACATCAAAGCACCCGGAAAGCGTTCGCCCTAGAGAGTATAGGTTTGGAAGTTATGACCAAAGACAATGAGATTGAAATTAGAAAATAAGGAAACGACAGATAATGAAAATAAACAAACAGGAACAAAAACAAACTAACCCACTCTTTCCGAGCGAGCACTTCAGTCGATGTTTGTAAAGGATAATATGGATACGTAAAATATTCATATATATAGAGTATAACAAGTAAACAGAGAATGATGTCTAATACTTACCCTTGGGGAATTCTTGGCACCCTTAATTCCATACCAGACACCACCACCAATAGCACCCATGGCAAATGAAGCACCGAGATCTGAAAAGATGACGTATGGGCTACAATGAACAAAAAGTATGATTAGGTTGGTAAATGACCATATAACAAATTCAGTAAAGTCACATTCATTGCAATGGTTGCAATGATTGCCCTTATCTTGAAAGCTACTTTGCATGTGCTGTGTGCTTTTCCAACTTTTATGATACAATTCTTTTTCAATGAATAAAATATATAAAAAAAAACTCACCAAGGATCGCGAGAGTGGTCAGAAGAGCGAGGCATGATGATTATGAGTACGTATTACTATGAGGACAGGAGAACAAAAATCGTAACGAAGACTTGATAAAAATGGAAGGTGGGAAGGATCAAACGTGGAAGAAGAGAAGACGGAAATGAATCAAGACTCATGTCTTTGGACTCTCCAACAGCTGATAGGCTGTGGCTAGTGGACTTTGTCCTTCTACCTCTCTAGACTTGCCCAAATAAACATCAGTCACACAACCCAGCGATTCGTTTACCTATGGTCACGTGATAGTGACAAGTCGGAAGGCGCTCAATGATGTAGGCTCCAATCCTTATCAACAGAGTCAAGGAAGAAGAGTAAAGAAAGTCCGGATCATGGAGCTGTCTACACGCCTATCGAATAAAGAAAAGAAAAAGAAAAGTGGACGCAAGGTTAAAGATAAAGATGCTGAGTGAATAGTTTAGTTGTGTTGGAAAAGCAAGCGAGCGGGTCAGTCCCATTTTCCATGCCTGTCCTACAATATTTCTGATAGAACAGAAGAACCAATCTTTTCTTCTCTTTGTTTCCAAGTAGTTCCCTGCTAATATTATCATCTCTTTTTCTTTCTTCCTTCTTCTCATCCTTTTCCCCCTACGCGTCCCCCAGCAATTCCTCCTGCCCTCTTCCTTTACCTCATCGCTGCTGCCCTGTCCAATTTCGTGATTAAAAGAATCAGCGTTTATAGTCATCATGAGTGAAGCTTCAACTACTATTCCAACACCCACTACTCAAGCTGTCGCCGAGGAGGATGGCCACAAGGTTTTTGTCGGCAATCTTTCCTTTCAAACCACTGCGGATGAGCTTGCCGAGCTCTTCAGTAAACCCAACCCTGTGTAAGTTTTGAAGCTAGAAAACAAATAAAAAAGAGGTTCCTGTATTTTATAATTGTATCTTATTCATGGTCCCTGGAAAGGAAGATAGTATAGATGGGAGTGGAGATGATGCGACAGGAACAATCTCAACACAAATGGACATACTAACAGGAGAATGACAATGACTAAGCGAAAAAAAAAAAAAAAAAAAAAAAAAAAAGTTCTCCTCCATATGTGTGAAGACAATGTGCGCTCAATTTGGATCATAAACGTTGTCAATATTTTGCTATTTCCAGAAATCGACCACTTTAGACGTAACGATAACTGGCATACGCTCATTGATCTTTAGTTGGCGCTTTGCTACTCACTAACATAACATTAATTCCTCTTCTTATTTTGTGTGTATGATTTTAGATTGTCGGTCAATATTATTACCCGTTTCCCTCGTGCACAACGCTCCGCTGGATATGGTTTCGTAGCATACGAGACCTTAGCTCAGGCTGAAACTGCTGCCGCCACTTACCACAAGGCCGAATTGGGTGGTCGTCAGATCAATGTCGAGGTGGCCAAGCCTCGCACTGAGCGTGGTCCTAGAGAGAAGGCCCCCAGACAACCTAAGAGCGAGAACAAGGATGCGACGGCCGGTGAAGCCAGTGAAACGGCAGAGTTCAGACCCAGGACTGGTCGTAATAGCCGCAAAGGCAGCCGCAAAGGCAATCGCAATAGGGCAGCTCGTGTAAGTTTCTTTTTTCTGGAAAATAATCATACCCACAATTAAAATGATTGACATCCTTTATTTCTTTATGATTATATTTATCTGCATTGCTCAGCAAAACGAAGGTGAAGAAGGCACAACAGGTGAGGAAACTCCTGCTGACAACACTGCTGCTGCCGCTGCCGCCAATGGTGAAGCCAAGGAGGGCGCCAAGGATGACAAGGAGGGCACCAGACGCCGCAGGCGCAACAACCGCCGTAGCCCTAAAGAAGCTACTCGTGGCGACTCTTCAGTTGAAGGCAACGCTACTTCGTCAGCCCGCACTCGTCAGACTGGACCTCCCTCCAAGAACACCATCTTTGTCGCCAACCTTCCCTTCTCAATGAACCCTCAAGGATTAAAGGATCTTTTTTCGGAGTTTAAAGTTGTCAAGGCACACATTGTTCGCCGCCGTCCAATGCGCGGTGGTAGGAGTCGTCCTTCGAACTATGGATTTGTCGAGCTAGAGAATGAGACTGAGCAGTTGAATGCGCTTAAGCTGAACGATTTTGAGATAGATGGCCGTCAACTGGCCGTCAAAATTGCCCATTCTGAGGAACAGGCTCCCGCGAAGGAGCAGATCTCCGCGAATGAGCAGGAAGAGGCCACTGATACTGACGCTACCTCCGCTCCGGAGGTCGTTGCTTAAAACATAAAAAGTTGGCAAGAAACCACTCAGCTCAGTTACAAGCATAAATAGAAAAATCGTTGTGTCGGAGACGGCGACAGAATCGAAGAAAGAGTATAGGAAAAATAGATGCTGGGAGCAAGATTATTGTTTTCTTTTTATTTATCTCATGGGCGTTCTGCTTTTATTCTATCTTTCTGTTTTCTCGCGCAATATATTTTGTCTTTTTTCCATAATAAAAAACTTGTACATTTGTATATAAGACAAAAAAAAAATTAAAAAGATGATAGAAATCCGATCTGTCCGATCTTAGAATGCAAAAAACTCTGAAGCTAAAAGTTACACGAAAAAACAAAAGATAGCGCCCATACTAGGACTCGAACCTAGAACTTTCACCTTAGGAGGGAGATGGAATATCCATTTTCCCATATGGGCTGCTTTAATTTCATATTCGGTGGGTTTTCAGTAGCATTATATATTGAATGCTTCACGCAATGTAGATATTTCATAAATGCACATTCTATAACTGCAAGTGGGCTTTAGAAGAGAAGACAAGTACTACATTAACTAGAACATAAACACTGGAGACCGGACTCTCCTCAAAAGCAGTAACCGACAAACAGACAGCATATCTCATCAATAACGTCCTCATACCCAAGGTGCTTTATAGGATTTCGGCACAGATACTTCCCCCTTCTTTTGTGAGACGAATGACAGGTAAGTATATGAAGCTATGTAAGAGCAAAGCACGTATGCCGTCAACCACACCCAACAGCATAATGCATCACCCTAGATTCTATGCAATTAAAAACTTAGAAGACGCACAGACAGAGGAGCAGATTTCAACCCTATTCCTACGCCTAAATGACAATGGGTTGATGGGACGTATCTGTAGAGCACGTCTCATTGCCCTCCAGAAAGCGCCTTAGGACGAGCAAGCTCCCAACTGCAGAGCCGCACAAAATAAAAGCATACAAACACAACTTCGCATCAAGCGTCTGCAAACTAATGGCCGATCGACAAGTGAAGTTTGACTTGCAACTAGCAAACGATTTGGAAATGCTCTCAATATAGCAGACATGCTTCATGGCATTGTGGATGACCAGCCTGTGCGGGAATTAGCAGCAAGAGGAATATACTATGCTGAGCAAACTCTAGACGAGGATTCGTCACTCAAATCCTGGAATGAGGTACGTACGAAAAGGAGAGACCCAAAGGCATCTCCAGCATGGTTCCACAATGTTCAAAATGCCCTTCATGAGTCCCTTTACACACACAACTTTATCGAAGTATGGTGTAGAGACAAAAAGAACATTCTTCAGAGACTAGACGAAGAGGAAGAGAGACATTTAAGGGAGCTCCAACAGCTAAATGAGGCTGAAAACAATGAGAGAGCAGATGAACTACTCACAGAAGACAATATGTTGGAGGAGCAGCCCACTGAGGATGATGAGGATGATGAAGTTGGATATATAAGTTACCTCAATGACGTGGAAGAAGACCCCAGAGAGTCACTTGATCCCCTAAGTGTAGAACAGCGGGAGGAAAGAGAAAGAAGAGCACAATGTTACATATGAAGGATACACTGAGTCTGATCGCGAACTCCAAAAAGAATACTTGCGAGAAAATTTTGAAAAAAGAGAGCGTTTGAGAGAAAAAGAGCGCGAAGCTAACGAGAGGCATAGGCTGTGGAAAGATCCTCAAGGAAGGAAAATGTTACAGTTTCGCGACCGTTTGGAAAGAGGGAAGAGGGAGCAATGGTTGCTAAGAAAAATAGAGCAAGAGAGGAAAAAAGAAGAGGCGGAGAGAAGGAGAGTGTGGCGACGTGAACAGTGGGTGCAAGCCAAGCAAGAAGCCGCACACTCGAAGGCTATCGAAAGAGCTCGCCGTCAAGAACGCCTACGGTTACAGGCTAGGTTTCAAAGGCTCGATGAACAAGGAAGAAGAGAACAGCGACGACGAGCGGCTTTCAACCGAGCAAGACGTAGAGCACAAGAGCGAAACAAGATAAGTGGACGCCATGAACTCGATGAACAAGCTCTCGATAGGAGGCTCAGGACGAAAGCGCAAGAAGAGATGAACTCCTCAAGAACAAGGAATAATAAAATCCCAGAGGGTCATCATCGGTGGTTTGGCTCCTCTGAGTGCCTAGGTGTAGAGATCCCACAGGTTGACATGGACAATATACTGCGTCAAAGAGAGAAACTATCAACGATGAGTCAGCTAACACTTTACTCCGATGGGTCCCTTGAAGAGGCAGGAAGAAGGGCGGCGCGGATGGCTTTCGGAGTGGTGGCTCAGATAGGCCCAGAAAGCTTCTCAAATGTAGTTTCAGGTAGAGTCGATGGGTATGCTTCATCCACCAAGGCAGAGCTAGTAGGACTGTACGCAGCCATCCTAGTCAGTCCCCGTAACGTTCCAACGACTGTCTACATAGACAACATGGCGGTAGTGGTTCAGTTCAAGGACCTTGCTCAAAAGCGAGAAACAAGCACTGAACGGCAGCGATTGCGATCCAAGTACGCAGTGTGGTGGGCAGCCATTTCGAGAGCGCTCTTTAAGCAGGGCGGGAAGGTAACTGTGAAATGGGTCAAGGGCCATGCTGGGAATAGAGGCAATATAAGGGCAGACCAAGCCGCCAAAGATGCTCATTTTAGTGAAATGTGGACAATCAAAGGACTGGAACACAACGATCTGCGCTGTCACGCTATTTTCGAGAACGAGGTGGTGGAGGATGATCTTAGACACCTGCTAAAACTCCAATCAGCAGTGAGAACACATTACTTGTGGGCGTCTCAGAACAGAGTCAGGAATTATATTGCAGACTGGCGAGAAGTAGAATGGAAAGCAAGCCTGCATATTCTTCACGATGGCAACACGCCTAGAGGCCTCTTCACCAGCCCAGCAGATTGTCACAAGAGAGCGCACAGAATAAAGAAGGTCCATGGTATGCTTCATACACTCACTTATATGAGGCAGTGGCGACCGGACCTGTATGAGACTGACATCTGCAGGATGTGTGAACAGGAGCAGGAGGATATAGAACACCTCTGGCGATGTCCCATGACACTGGACGAGCAATTGAAAGGTTGGAAGCAGGCCATAGAACTCATCACGAAGGATGGTAAAAGAGCATTAGTGAGGGAGAAGAAGCTCTGGGAAGACAAACAAGGGAAAACACAGGAGCCAAACCTGAATCAAGGAGGTCCCTCGTTTACACCTGTAGCGACAACGTGATTTGGGGCTCTTTGGAAGCGATATTTAAGGGCGTCAGAGAGATTCGACATGCAAGCACTCTGTTTGGTGAGGAAGATGTGGATATGGGACGGAGGAACGAGGGCGAGGATGCCCACTGGACTGTCCAAGACTTGTACCACGGTTTGGTGCCGAAGGAACTGATACAAAAATGGAAGACGATCTTCAGAACTACAGCATCGATCTCAAGGTACATTGTTTGCCGCTTTGTCAAGTCAATCGAGGAACTCGGCAGGACTGAAATCTGGAACAGACGCTGCAAAGTCACCGTCAACTGGGAAAGAGACAATGGTATCACCTCTATGAGCAAACTGGCGGATGGCGGCAAGCTACCGACAGCAGGTGTAATTGGCGGTTATGGAGCGCCTGGGAAGTTGCAAATTTCTGATGATTGAGGACTGCGGCTAAAGGATGACCTTCGCGCACAACAGGCCAAGTAGGGAGTAGAGCCATACCACAGGTCCCAGGGACCAAGGGAGTCTACTCAATGCTGACATGGTTTATGAACAGGATGTTGTACTGTGCCAGTATGACGGTGCGGCTTCGGCCGATTATTGGATACCGCTTTATTTGCGACCCCAGTAATGGGGCAACCCATTTATAGAGCTAATTTAAATAAATCATACATGACCTCGTGGGTCCTTGTTTTAAAAAAAATTCAGGGGCCGCGAGGCTGATAAAGATACGCGAGTCACCTATTGATAACACAACTCCACGTGTTCTCTCTTCGGACGGGTCCATGATAAAGGCTGGTTCTGCCGATGTCACTATGGCTTTCGGTGTCTTTGACAGATCTCAAGAGGTGGTTACCACAGTACACTTCGTCTTCCAAAGTGGAGCGTATGGGTCTGCTTGCTGCTATCCTCCCTGCTCCCCCTAGTCAAGATATTTGCGTGGAGCTCGACAACCAGGCAATTGTGATCCAATATCAACAGCTTGTCGAATCTCGGCACCATACGTTGCCTAGTAAACGTCTTCGATGTAACTATGCTGGGCTTTGAGCAGTAGTTTACCAACTCATCAACGGTAGACCAGTTTTAGTTAAGGTAAAGTGGGTCCGTAGTCATAGTAACAGCGCTGGCAATGTGTTTGCTGATATGGTGAGTACTAGAGCAGCTAGGGTGGCTTCCGCATCTTGGAAAGTCGATCTCAGCACTCAATCTGGGACCCAACACTGTACGCTTTCAAGGCCAATTGGCTGAGTAAGACCTTCGTCAACTTCTCAAGTAATAAACCACCATCCGATGGCATCAAGCATGGACAGCCCAACGACGCACAATAAAGAGCGATCTGTGACCATGATGATGTGGAGTGGCGATCAACGCTGGGCCATATCCATAATAAACGCCCTGTGCACTCTTTCTACAGTAATGCCAAGGATACTGCAGCCCGGTGCCACCATACCAAGAAGCTACATGGTATGCTACCTACCCTCAATGTTATACAAGCTAGAAAACCCTTCTTTACCCAGATCGAGTTTGCTGTGTCGGTGAGGCTGAAGACGAAGACAACAGCTATGTATGGACTTGTAGTGCCCTTGGTGAGGCCCACAATAACATTTGGGAGAAGGCTCTGTCGCGCATAGATCGCTAGGGCCGTGCAGCCACTACCAAATACAACAAGGGCCACAAGAACACGAACCTGAGGTGGGTCAACCTTGATCGAGACTTGCATTTATAAGAACCTTCATGCATCAGTGGAGTATGTGCGATTTTAAGCACAGACAACAGAATCGACCGTGCTTCCTTCCTCGTGGATCCACGTTATCTAAAAAAAAAAAAAAAAAAAAAAAAAACACGCATTTTATACTAATTATACTCTGTTTATTACAAGCATTATGAGAATGATCTTATGACCTGCAGTCTCTTTCCAAAGAAAAACCAATTAAGTTATGAAGATTAGTGTGGAGGAGGAACATGGATAAAGTTTTTTTTTTTTTTTTTTTTTTTTTTTTGTTTTGATAACAAGGACCCTCAAGTTAAGAATCAACAAGTCCATCCATACTTTCTCATCCCAAATCCTAATGATATTGTGGGCCCTCGTTATCAAATATTTATGCGCCATCATTCTCTGGCCCTTTACATCTCTCTTTTTTTTGTGCACGGAATACTCGCTGTCTCTTCGAGCTGTAGAGCTTTATTATGAAGATAAATTTTGGAGAGAGGAAAGAAGAGTATGATCCGGCAAGCATCTAAGTTCGAACAGCGATCATTCAGAATCAGATAGATCAACAAATCGCTGTTTTTTGTTGGCGTGATCCTTCTTATTTGGATCTGGTAGTTGTGAGGAAGAGGAGGAAGAGAAGGGAGAGGCCGCTAATGTAAGAGATTGGGTATCAGCGTTGGAAATCGCTCTTTGATCTTTACAGTTTCCGGGCCGTGGAGGCGCCTTTAACGTTGCGACCGATGCCAGTGTAGACAAAATAGGATCGTTTGCAGTCAACCTACGCTGTTTCCCTTTTTCAGTAGACGTCGCAGGAAGGATACGGGCTATTTGGGATACCGTGTTCGACTGCGTGGGGTTCCTTGACCCAGCTCCTCCTATCACTGATTGCTCTGCTGATGCGGATGCAGCGCGATTTCGTGCATTTCTTGCCTCCACCATATTTTTTGCACGCTGTTCACTCAAAGACAAAAGACGCTCACCTTCATTGTCGCTTCCATCGTCCAAATCAACCCATTTCTTAGCAGCTCCACTTCCTGGTGCGGCTGGCACTGGCTGTCGTGTCCCAAAAAATACATCTCCCTTGATTTCCCGGCCTCCATTGTTCTTGCTATCTAGTGCCGCCAATGCTGCTTTACTGCTCCTAGGCAAGGCGATGGGTCTTGTTGTTCCCTTGACATCAATAGTACGTTTTCGTTCGCTCGGTAGTAAATTTGATAGAGGTCGCATTGGGGAAGGAGGCGATTTGATACGCTCTGTTAATAGCCGGATAGATCGCTCTCTAGCCTCGAGATCATCGTTGTTTCGTTTTGGGCTGCCAGGCACAAATTGTCCAGTAACTGGATTATATCCCATCCTACGGACCATCTCTGCAGGGAAAAGCTCCGAGTTGTTGGGAGGTGTTTCTTGGAATGAATCAACAACAAATAAATTAAATATCAATATCGAATCCTACAACGTAGTGATATATTGAGATGAATGGTATAGCCCGAAAACAAAAATTAAAATATAAACATACTAGGCGAGGTCACATCCTTTGCCCAAGCTACGTCTTTACTCGCTTTGGCTTGCCGCAGATATTGGCCACCTGGGTTGTTTTGGCTCATCAGAAATGACGAAAGAATGCTATCCTCCTGAGCAAGACTCTTCTTTGAAGCTTTGGAGTCTAACAAAGACGAAGTCCCTATGCCACCATCATCAAAAATATATGTCGTCTCCTTATAATCGCGCGCCATCATTCGCAGCCTCGCTGATGAGGGGCTCTTAAAGCTGCTCTCTCCTACCTTGCGTAATACGCTTGGGGATGGCATTTGAGCTAAAGGTTTCTCCAAGTCGTAAATCGAACTTGTACCAGCAATAAGACACCCATGTTGATTGCGACGTTTATTTGTGAGCATCATGATGTGATGGGCGCATAATCTCGAAGCCCTTCTGTCCACAACACGCCCACACTCTTTTCCGTCTAGCTTGATTGCTTCGCACTGACCAAAGTCTGCACTAGTACCAACGACAAGTAAGCAGTCCGGATGCTCCACTTCCACACCCAATATTCCTGCACGCTAAAGTACCAACAATAGAAACGGATTAATGCATGACGGCTATCATGGCGTTGTAGGTATTATTCCAAGCTCAAGTCTTTCAAACGAAATGCTATCCATACCTCGGCTTGATTCAGCACCTTAGGATCCATTATGATGACCACATCTCCAATCCTTAATCTTCCATGATGCTTGTCCATAACCTTCCTGAACATGAATACGTTAATCATATGGCTTTTTAAGTCACACAACTGAAAATGACAATATTGCATCTTCTTTTTTGTCATTCTTATCTTTGACTTGGCACCTATTACTCCTCCCACAACCCAACTACCGCCATTTTGCCCATTCGCTATACCGCTAATATCACTATCGGTTGCTGCTGACCCTGGTATCGATATAGACGTCGAAGAGCTTAAGAGACCGGCTGCATAAGGCTTGAGAGACTTCTCTCTTATGCGTTCACCGTCCTTAATATGAACATTTTTCAAGCCACGAGTCATCCTCGCCATATCTTCGCACCCTGTTTCACGATCCCTATAGATCCAGAGGGAGGATATGTGGTCAATACAGAATGGATCCCATTTGGAATTCAGTTGAAAGTTGTAATCGGCCGAACCCATACTTTATCCGCAGTCCAGTTAAAGGATCAAAGCCCGAGGTATGCCCAAGCCTTGTTACTTCAGCTGCAGAGATAGGCTCGGAAGCAGCTGCCATTGTCAGAAATGTTGCCTTTGGGAATTGTTTCCTTGTAAGTTCAGTCTCTCTTTTTAGTTTTTGAGCCTCAACTGCCTCTGTAAGTTTATTATTCGATACTCCAGTTTCTCCCAATACCTGACTGAGAGCACACCGACCATCCAAGTTCTCGCTGTTGGTAACTGAGGGACTACATGGCATTATTGACCCACAGGTGTCAAATGACTGAACATCATCGTCTGAATCAAAGAGAGCATCCAAGAAAGTACTGTCAAGCTCGTTGTCTGGAAGATCAGGGAAAGTATTTTCAATTGTCCCACTTGTGCCATCCCTTGGGCTGCTCATTTCCGATATTTTATGGAACGACGGTGTATTTACACGAGTGCCACTGAAGTTTGCATTATATTGCCGTTGCCTCTGGGTTGAAGGGGTTGGCGACGCATGTCTACCCTGCATGGAAGACGATAATCGCCTAGAGATGGGAGAAGGGCTATGCTGCCTCTTCCTTCCAGAAGATGGAGAAGATGGAGACATGAAAAACCTTGTAGGCGATGGGGGGGATGGTGACCGAAATCCTGGGGAAATTAGAGGCGTTGTATTTTTTTTGGGAGGGGTAGTCAACACTGCTTCCGTAGTCGCTTGTTCGTCGCTATGGGTATCCCCATTGGAAGTGTTTTTCCCAGGAGTTGTGCAGACCAACATCTCCGCAAGTGTTGGACGCGTTGGTGTTGAGGGAGCGTCATAGCAGATGTCGGAGTCATTGCTCTCAGCCTGTGCAATGAGTTGGCCTGGGGATGTGGTACCCATGGCGACGGGAGCGCTTTCTTTGCCCGATTTCTTGGCTGCCTTTTGAAGCTGTTTTGCGCGCAATTTAGCCTCGATTCTGGTCTTCATCTGTATCAATTCCTCCAAGCGCGCCACTATATCCGAGCGGTACAGTTTAGCGGGTGATTTATGTCAGTCAAAAATAAGAGGATAAACTGTCCAACATTTCATACTTCTGAGTAACGCTCAAGCCATAAGATGAGCTTACAATCTTCTGCATCAGAAGAGGAATGTGTCTCTTCTATTGTTCCCTTTATTTTTCCATCTTCCTGGCTCACATGAATTTTCTCAGACACATGAGAATGTTGTTGATGCTGGTCCTGGTCCTGGTCCTGATTTGTGTCCGAGTTCATGTCAAATAAGGCTGCGCCAGTGCCGGTGTGCATCGTCAGCTAGTCAAGTCTTAATTCAGTTACTCCTCACGGTGTCGTTTGAAATGTGCAAAGGTTTTTTGAATGTGAGAAAGTGGTAAAAGAATGCGAGCGAGAACCAGTCACTTTATTTTGGTTTGGTTCGAATTATTCTCATTAAGACAGCTGCATTAATTAGAGCAGAATAAGAATGAGGTGAAGAGAGACAAAGGACGAGCTATTGGATGGATTACCACTTTCGTATTTTTTTTTTTTTTTTTTTTTTTTTAAAAAAATGGCAGTTAAAAAGGCAAAAAAGCTCTCAAACAAGAGAAGGCGAATCCCTGTAACAACAACAGGAGCCAGTGAATCTGTGGAACACCACATTCCAACTTCAAAAATCTCTATGGCCAATACTTCAGACTCACTGTCAGTTCTCAAGTCTTTAACTCCTTTAGGCACGGTGACTACATCCGCTGCATCCTCTTTACTGACCGTCAAAAGTTCCAAGGCTATCTCCTGTAAAAAGTCATCCCTTGCCACTGCACAGTTAATCCGTCGTTATCACACCCTTAATAAGGAGCTTTCTAAGTGCTTGGCACGAATTGAGAGTAGCAAAGCCAATGATAACTCATCAAGCCATGGTCATTCTCAGAACTACTCTCAACAGGATACCGCAGCGGACCTTGCGAGGATTACTGAGATCCGTCAAGAAATGGATGATCTTGGCGGGCTAGACATGTACCAAAAAGCATCTACCCTTGGTCAATCCAAACAACGTGGAGGTGACTCGAGTAAGTGGCTAGTACCTATCTTAGAGAGCCACTATCTTCAACTGAATAAAAAGGTAGGATATTCTTTTTCATGTTCGGCCTACGTCTCCAATAATTGTCAGGAGAAGGTATGGTGTAAATTACTTAAATATCAAACTAAGAATTCATTTGTTTCGTATAGCCTGGGCTACCATTGAGGCTGTTGGATATCGGCGCGTTATCTCCATACAACTACCAAAAATATTCTTCTTGGATCCAAACCACGCCAATAGACCTTAACCCACAGGATCCTTTGATCGCGAAAATGGACTTCCTTGAGATGCCTATCCCTACAGACCGAGAGCACCTCTTTGATGTAGTCTGCCTTTCATTGGTGATCAACTTTGTAGGTGATCCTAAGCAGCGTGGAGAGATCCTACGTCGGTCCACATACTTCTTGATGCCTGGAACAGGGATATTATACTTAGTCTTGCCATTACCTTGCATCCAAAACTCCCGGTATATGGACCACGGTTTGCTCGTGGAGATGATGCAAGCCCTTGGATACACATCTTTACTGAAGTATCATTTTGCAAGGAAATTAGCCTACTATGCTTTCAAGCTCGATGCTGCTGTTGCAGCGCCAAAAAATAAACACAAGGCCCATCGATCTTCAGAGAACGTAGCACATCCATTGTTTCCCAAAAAACTACGCCATGACAAACCCAATCGGAACAAGTAGGCAATAGCTCAATCAAAAGCTCAATGTAGACTGTTGATGGAAGATATATTTCAAGCACCTAATCGCAATATCTTTTTTTATTTTTTATTTTTATTATTGATTAGCTTCTCTATTATTCTCACATAAGTTACGGCTATCCTCAGAATCTTGTACTTTTATTGACATCATGACATTAATAATAAATAACAAAGAGTGTTCTCTTGAACAATTCTTTTATTCATTGCGCGAGTACAGCAAATGCGCCAATGAACATTTACTCCGCCGCTCTAAGCACGATCATTCTCAATGGATCATTTTCATTTGAGGACAAATATACTGTGGGACCATGCCGGAGAAGTTATATTCTAAGCAGTGTAGCCCTCTTGCTTCAACTTTCCCAATCTATCTATACCACATGTCAACCTGAAGAACTGGATATATGCAACATTGGGCATTGTCTTTGTAAATTATACATAGCCAAATCCTTCGCTTGCCTTCTCCCCTCCCATCCTCAAAAAAAAAAAAAAAAAAAAAAAAAGTCGAGAGAAAAATGCTCGCGTATTTAAAATAGTTCTGTCTTTTTTTTACTATCTCAAGGGCTTCATTCGATCTCCAATCCCACATGCTAAAGTTTACCCATAGATCGCATCCACGACGGATACCAAAGCTTGACGGAGACTTTTCATCATGTTATCATCATTTTCGTCGGAATCGCAAATAATCTCAAGGATAGATTCCCTTTCTGCAGGCTCAAGTTTGATTTCCTTATCTCTAACCAAATTTTCCACAGCATGTATTTTTTGATGAAATCCGCGACTCACTTGTCTTTGTAAAATAGAGATCGAACGGTGTGGAATATATACCTTAGCCGACCAGTCGCTCTGAGCTATTCTCGCCAACACACTAACTACTACAGCAATTGCAAGTGAAAAAATCTCCGCCTGATCTCCACCGATGTCACACACTCTGATTTCGTCTTGCTCTTTTACCAGAGGATCTGATATGGATAAAGTAACATCTTTCGAACTACAATACCGCCGTATATTTGATCCATGTTCTCCTGCCATGAGCCTAACTTGCTCCATTGTCAGTAATAATTGAAGGTGATAACGCTTGGTGTGCATAGCTTTAAGACATGATTGCATCTCTGGCCTCAGGACATAGCCTACTGGAACTTTCGAATCCATTATGCTGCCTGTACCTCTGTGATCCCAAGTCACCGCCATATTTTTGGGGATAATACTCCGTCGGCCAGCTCGGCCACCTCGGTAATAGCCCTCACAAATATCCTGAGAGACATCCACCTCTGACAATGCCCGCATGACATATCTCAGTGCACTACCTATAGTTTTATCTAATGAGCACGACTCCATTGTAATTAGACACTCTTGCGATGCACGGAAAACAGGACCAAAATTACGAGTCATCGCAGATTTCAATTCCGGAATTGAGGACTCCTGTTGAAGCTGATCAGAATGATTGGTCGCCATGTTTTCGAGTGGTGGGAACAGTGCACTAACCATTTGAGATGGAACTAGGATACACAATTTCCATAGAGTGAATCCTCCGGATCGTGGGACGATCTTTCTCAAGAATTCTAACGCAGCCTTATAAACACGGCCCGTGGATCCAGATATTCCAAGGACAATGTCCTGATTTTCATGGACTGATTTCGATTCATGAGGGATCATATAAGTATCAACAACAAATTGCGAACGTATAGGTCCAACCAAGGCAGCAAACTCAGTCCCCCTTGGTATTTGATACGCTGAAAATACGAGTCGAAAATGAATAAGAGGCATATTATCACCCGCTAGCTGAAAGTATTCCCTTGAGTGGTATCCATGGAGAGAATCATCTGGCTTGTCGTAAGATTGAATAGGGTCTTCATAAACTAATGCCTCATCCTCAGGCTCTATCTGACAGATGCTGCTTCCTTTCTCAAAACTAATCATGCCTCCACCGTGACTGGGTTTCCAGCGATCTAATGTACGTGACAGTTCATAGTCTGCGATGTCACTGGCCTTTGCTGAATCAAGTAAGGGAGACGCAGGAGGCGAAGCTGGGTGTTGCACTGAAAAGCTGCCTGTCAGGCTTGAATTCAAAGTAACGTTGTCTAGAGTGAATGTCATCTGGTCATAGCGAGAGAGGATCAACTCAATAGAAACATTCTCTTTAGCGGTTTTTTTTTTTTTAAAAAAAAAAAAAAAAAAAAAAAAAGATAAAAGCAATATCATAACTTGGGTGCTTACCTCATCCAACTTTCCTGAGTCCATGACGACCAGCCCTTCATTATCAGGCTCACTTGCAGTCTCTGCGGTGGCAAAACCATTTGCATGTACACTGATGTTATTTAAACTTATACTTGGTACAATGGAGTTGATGGAGGCTCTATCAGTTGGTGAATCGTGAGGCGAAGTTGATTGATGTTGTGATCGCTTAGGGTTTGTTGCAGACTCCATACTTGCTTGCAGGGTGGGCCATTCTGAACCCGTGAATCGCCAGGAAGGTGCACGGCCATCCTGGATTGCTCCATCACGCTGTAACTGAGGCCCTCGGGATCCTATATTATAATCGTCGACATGACCTTGATGTGATGTAGCCTGGATATTGAAGTGCCCAAAATTGTTGGAGGCTTCAATTGATGATATGCGACCCCGCCCATGTTCGCTCTGCTGATGAGTGTGAATGTAATTACTGCTGTACCTCTCATCTTCTCCGTTATTTGAAAGTACAGATGCAGGCGTAGACGAAAACTCTGTATCTAGATACTCTTCCTGCCGCGGAATTGATGGCGCCAAGTTATCAGCGAGTGCCCGAGAAGAAGTCGCGACTGAGTGCGACACTCTGGGAGCAGAATTTAGCGCTAGCAGAGCGTCTCTGATGTTCTTATGAGAGTAGTATGTAAGTGTAAATGGATCAAGGGATCTCATCTCAGCCAGTAATGAATGATGCCAACAATAATAGGCATAAAACAAAAAAACAAAAAAAAAAAATAAACCTCTTTTCCAAAAGCCACTGTGTATATCTTTTTTTTTTTTTTTTTTTGTAAAATGCTCTACGCCATTTGTCTTTTCTCACCATGTCGCGTCTTGACCGCACCCGCACATCTGCTCATCAACTGCGCCCATTCTTTTCCTCTCAGAACCTACTTAATCGCTCCGATGGCTCAGCCCAATTTGATTTTGGTAATGCCATTTTTTGAACAACTTTATTCTTGACTCTTGAGGACAGAAATGGCAATATGGTTGTGAACTTAATACGACACTTGGTTTACATATTTATATTCTCGATTTTTTATCTTTTCAGGTGGATCATCCGTACTATGTTCTGTCGTCGGCCCTGCAGAAGTTAAACTCAGGGATGAAAAACTGGACAAGGCTACCATTGAGGTTGTTGCTAGGCCACTAGTTGGCCTGCCTGGTGTCAAAGACAAGGCTCTCGAACAAAATATCAGAGAGTCATTGGAGCCTTTGATCTTGTCGGGGCTTCACCCTCGCACAATGCTTCAGATTGTAATCCAAACAATGAAAGATGATGGATGTGTAAGTAAATTATCTCAGCTCTTGTGTTACCCAATGTCTTCTTTTAGCATCATCTGAACTCCTGATCATTGTAATAATAGATCTTGTCAACAGCCTTTAATGCTGTCATTTTGGCCCTTCTCGACGCCGGCATACCTCTTAAATCCATTCTTGGGTCTGTAACATGCATGATTGACGCACAATCTAGCGAGATATTGCTTGATCCGACAACAGAAGAACTCTCGCGAGCCAGATCAACTCATGTATTTGTGTTTGATAACAAGTCTTCAGTACAATCAGAGCAAGGAAAAATGAATGTCGATACAGATGACCAAGAAGCAGGAACATCTAGTTTGGCGGCAGTACTTTTCTCAGATAGTACAGGAATGTTCACAGAACAGGAGTACTTCGAGTGCGCACATTTCTGTTTCAAGGCATCACAAGCAGTACATGGATTCATCAGAACAGCAGTGCAAAAAAAGCTAGAGAAAGAGTACCAGCAAACTCAAGCATGAAAGGCCAATCTAATTCATCCATCAGGCTTTTATTATTATCCACACAATAAACACGACATCCGTCAGCGCATTATTTTGCATGACTTCTTGATTTGTTCCGACATACCTTGTTGTTTGCATTTCCGTTACTCGATAGGTTATGGTCAGTGGAAATGCTTTCTGGGCTTATTAATTACAAGACTAAAAGGCTTGGCGAAAATGCTCCAAGCTTGAGAACCAGATTTTCTTAATGTTCAGGTAAGTAAGTAAATTTTATTGAAGGTACATGGACGACGATTTTCCTTGGAAGGCTGGTCATGAGGCCTAGATCAATAATTAATAACAAGAGATAAAATGTAATGTTTTCGTAATGTTGAATACCAAAGCTTGAACTGGATCATGTCCGCCCAAGGTAATGTAATTTCAATCAAATGTGTTGCGGTTAGTAAGTAACAATCAGCCAAACAGTTCATAAATTAAGCAACGTCCGCAATGTTTTTCTGATTAAGCAACATATTGTGTGCAGGCAGCCATTCGTCAGATTTGGGGTCAGTTTAGTGCTATCAAGTCCAGCTATTATCTGATGAGCCGTAATGTCTATTACCGACGAGACCTGAGTGGGCTCGATTGGTTCGTCCTCTTGAAGTGACACTTAAAGGACGTGAAAGAACGACCCTTGAAGGGATAACTGTCAAAATAGCACAATGGGCGCATAACAATTAGGGGAGTTCTTTCCGCCCTAGCCCAGACTCGTTTTTCAACATAGACGTTTAGTATAGCTAGCCATACTTGTAATCTTGGTTGCACAGAAGGAGATGTTGATTAAACTCCTCTGCTGCCTGGCAAATCATCGAGGCGCTATTACGCCCAAGTTTTCCGTGGATTTTTCTAGAGATAAAATTCGATTGCACTATGAACGATATAATCAAACAAAAGATTCTTTACAGTTGATCTTCTCGCTCGATAACAACTATAAGCTCCAGCGAAACAAAAGTCCTGGGCCATAAGCCTTCCTCTATTCATCCAAATGATACCGACGTAGCCTATCATTAGCTACAGACTTGAATAAGGATTGGACTACTTACTCTTGACAGATTTTCTCACGTGTAGAAGAATTATTGACCTCCTTTATTTATATGGAAGTGGTAACTACGAACAAGGAGAAAAAACAAAAAAAGTAAAGAGAAAAACATAAAAAGGCTTGCATGATCCTGCGTTGCCATGTCCGGCAATTGTTATTGATGGTGGTAATAACAGTAATGATGATAATTTGTGGTGTGCAATGGGCTCTCAAGACGCTACTTTCTAAATGGCCATACTCTCACGTAACTCCCTGAGTTCGGCCTCTTCCTCGTCTTCTACTTCTATTGAATGAAAAGGCCACCAAAGGAGCATATCGTTAATAGATATTCGCTCTAATTAGAGACTCAATAATCAACGACATTATACAAACACAACTATACCTGGAGGATGGACAGGCACCGAAGGCAAGCCAATTTGGGGTGGTCGTTCAGTTTCCATAAGTTTCTTGTCCAACTCTTCTTGCTCAAGCTCGTCAAGTTCAGCTGCCAATTCATCCTAGGTAATATGGTTTGTACATATCAGAAGTTAGCCTCTTAACAGATAAATGCTCCAATTACGGTGCTATCAAAATCGATGTTGGAGTCCTGCTGAACATCATGCCCGCCATACCTCATCCATTTCAATGCCAAACCCAACGGGCTGTGAAATAACATCTGAAATCTCATTGGCGAGCTCCATCTGGTCCCTAATCTCCTCCATTGTCTGGTCAACCTTGTTGATATCCCTATTATTGATGACCAATAATACAAAAAAATAAGAGTCAACATATAGCCGTTTCAACAGTGAATATAGTCCTAATAAAGTAATGTCCAGAGTATACAGACATTTTGTCTGCTTTCAATTCACTAGAACAATTCAAAGGAAGCTAATAGAACAAGTCGCTCCTTACATGGCACCATGGATACCCTTCATAGCTTCAGCACCTGCACGCATAGCCTTCATAGTCTCAAGATTGACATTAGCATTTTCAATGGCCATGACCTGCGTCTCTATTGTCAGCCGTGAACCCGAAATGCGTTCGATCACTCCTTCATACTGTTTCTTACGCTTCAATGCCATGAGCGCGGCTACAAAAGATTTATTTTTTAAAATAAAAAAAAAAAAAAAAAAAAAATGCAACGTGGCGTCAATTTCAGTGCCCTTGCGTTTCATTTCTCATGTTTATTTTTCCTCGCTATGTTGTATGGAAATTGAGACATAATTGCCGCTATCGATGCTACTGCGGTTGATGAGAAGTGGTGCATTTACACTATACGCCACATGCCGAATCACTCTGCCAACCTTCTTTATTGATTTATTCCATGTCAAATGAGAATGAATGAACAGAAATCAACAAGCAGGCGAAAGCAAAGGCAAGGATTCGCGAACTTTACCTCTGCGATTCTTGGTGGCATTTGCTTTTGCAATCTTGAGCTCATTGTCGATCTTTGTTTGTAAGAAGGTTTCTCTTTTTTCGAGCATCTGCAATGTGTTCCTGAGCTCGACAATCGAGTCCTTAGGAGTAGCCTTTGGCTTCCTTCCAAAAAAGAGATTCATTTGAATTGATTTTGTATTTGCTTTGTATGTGAAAGTAACAGTATGTGAGAGGAAAGAGGGAGGGAGAGAGACAAGTGGTGTAACTGTATTGTGTTGCAAATGAGAATAAGGGGGGTCAAGGCAAATTGCAATGTGACTTTACTTCAAAAAAAAAATGACGTGCATCTCCAGTGTCAGGCACATGAATTGTAAGAGTTTTAATCAAAATGACTGACTATCTTAGTACTAACAAGGTCTTAATAATCATTACTTCAGTATTTTGTTGCGGCTGCGGCCAAGAAGAGCTTGACACATGCAGCCATTCCTGCAGCCCAAATACCGGTACGTGCGAGAGCTGTGATCTGATTTGTATTGAAGATATACACGAGTGTGTACAATGCGCGAGATGCAACAAAGAAACCGGCATAAAAGTTAATTGTATCCTTTGCAACTCCTGCTTGAAGTGCAGCAAGCTATTATAAAAAAAAAATGAAGACAGGTTGGAAATAGAATCAAACTCTACCATAAAGTGTCACCGTAAAAAAAAAAAAAGAAAAAAAAACGAAATGTTTGAATCAACTTACAACAGCGCCGTAGAAGATAGGTAATGTCTCTAGGCCATTGATATGAGCACTTTTGGTACGTTTAGCCATAGCCCAGGCCGCCTTTGACATGCGGTTCTCAATCTTCTCAAGTTGGTCCCTAGGACTGACTATTGATCCATAGGTGAACGAATATAGAAAACTTCAATTAGTGTCACTTCATTTCCTTGCCTTGATAAAAAAAACCCCCGCAAGTTCATACTGTTGTTCCATCGTTTAGTGGCGTTGATGACGATCTATAATACAACATGAGCAATTGCTGTTAGCCCCATGATTCGATATTAAACCCATGTACAATAAAAAATGCAAAGGATATTCTTCTATACCAAGGCGTGAATAAAGTGGGGCGCATAAGCAATTCCAGCTGCGACGGGGAGTGAGAGTAAAGGGAAATTAGGATATGCAGCAGGCATGATGATTGGGTAGTTTATCAGTGAGGTTAAAATGGCAGACGAAAGAGAGGACTATCTAAAGGAGAAGAGGAGAGAAGAGAGTGAAGAGTGAAGAGGAATAAGGCTTTATTTTCGGCAAGCATATGAGACGTAGGAACGCTTGATTGAAATTAAAGTGCGGCTCGGCTGTTTTTGTGTGGGCGGCCGGGACATCAATCTCGATCAGATATTTAAGTTTGACAACACGCAGTCCCTTTGATCATATTTTTAATCATTTTACGGCATAGAATCCAGCTACTCAAGGATCAATTTTGGAGGCTATTGAGACACGCGGAGAAGAATCCCTAGAGCCATTCAATAAAAAAACCATCAGGCATATGAAGCGGCCCCCGTTGGCAGAATCATGAAGGCATCTGCACATCAGCGTCATCATAGCTTTGATAAGAGCAAGATGTATAACGGTGTCACCCCCTTGGCCGCTTGATCACAGCGCTCTCCTCTTAATTTCAGGATACCAAGCACATAAAGACGTTTCCCAAAGGCTTGAGGCCTCACTTTTTATTTACGGTCCTCGGTAACACAGCTATACTTACAAGCTTCTGTTCTTCAAAGCCATTAGGCAAATTTCCCTGATCATCTTCAAGCTGCTGCGTCGCAATACAATGCAGACAACATGCTGGTTGATGTGTCGGCAATAGATTTAACTGCTCTTTAGATCGCCTCATCCCTAGAAACATCAGCAAACAGGCTTGTTTGGGGAGCAATTACAGAAGAATACAGTTCAAGTGCCTCGGAAGGCGAAGGAACTAAGTTTATATGCAAGCGATGGATGCTGCAAGTCTCCTTTCGATTAATGGACATTGTCGATGTCCGCCACTCTATTTCGATAGGATGCCTACTATACCTACCGTTACCATGTCAACCATAGGACTGTAGCTTGGCTGGTCTATAAATGGTTCTCTGAGCTGTACCAGAGTCTTTTGAGTCGAAACTTGCTATAACTCTGCCTACAATACACCCTACTGGAGTCTTCCTGCTATACACACACTTCACGAGGAATTGGAAACAGCCACATTGGCAGGGGATCTCAAGAATAATCGTACAGTCTACTTCTTGCTGGCATATTATACATATTATTCTCTGACATAGAACTTTGTCTCGTCATTCTCTCTCCAAATGCGAGAGGAAGTCAATACTGAGCACACGGGTGTAAATGAGGTCACTAGAGCTTCAGATGTGGCCTATGTGGCCCGTCAAAAAGGAGTGGCTCGCGAATAAATGAGTATGGGCATGTGAAGAGTAGGTAGAAGTATGTAGGGTATTGACCAAAGTCAACTTCGGATTCAAACTTGAACAGGAGGGGCAATGGGTGCATTACCTATCTGCGCCTTAGCCTTAGATGTTGTCTTATTTTCGATGATACATGAGACGAAATATGGACTCTATGTCCGTATCGTCCTGTTGGCACTGGCCTTCGCCAAGTCCAACCATGAGATGATAGATTATTTTGACATCGATTGGGTTAGTTTATCAGTGAGATTAAAAAGACAGACGAAAAAAAAAAAAAAAAAAAACTTAACTAGATGAGAAGGAAAACGAAGGGAGCGAAGGGAGTGAAGAGTATGAAGAGTAAAGAGTAATGGAGTCGATTTAGATTTGCCTGGCAAGCATATGAGAAGTAAGAACGCTCGATCATCGAATGCATGATTTGCGACACAAAAGGCATGCTCGGTAAGAATGACATGTATTACAAACCATGTCGTCCTATTTACTGTTTACTTTCACTATCTTCTAAGCAAACTAATCAGCTTTTGAAGTCCACTTCTGAGAATATCTGGCACAAGTAATTTTTTTTTTAGGCCACTATAAACATGGCGCCGGGCAGAATCAATGCCCCCGTCACGACTGCAACCATTGCTACACAGAATCCAGACGCTGTAGCCATAAGCTGTGTAGCGAACCCTAGCGGAGGCTCGCCGCCATGTCTTGGTGCTAGATGGCCACGAGATGATCCACCGAGCTGAGGGCCCGATGTATTAATGCTAGTTCGAGTACGTGATGTTGGGTATTGCGTTAAAATTGTGGTCGTTCCGTCGGACCCAACAAACGTCGTTGTTTGCGTTGAATCTCCACGAGTCGTAGTCGTAGTCGAGATAGTCGCTTCTGTGGAGGTTTCGGCGGAGGTTTCTGTCGCACTATCAGATTTTTGGGTCGATATGGCCGACAAGTCTGACATGGTTTCCCTTATTGCTGTATCAGTTGGCTGAGGCGCTAATGAAGACGAAGTTGCCGTTGCGGCTTCAGCTTGCTCAATCATACTTGTCACAGGCATGGAAGAAAGTATAGAGCTTGAACGATGAAGCGATGAAGTTTCTGGGGCCTTCGTATATGTCGGAACTGGCGAGAGCGCTAAGGAGGAGGCTCGAGTAGGAGATATATCCACTGTAGACGCCTTTGAAATAGGCAAAGTTTGAATAAACGTAGGAGGGGACATAGTTGATATGGGTGAATCAGGGGATGCAGGTACATCCCGAGATAGGGTTGGATAAAAAGATGGAGCCATGGTTGACAATAATCCGGCATAGGACGTATATGTGAGCATGTCCTTAGGAGGAGGATACCATGCGCTAATGACGGGCGATGCCTTGGGCAATACGTACGGCTCTGGCACATGAGAAACAGAAGCTATAGCAGGCGTATTAGCAGCAGGGATAGCATACGGAGTTGCAAGAGGTGAGGCAATGGATGACGAGTCGGCCGGTATCGTGATTGGTACAGGCGTTACATGAATGATGGAAGTATCGTGTTGAGCGGCATGTGCAATATATGGAAGGCGTGCAGGAGCACGGATATTACTCGAGGGGATGTTATCAATAACATCGGTTACAGGTGCAGTATTGGGTACATATGAAGATGCAGAATATGCAATGACGGGCTTCGGAGCAGGCCCAGATACAGATGCGTGAGTGAATGGAGCATCAGCAGTAAACGGTTCCACATGTGAATCAGCGTGTTGAGTGGAGTATGTAGTGGCAAATGCAGGGACAACAGCAGGTTTTGGGATGTCATGTGAAACAACAGAGACCATAGCTGATGCAAGATATGGAGTGGGCAAGGGAGTGAATGAAGTAACGGGCGTGTCCGGAGCATTATATATTCCAGACATGCGAGAAGGGGACATATGGGCATACACGATTGCACGTCCATCGGCATGGCAGCAGGCGCACGGACAGGGGAGGAGGAAACAAATGAAGCAGACAGTTGAGCATATGGAGAATCAGGTGCTGGCGCACCAAGCATAAAGATGTCCATTTCTCAGGCATAAACATAACAATGACACAATTCCCATGGATTTTGGGCCAAGTTTACTTAGAACGCACCTGGATGAGCATGATGCTGAACAGGAGATTTTGGCTGCGAAGTTGCGATCGAAACTGCTTGAAGTGGCGGTACAGTCGCTTGTGCTGCAATGGGCAGATATCTGAACTCCGTAACAGTAACTATGACCAATGATCATTAGTCCTTACTTAGTATTATTATTTCAATACTCGAAACACTTATTGTGTAGTGAATTACCATAGACTATGTTCTCTCGTTTGTCAACGGCGAGGGGCAACACTAGGCCAACTAGGAAGCCGTATAACAGCGCTCTTGCCAGGATGGGAATAAGATCTACTGGACAGAGCATGTCTTTAGCCTTGCTTTCTTACACACGCTTTTTTTCTAATCTATTGTTAGGAAGAGGTAGTAGTGAATAGATATTAAGGCGCTTAAAGATGTATGGTATTGATATGAGTCAAAGTAGTATGGAAGTTAAAGAATTAAAATTACTGTTACCAGAGCTAGAGGAAAATATAGGGCGCCGTAGCATGGCTTTTTAATCTTGTTTTCACAGTAAAAATAGCCCCGACAATAAAACTGGCTCAAAGACTTACTGATCTATAGAGAGCACTACGCTGATATAAAGTGATAGTAGTTCTCCAAAAGCGGAATATGCAGGCTAGAGCTATCAATGATGGTGGCTGTATACAGATAAGACGTACACTCAACTCAGTTCATTTGATCGTATCTGGAATGTATCACGAAAAAAGGGCAGGATACATATCCACGGTGTGAGCCATAAAAGGAAAAGAAGGTCTTGCTTGACGTAAACGGCCCGCCATCCCCCTGAAACGCCGCTTTGTTTGACGGAGAGAGCCGAGAGCGCGGCGACCCATCTGAAGCATAAAGCAATAAGAGAGTTTACATATACATGTTAAGTGGCGTGAGACATCGCCACTTCTATTATGAGAAATAGAAATTCATTTCACACACCCTCTTCTCTTCCCACTCTTTAGCATTCGTGTCCCTCTTCTTTCACCACCATGACTACCCCCAAAACAACTCCACGCATTATCCTCGGGTAACGATCTCTTTTCTCCTTCCGTCATTAGTATATGGGTAGCGATCTTGTCATCCATCATCTGACTCTTATACATCGTTAGGACACAGAGCTTTGCTCTACACACAACAGATCCAAAAACGGCGGACTTTCGAGTCCAAGGACCTGAGAATCTTAAGCCCTTCCTCGACTTACTCGAAACGTTTGGGGTTCTCGAATTAGACACCGCTCGTGTCTACTGTGGAGGCGATACTGAAGCAACAATCGGTTTAGTCGAGGGTGAGCCGCTGACTCGTTTTGAGATCTCAACGAAAGTATATCCTTTGCAGCCTGGCGATCATTCGCCAGAGGCATTAGTGCGGCACTTGTATCAGTCTTTGGAACAATTGAAAGTCGATAAAGTTAAGATATTTTATCTTCATGCGCCCGATTTTTATACCCCATTCGAAACGACACTTAAAGCCATTGATGACCTCTACAAAGATGGACTCTTTGACGAAGTATGCCATACATGCACATACGGTAAAAGCAATCATATAATGTTGCATTTCATTAATTTCTCTCTTTTTCCAAGTTTGGTTTATCAAATTTTGCAGCATGGCAGGTAGCACTCATTCACCAAATCTGTCATTACAAAGGCTATGTGAAGCCGACTGTATATCAAGGATGGGTTAGTGACTTCTACTTTTTTTGAACTGCTCCATTCTACTTTTATCTACACATCCTAACTTTTCAATATCTTCATTTATCTCGTACGTCTACAGTACAACCCATTAATGCGTCAAGTTGAACGAGAGCTGTTTCCTTGCCTGAGGGAACTTGGTATGAAATTTTACGCCTATAATCCGATTGTAAGTCTCGGCATCATTGCAAGTCAATGATATTATGGGTCTTTCCAGTACCGATGTGTACAATAGCTAATATATCTTTTTGTTCACAAAAAAGGCCGGCGGTTTTTTAACTGGGAAATATCATATCGATAGCATCGTCAGGGACGGCACACGTTTTGACACGAAAACTATCTTGGGATCATAGTATGACTTTTTATTTTTTATTTTTTATTTTTTTTTTGATAAAGGCCATCAGGATAATGAGATTCGTGTAACCATAATATGGACGGCTCCGCAGCGCATGAAGCATTTTCCTAATTAAGGAATCATTCTAACTTTCTAACCTCTGCAAATATAATAATCTTATACCTTCATGGTCATCCAAAAAAAAAAAAAAAAAAAAAAAAAAAAAGCTATCGAGAGCAGTATTGGAGTCCACTTTTTTTTGATGCTGTAGATGCACTAAGAAAGGTAACAGAGTCATATGGGACCCCCCTGCTGGAGGCGTCAATCCGCTGGATGAACCACCACTCTGGACTTGGACCTAATGATGGTCTGATTTTTGGTGCAAACGACTGCGTGGGAAACTTGAAAGAAAACCTCATCAGCTTACAGCAGGGTCCTTTGAACAAGGAGCTTGTCAAGGCCTTTGAGGAGCTCTGGGGAAAAGTCAAGGCAGCCAACCAAACATACTTTAGACGCGACATCCGATACCTGAAACCAGAAGACGACGATGTTGGAAGCGATGAAGAGACTGAGAAGTAAAATAAAGAGAGAGCCTGATAAACGGGTGCGTCAGCTCTTACAAAAGCATTTTGGTCTGGCCTTAAGAGTATGTCTCTCCAGATCCTTAAGACATTTCACAAATGCAAACATTAAGACAGCTTTGTTATGTTTGTTATGTCAATATATTACCTATCCAAGGTAAAAACTGGACCCACTTCCCTAATTTACTCCTTTTGCTTGTTGCGATTAAAGGAATACGCACAGGGAACAGTTACTGGGCCATAAAGTTACTCGCAAAGAGCGTTTAAGTGCTTCTCTTTTTTTTTTTTTTTTTTTTTTTTTTTTTTTTAAAAAAAAAGACCCTCAAGGACTCAAGGATGCTTTTACATAAACTTTTCGAGAACAAGGACCCAAGAGCCCCATATAATATGAATCTTTGCTACACTACAGCTCCTATTGATTAATCAGCACTGCTACACAACAAAGAGCAAAAAACGACAGAAATATTAGGCGTTTTTATTACCATTATCATAGTGGATATATTGGACACATCTATGCTACAATCACGTGATGCTATTAATAATATATAGCATTTCCTCGAAGGAAAACCAAAGCAAAGTTTGTATGGTGTAGTTGGTTATCACGTCTGTCTAACACACAGACGGTCCTCGGTTCGAGTCCGAGTACAAACATTTTGTATTTTTGGACTAGCTGGGTCATCAAGTCTTGCCAGTATTTGCACGGGGTCTTTATTTCATCCACAAGCGGCAGCGTGTATCCTACAGATTACATGATTCCAGCTTTTTATTTCGAAGCAAATAAGCGAAGGTGAGTCTAGAGTAGAGGGGAGTCTGGAGCTGCGATACTCATCGTGCTCTGTTGCATATTTCACAGTATGCAATATTACGATGGCCTAGCTAGAAAAAATTAGAGTAAAAAACACCAATGCGCTAAAAGATTAGCAGTAAAAATTAGTGGCAATAACGCGCCACACCTAGACGCGATAAATCTTTGATATGAAGTTTTTAGAACGATATGTAGTTACCCGATACAAGTCCCTCTACCAGAAAATGAATAAATACTCTATGGATGTGGTGTGTGGGCCCATATCTTATTCTCACTTACTTTTCTACTGCTTACTATCTATCTACAAAATATTTCTCACGCTCTATTCCGCTCTACAGTCACTCAAAAGAAAGTCTGGTTAAAGTGGGTTATTTATTATTTTTTTTATTTTGATTCTCTGACAAACAGCTCATTTATGACATACAAAAATACTTCACTGACCAAGATGGAAATTCACGCGTTTATTAATGAGGCCAATGTGGGTAATCACTGAAGTTTTTGGGCGGTACGTGCTGAGGGTAAACGGCAAGAAATAGGATTGAAGACAGTGCTTCTCTTCAAAATTTTATTTTTTTGACCAAACTTTCTTTCAGGTGATTGTACAATATGAAGCTAGTCCCTAGACGCAGTGAGCATCCACATGTGCTGCTGAGTATGCGACACTGCGTGCTAAAGACGATCCAAGGCAAGTTCTGGCTATTATTGGTGAAAAATCAACCCTGATTGAACATGATAACAAACTTGGAATGTAATCAGACAAAAATAAGGATCTTTATCAACGTAACAGAAAAGAGTATTTATGCCTCTTTTCTATCACTATAAGTCACGGCTATGCTATTAAAGTATTTTAGCTCTTTAGATATAGGGATATAGGTAATTGTGGCACGATCGGCTTTGAGTGCGAACTGTCACTAACTGTCAAAAGATAAGTAATCTCTCGGGTTACAAACGGCTGAGAGGATGGACATTCCACAAAATAAACTGAATGTATTTGGTGAATTTGGTAAACAAAATTTAGTACCAAGGGCGTTTGAGCTCTTAATAAAGAAGGACGGAGATAGGGACATAGAAGAAGAAAGAGAAAAGAAAGAGAGTAGTAACACGGCACGCTATGCATCGTAGCAATGAGTATGATCGTTTATATATCTACCGAAACAAACTACACATTAGAGGCCCCTAATTACTGAACTCATCGTTATGTGCTTAATAGCGTACGGAAACACTTGAGATGTATGCACGCGCTAAATGAAAGAAAGCATCAGGGAACCATCCACAGCCTATAAGAATACGACCAACAAAGTGCAAAGTAAAGTGGCATAGTATATTCCAATTATAGATAAATTGTTTGTAACTCTTTATTTAGTCCCAGAATCGCATAAAGAATATCAACATCTATTCTGGGCTACATACGACCTTGATAAGATATATATTCTGGTCAATATTTGATGCTTGGGTATCGAGCTTGTGTCGTGGAAGGCTTCCTGGTAGTGGTATCTAGACTGAAATAAAGACCCATACAAATAAAAAAAAAGCCCCCCGTGCAAATAATTTTTTTTTATTTGTACGGGAGCAGTGTAAATAAGGTGTGTACGCGGCCGTGCAAATATCTTTTCCCAACATTTATAGCCTCACAGAACCCGCGGGGAGCAAACTTGTACGAGTCAGTGATAATATTAATGTATTTCTCCAAAAAAAACGGTCTTTGTAATTGTACGTCGTACCGCTCTAGGTAATAATTGGAGGCAATACCAAAGGACCAGGTTGTAAAAAGGGAGAAGTGAAGTAAGTATAAATGTACATTGAGGAAAGTGTGACGGGATGATCTGGCTACTTCTAGGATTCATGCTTATGAATTGAGGATATGACATTTATACATTTAAAAACAACCAACTGCCAGGGGTGAAAAAAAGAAGGTAAGCACCATACACTCAAATAAACCAACGGAATAAGGGAGGACAAAGGAAATGATTATACACACGTGTAGGTCTGTGTACACTTGCTCCAACTTGGTGGGTACCCGAGCACTCCCATTCGTGGCTGATTCTCACCATAATATAATTTAAAACAGGATTTCCATGGGAAGTAAGCATTTTTGGATAACTTTTGTTCTTAGGTGGTGGATGGCTATCAGTAATATCTCACAACGGTTTGAGAGGGAGGAGTAGACGGGAGCATCAAACACGCGTCAAAAGGTACAATATTCAAAGAAATATATTTTAATACATAATGAAAGATGGGTGAGAGAGGGCGTGCACCTTCGGAGCAAGACTGCCTTAGATGCTCCCTGTTTCCTTGTCTCATTATCGCAGCCCTCAACCTTCCTCTTTTTCCTTTTTTTTTTTTTTTTTTTTTGGATGGTCATTGCATTCAGATGCTTCATTCAACCCGAGCTCTGTCTCTTACCTCACAGGTCCTCGTTAACCTTATTTCCGATCTACCTTTTTATGTTTTTGTGGGCTTTCCATCCATTTTTCTCGCTGCACCAGGAGTAGTCTTCGTTGTCTTCTTCTGGAAATCCCTATCCCACTTCATACTCATTGCACTTCCAGGATGTGCTCAACTTGACCCTCCTCCACACACTTCATATTCTTTTAAAGAAAAGAGCAATACTCTACTACATGTACAGACAGAACACACTCTTTGGTATTACTCTCTCAGTCTGCAATTAACCTTATTTATTTACAGTCTAAGAGTTCCATATATATTCGACCGTTCAATACAGAGATATTTCACCTCAACGCCTTCTCTTTCGCCTTTATCACGAACCGCCCCTATTCATCCTCCTTTCGACATCTTTCAAGTTGGAAGCAACACCAGTGTTTAACAAATCATCATCCTTTTTTTAGCATTGATTTTTGAATAATTAGGCGTCCCAGCTGAAGAGTGAAGCTCTCATGGCCACTGAAGATGAGCCCCGGTCATCACTCACCTTCCCTGGACTAGCATCCCTGCGAGAGGGCATAACAAGTAGGGCGCTAGAGTCAGAGATTAACTCCCTTCAGGAAACGACCGTGGACCGATCCAGGGCCACAGGGAACGATTTGGAGGCGCCTCAGGGAGATGACGATAACATCAGTGTCTCGCGAGGACCCAAACAAGAGCAGCAGCGCCGGCGGCGACCCTTGTCGCTGGCTTCAGCGGCTTTGCCGTTTATATTAACGATCCTGACGTTCTATATTTATTACATTTATGTTGTGCATGTGTGCAGTAAGTTGATCATGCTCCTGTGTGTTTTAAGGCTAATATCTGGCATTGGATTTTGCATCTCTCCTACTTTTCTACGAAACCTTCAAGTATTAATGTCTAGGTATTGTTTATAATCTATGAATGGACACCATGCTGCTATGTTGGATACTGAAAAATACTCGCCAGTTTACTATCTCTTGAATGCGAAGCAAGCTATCGTTCAAGCCAGTAAGTATTACGATATAGTTAACCACACCTTTTGGAGATGGAGGATTACGTGATAACTATAAGAATAGCAAATTCACCTCAGTAAAGGAAACAGGGGGCCCCCTGTTAGAGTTATGTCTTTCATCGATTGCAAAACCTCATTGATGTTGAAGTGCTTTCTTATTCAACTAAGAGGTCAAAATTTAATGAGACAGTTTAGTAAACAAATTTAATACATCATCTTCAGGAATAATAGGCGGGGCTGTGTCAACAGACAAACGTGAAATGCGCGCACTCGCGCACACGCATATGCGTAAAAAATATAAACAGTGCTGTATCAGAGTATCTCCTTGGATGACTAACGGTTTGTTTTCATTTCGCGCCCAAAGGTTGATCTCCAACCATTTTAACTCTATTCTGAGTGCCTCTTCAAATGAGCCACCAATGCCCTAGTTCTAATTTTCTTTTTTGCGCGCATGATATTTTTACTCCTGCAGCCCTGTATCTCATAGCTTTCAGCATTTTTGTCATGCTCTACTCTATCTCTTATGCTTTGAGCATTTATTGTGGTCCTGGATCACCATTGAAAGTAAGATAGTGGGTGAGAATTTGTTTTTTTGTTTTCCCTAATGTTGTTAGGAGTGGCATAGTAGCGTATTCAATATGTGTTAATACTGGCTAATTGACTCAAGTATTTCTACCAATCCCACCAATGCCCAATGCAGCCTCCAATACGCGCAACGCCACCGCCCATCCCGCCTACAACTACACCCTATCAACCACAACCGTCTTTTCCAGCCCCTTCACACTCTGAACGGGATGAACGTACCGCATCAGGATTATCAGTGCCAGCCCCGTCAATTACACAGCCTTCCACATTTAAAAGGTCAAGAGAGCCATTGAATTCAGCTGGCCCAAGTCCCCACTTACTACCTATCACAATGACATCAAAATACTCAACTGCTAGCGCCATCCCAGCGAGGAATACACACTCAGATTCAAGCATCCCAGTAATGCTTCGCGAGCGCCATGCCGACGCGAGCACAGATGTCGGTGATTTTATTCCGGAGCCTCTTTATGGTAGCAGTGATCGGAATGAGGGTAGGCCCATCGGGGGTATTGGTAGAGGCAATTGTACTAATGTTGATATCTCTGATGTGGTGACGCGGTCGTGCCAGCCAACGCAAAGGGACAATCTTATGTCCCCCATAGCAACGTTAAGCATTTGCAAGCAAGATGGCCGTCCTCGTTAGTGCGATATCTGTAAAATCGCCAAACCGGATCGGTGTCACCACTGTTCAGAATGCAATTGCTGTGTATTGCGGATGGACCATCATTGCCCCTGGGTGAATGGATGCATTGGGTTTGGCAACTACAAGTACTTCTACCTGTTCACCTTTTATGGCTCTATTTCGGCACTCTGGGCTACAGCAACTATGGCCACTTTACTACCAGAAGCGCTTGAGCGATGTAGTTCGAATGGCGGAAGTATGTGGAATATAATTGAGCGGCCTGAAAGCGAGCAGAGTGCCCCATGTAGACTTGATGCTCAGTGGGTTATAGGCATGGTGGCCACATTCCTGTTGGGAACGGTTAGTGCTCTATTTACAGCCACGCATACATACTATATCGTGACTAATCGAACAGCGGTCGAGATCCTCCAAGGCTTACGGAGTGTATTTGTTCGAGTTCAGTATTTAAAGCTGCCTCCACCCTTCGATCCATCAATGCAAAGCATGCGCCTCTCTTTCCCAATGAGGTCTACTGCGCTACCATCTTTTGCATCGGAGATGGAGTTTAGTGTGGTAAAGGTTGAGCAAGGGGAGCGCTTATGGGACTGTGGATCCTGGTATGCTAATTGGAATAGCATAATGGGAGCAGCATGGTGGCTATGGTTCGGTATGTATCTCCTCCTTTATTGTCCAGATGGTGCCATATGTTATGCAAGTTGAGTGTTATATAATCATATTTCCTAACTGCAATAGTTCCTTACCACAACGCTCTTGGAGATGGTATCCATGAGGCATACAGCGATAAGGTATACCAGCGGCTAGTGTGCGATGCACTTGCTCAAGCTAGGATGCAGGTAGCCACCTTTGACCTCCGGAGGGATGTTACCGATACTCAAAGATGGAGCAACGGTAGCGCTGCCCTTGCAGAGAGAGGAGGGGTCGCAATAGCCATCCAATCAATACCGTATATGGGATCAGAGGTGATGACCTCCGTTGATTACACAAGCAATATCGGTATCGAGCCAGATATCAGGAATACTGACCGCCAAACATCAAACGTAGATAAAATGTCAAGGGTCGTCTTGTCTTCAAGGATTGGCTACTCGGGTAGAATTGTAAATTACTCTAGTAATATGAGTCCGGTGCACTTATCATCTATCCACTTCGGAGCTGCAAAGGAGGAAAACTCAACACTAGGAGCCACAGGTGCCAGCCACATTTCCCAGGGCCATCAAGCCGAAACATTTTTAGAGACTCAGAGCCAATCAGATGCGAACCTACAGGATACTATTCAAGATCTCTGCACGAATGAAGGGGCCAGTTTTGAGCTATCACAGGAAAATGGCTACTCGACGCTCAAACAATACACCACAGGAGGCTCGATCCCACACCAGCACCCACCTATATTGGGTCCATCCCATCGTCGCCAGAGAGCTATAAGCGGTGGTGCCCGCAGTAGCAGCTATGCAGGCCCTATTCGAGAGTTCGGGATGGGCCTTGGAATAGACGGTATCCATACTGACAGTGGCACCGGTTTGAAACTCAGTAGCGGATTGTTAAGCTGGTCTGAGGAGCCAAGTCAAAGCAGGGATTATGCTACGCGGCCCCTACAGCAACAGCAACAGGGACAGCAATAGGAATACTATTAATTTTAGGTATTCCATTACTTATTTTATAACTTATACGATATATTAGATCAAGAAAAAAGTAACAATTTTACAATTGCTATTTTCCTATTTATAAGGATTACTTGACACAAATGTCAAGGCTCCTGTTCACAGATATATGTGTTTGACGAATACCTAGAAGCCACTTCCCTTGTTGGCAGGGCAGGGCAGTTGTCACAAAAAAATATTTTGGAATGCATGCGTCTTTTTATGTCGCAATTCTGTAGATGTAATTATTCGTATTCAATTTTACATTTTACTACATGCAGTCATATAAGGAAAATGAATAATTCGAATAAATATCCGTCTATTGTGTTTTATGTCAGTACCAGTAACACGCAGGGAACAGAGATGGTTTTTAAACAACAAACACTGTACCCAGTTGGCACATATTTTTATCGCCTGTTCTTTGCCCGATATGGAAGCCATGCTATGGGAAATAGTACAAGAGCAGGTTCTCTTGGTGCTCTTCTCATTGGCTGAATTGGGTTTTATGGCAAGGTTAAAGTTACTCATTTTTTTTATTTCTCACGTTCTATCTTTCCATTTCCCCTTCTCTTTTTTCTTTCTTCACAGTCGCCCTTCTTCCTTCTTTTCACCTCTCCGCTCTCCAGTAATCATCCACTGATACAAACCTCAGCACAAATACACTTTCTATCATGGCTGATTACACAAGCCTTCCTCAGCACGATCAGGAAGAGGTGGGACATGCGTATGAGCAGCCACAAAAGGGCGCCTTCCTCCGCAAAAAGAGCACGCTCCTTTTGGCTACTGCCGCCATCGCGCTTCTCGCGACTTCGGCTTATTTCCTGGGCGCTTCAAATGAACTCTCTTCTAAGAAAGTCCACTTTGAGGACACAGGCATTTCCTCCAGCCATTTTGCAGAAGGTCTAGCCAAATGCAAGGCTATTCGCGACAAGAGCAAACACAAATACCCTGCTCCTGAGTCTCGCTCATCCAATCCACGCTTCGTCAATGGTACCGCCCCTACATTATTCAGAAATGCCTATATCTTTGACGGTGTCTCAGAAGCTTTCAAAGGTGATTTGCTCATTGACCGCGGCATCATCGTCCAGGTGGGCGGTGAGATTAAGGCGCCTACAGATGCTAATGTTGTAGACCTCAAAGGCCATATTCTGACGCCAGGTATCGTTGACATGCACAGGTAAAGGAACAGAATGGATATAAAAGATATATCAGGAAACAATCCATTAGAGTACAGAGGATCATTACCATTCCAATCAACCAAACTTACCCTATACATATTGCAGGGAAATACTGAGTGCTGAATAGGAAGGGGCTCTTTGACGTGTGATAATTCCTCTCTAGGGTACTATTTTTAATTTATCATTAACTTTTGAATGACTCTGAATTTTTAGTCATTTTGGTGTCGGCTCATGGCCTGAGCTGGATGGAACTGAAGATAGCAACGAAATGACTCAACCTCTCACACCTTTTATCCGCTCGATCGACGGATTTAATCCCAGCGACCTTGCGCGTGAATGGATTCTTTCTGGAGGAGTAACCACCTCACTCATTCTTCCTGGGTCTGGTAATATTATGGGAGGAGAGGCTTATGCAGTCAAATTGCGCAAGGTTGATACACTCAGCACTGATGACATGTTAGTTGAGGCTGGTGTTGATAACAAGTGGCGTTACATGAAGATGGCCTGTGGAGAAAACCCGAAGAGATTTTATGGAGGCTATCTCGGACGTATGCCCTCTACTCGCCTCGGTGAAGGATGGCTCCTCCGCAACCAGTTCGCTAAGGCTACAGAGCTTAAGCGCGCTCAAGACGACTGGTGCGATGCAGCTGAAGCTTTACCTCGCTTTGGTCGCCACCGCCTTCAAACTCCTTTCCCGGAGGACCTCCAATACGAGAGTCTGGTGGGGATTCTTCGTGACGATGTCAAGCTCAACATCCACTGCTATGAGACCCATGATTTGGAGGCCATGGTTCGCCACTCGAACGAGTACAAGTTCAAGATCTCAGCCTTCCATCACGGTCTCGATGCTTACCGGGTCCCTGAAATCCTGAAGCGCGCCTATAAGAATGTCCCTACTGTGGCTACGTTCGCTGGAAAGTTTGGATACAAGAAAGAGGCATTACAGAGTTCTGTCAATGCTCCAAAGACCCTCGCCGATGCTGGCATTCCTGTTGCAATGAAGAGTGATCACCCTGTCTTGAATTCACAGCATCTTGTTTACGAGGCCGCTCAAGCCCATCATTACGGCCTCTCTGAGCTCTTGGCAATTGCATCTGTTACGTCTGTTCCTGCCAAGGCCTTGGGGCTCGATCACCGTATCGGTAAGATTGCAGTTGGGTATGATGCAGATTTGGCTATCTGGGAGAAACATCCTTTAGCCCTTGGGGCCCATCCTCTTCAGGTCTATATTGATGGAGTTGCTCAAATCAAAGGTGTAGACCCATCAAAATGGAGCATTCAAGACGAGCCCCAAAAATTTGAAAAGTTGCCCGAGTTGGTTGTGCCCAAGGAAAGCAAGGATGTATGTTCAGAGAGGGCTGAGACTGGAGTGTTTAAGGGTATCAAGAAGCTTTTCTTAAACAATTCGGAACAATTCAGTGATGAAGGCGATTTAGTGGTAGTCATTGACCGCGGTGAGGTCATCTGTACGGGTCACTGCCAAACTGAAATCGTTGCCATGGACAAGAAGAACGCGCCGGTGTATGATTTAGGGGGTGAAGGGGTTGTGTTGCCCTCGTTGCTCTCTGTTGGCGCCCCTAACCTCGGATTAATTGAGATTGCTGCCGAAGATAGCACTGGCGATGGTCACCATAACTTGAACCCTGAGGTCATCAATGCTGCTGATGGCCTCAAGTTTGGAGGACTTCATATGGATGAGGCCTACAAGGCAGGTATCCTCACTGCTGTCACTGCTCCCGAGTCGGAGCATGTCATTCAGGGTGTTAGTGTTGCCTTCCTTACCGGTGCTGAACATGGTAAACAACTAGAAGAGAAATTACCCAAATAAGCTGACTGGTGATTCTGCAGCATAATTACTGCCCTACTAAACCTATATCATCACCACTGCCTTATTCTGTAGCCCTGTCACCCAAGAATGCTATTGTCAAGGAGAAGGTAGCGCTTCACGTGAAAATTGGTCACCAATCCAAGTCAACTTTGTTCCCCACTATCTCCTCTCAAATTGCTTTTCTCCGCACATCCTTGGAGAAAAGCCTCACAGATGTCTTGCTTCCTACCAACGAGTTCTCGCTTGCCGCTCATGGGAAGATCCCTCTGGTGGTCGAGGTTGACAACCGGGATGAGATCATTCGCCTGATCCAACTCAAGAAGGATTTGGAGCGTAGCGGCGCCAGGATCAAGGTCTCATTGTTGAGCGCTGTTGAAGCATGGACTGTCGCTGAGCATTTAGCCGAAGCTGACATCAGCGTCATCTTGCGCCCGTACCTTTGCACTCCAGCACAATGGACTGCTCAGCGGTGCTTACCTGGTGCACCCCTCTCCAATGAGACAGGCCTCTCTATCCTTTATAAAGCCGGTGTCAAGGTTGGTTTAGCTGCCCACGAGCCCGAGGATGTTCGTCAGCTATCCTGGATTGCTGGCTGGGCCCGTTCAGACTTAGGCCTTAAAGAAAAGGATGCTGTCGGTCTCGTCAGCTGGAATTTGGCTGAGATCGTTGGCCTTCCCACCAACTCCTCTGGTTTAGTGTTATACAATGGCAATCCCTTCGAGTTTGGCGCAAAGATTTCTGCTATCATAGGTGGTGGAAAAAGTGGTATTCAATGCAACCCACGAGCGTTTTAGGAAAGGACTTGAAAACAAATGTCAGGTGTCCTGTAAATGTATGAATAATATGATACAATAGAATGAGATGATACTTGAGCATTTTCAGACATTGTTCAGCTGTGTGTTTTTTGAATCTTGAAAATTGTTAGTTTATAGGCTATCGCTCCAAAACAAAGACTAGTATACATTCAGTATATTCCTAATCAGATAACGAAGCATCGATAAAATGTAAGCAAATGTTTATAGAACTAGCACTTATTCTAAGGCGACTATTGCATAGATTATTGTCTAGAATGCCGGACCAAAAATTGTGGGATCTAAGGATAGAGGCTTATGCTTGATGATCGTATATATAGCGGGCTATAGGAGTTACATTGCTTTTTGAGATAGCGCGAAGGATTATATTATAGGAAAAAGATATTTGCACGGCCGCGTACACACCTTATTTACACTGCTCCCGTACAAATAAAAAAAAATTATTTGCACGGGGGGCTTTTTTTTTATTTGTATGGGTCTTTATTTCAGTCTAGATACCACTACCAGGAAGCCTTCCACGACACAAGCTCGATACCCAAGCATCAAATATTGACCAGAATATATATCTTATCAAGGTCGTATGTAGCCCAGAATAGATGTTGATATTCTTTATGCGATTCTGGGACTAAATAAAGAGTTACAAACAATTTATCTATAATTGGAATATACTATGCCACTTTACTTTGCACTTTGTTGGTCGTATTCTTATAGGCTGTGGATGGTTCCCTGATGCTTTCTTTCATTTAGCGCGTGCATACATCTCAAGTGTTTCCGTACGCTATTAAGCACATAACGATGAGTTCAGTAATTAGGGGCCTCTAATGTGTAGTTTGTTTCGGTAGATATATAAACGATCATACTCATTGCTACGATGCATAGCGTGCCGTGTTACTACTCTCTTTCTTTTCTCTTTCTTCTTCTATGTCCCTATCTCCGTCCTTCTTTATTAAGAGCTCAAACGCCCTTGGTACTAAATTTTGTTTACCAAATTCACCAAATACATTCAGTTTATTTTGTGGAATGTCCATCCTCTCAGCCGTTTGTAACCCGAGAGATTACTTATCTTTTGACAGTTAGTGACAGTTCGCACTCAAAGCCGATCGTGCCACAATTACCTATATCCCTATATCTAAAGAGCTAAAATACTTTAATAGCATAGCCGTGACTTATAGTGATAGAAAAGAGGCATAAATACTCTTTTCTGTTACGTTGATAAAGATCCTTATTTTTGTCTGATTACATTCCAAGTTTGTTATCATGTTCAATCAGGGTTGATTTTTCACCAATAATAGCCAGAACTTGCCTTGGATCGTCTTTAGCACGCAGTGTCGCATACTCAGCAGCACATGTGGATGCTCACTGCGTCTAGGGACTAGCTTCATATTGTACAATCACCTGAAAGAAAGTTTGGTCAAAAAAATAAAATTTTGAAGAGAAGCACTGTCTTCAATCCTATTTCTTGCCGTTTACCCTCAGCACGTACCGCCCAAAAACTTCAGTGATTACCCACATTGGCCTCATTAATAAACGCGTGAATTTCCATCTTGGTCAGTGAAGTATTTTTGTATGTCATAAATGAGCTGTTTGTCAGAGAATCAAAATAAAAAAAATAATAAATAACCCACTTTAACCAGACTTTCTTTTGAGTGACTGTAGAGCGGAATAGAGCGTGAGAAATATTTTGTAGATAGATAGTAAGCAGTAGAAAAGTAAGTGAGAATAAGATATGGGCCCACACACCACATCCATAGAGTATTTATTCATTTTCTGGTAGAGGGACTTGTATCGGGTAACTACATATCGTTCTAAAAACTTCATATCAAAGATTTATCGCGTCTAGGTGTGGCGCGTTATTGCCACTAATTTTTACTGCTAATCTTTTAGCGCATTGGTGTTTTTTACTCTAATTTTTTCTAGCTAGGCCATCGTAATATTGCATACTGTGAAATATGCAACAGAGCACGATGAGTATCGCAGCTCCAGACTCCCCTCTACTCTAGACTCACCTTCGCTTATTTGCTTCGAAATAAAAAGCTGGAATCATGTAATCTGTAGGATACACGCTGCCGCTTGTGGATGAAATAAAGACCCCGTGCAAATACTGGCAAGACTTGATGACCCAGCTAGTCCAAAAATACAAAATGTTTGTACTCGGACTCGAACCGAGGACCGTCTGTGTGTTAGACAGACGTGATAACCAACTACACCATACAAACTTTGCTTTGGTTTTCCTTCGAGGAAATGCTATATATTATTAATAGCATCACGTGATTGTAGCATAGATGTGTCCAATATATCCACTATGATAATGGTAATAAAAACGCCTAATATTTCTGTCGTTTTTTGCTCTTTGTTGTGTAGCAGTGCTGATTAATCAATAGGAGCTGTAGTGTAGCAAAGATTCATATTATATGGGGCTCTTGGGTCCTTGTTCTCGAAAAGTTTATGTAAAAGCATCCTTGAGTCCTTGAGGGTCTTTTTTTTTAAAAAAAAAAAAAAAAAAAAAAAAAAAAAAAAGAGAAGCACTTAAACGCTCTTTGCGAGTAACTTTATGGCCCAGTAACTGTTCCCTGTGCGTATTCCTTTAATCGCAACAAGCAAAAGGAGTAAATTAGGGAAGTGGGTCCAGTTTTTACCTTGGATAGGTAATATATTGACATAACAAACATAACAAAGCTGTCTTAATGTTTGCATTTGTGAAATGTCTTAAGGATCTGGAGAGACATACTCTTAAGGCCAGACCAAAATGCTTTTGTAAGAGCTGACGCACCCGTTTATCAGGCTCTCTCTTTATTTTACTTCTCAGTCTCTTCATCGCTTCCAACATCGTCGTCTTCTGGTTTCAGGTATCGGATGTCGCGTCTAAAGTATGTTTGGTTGGCTGCCTTGACTTTTCCCCAGAGCTCCTCAAAGGCCTTGACAAGCTCCTTGTTCAAAGGACCCTGCTGTAAGCTGATGAGGTTTTCTTTCAAGTTTCCCACGCAGTCGTTTGCACCAAAAATCAGACCATCATTAGGTCCAAGTCCAGAGTGGTGGTTCATCCAGCGGATTGACGCCTCCAGCAGGGGGGTCCCATATGACTCTGTTACCTTTCTTAGTGCATCTACAGCATCAAAAAAAAGTGGACTCCAATACTGCTCTCGTTAGTGTATTTTCTCTACTGGAATGGGGTGAGGGGAAAGCGCTTAAGGCACTGGAGCTTGACATAGAATATACGTCCTTATAACAGTTGTTTTTATTGTTATTGAAGCCAAAGATAGAGGAGGGATGAATCAATTAGCTGCAAGAAAAGAAAAGTAGGGTTAGGACATAGGCCTTGGCCTTGTCATGCTTGATCATATCTGTTAACTACGTTCAAAGTTTAATGATGCATGTGGTTTACGGCATTCGTAGCATGATATATATTGATGTGAGATTAATTAGATCTTAATAAAACTGAAAAGTAGCGCCCGTTTAATGAGAAAGTATAACCTTTATCAGGTCGGATCTAATCAAGTGGACAAGTCCGAGCTCTTTTATCCTTCTATTCTGAGTACTTCAATGCTCACTTCTTAAGAGACTATTGCAGAATATATTTATTTCCTCATTTAATCAGAAAACTCATGCCATATAATTTTTTTTCTCTTCGTCATAGTACCCGACGATCTAATATTCTCAATGACTACTTTTAACAATATTTTACCCACTGATGGAGTTTGTATGTGTTACCACTACCGTTATCTCACATTCGCATCAACGTTCCAAGGATATTGTAATCTGTACATTGTATTAGTGTTCGTGATGGCACAGCTCAGATAAAGCGCTTGTTTGCTGCAGTGGGACAGCTGATGAAATTGTATTTTCTTTTTTTAGCGTACTAGTACAATATGCAGAATTCTGATAGTAGGTGAGGTAAATGTAAACTCGTATGTTTGCATACTCCTGATTAGTATAGAACACCAGCCATCCAGTCCTTGATCCTTTCAATGTCTTTGTTTTCAGCAGAGCACTCTAAAAACTCAACCTCATTCTCGAGATCCTGGAATGTGAAATCCTTTCCTTCAAATCCCAAAAAGACGTTCTCATTGCCGTCAGTGTCCTGGGTATCTAAAGCAGCGGCTCGTGTCTGACGCAGCTTATTACTATATAAAGTGAATGGAGTTTGTTATTAGACTCGCAGAGAAGTGATTGTTAAAAGGTGAGAGTTGCTCATGTTGTCTGAAGAACCAAGGATGTGAATGAAAACGTACATTTCTGTCTCTAACAAAGTCTGGATACGTTCTTTCTTGAAAGACGTCAAGAGATCAGACTTGTTGCATGCAATCAATACTGGAATTCGCTCGTTTTGGGTAAATTTATCCGCGAGAACGTCGTAAAGGTATCTGTAAATGTTTTTTTTTTTTTTTTTTTTTTTTTTTTAATAAAAGGCGTCAGGACAAGTCGCGATATAGTGATTCATGGAAAGAAAATCCAATTAAGACCCTTTACTCTGCTAGGAGGCGCGTTTGACGTGAGGCCGTTGAGCTGTCAACAACAAAGACTACTGCGCGAGCAATCGGCATAAACTCTGAGAATTTGAAACGAAGACGCTCATGTCCGGGAATATCCACTATGTGAGCTGGGGTCTAAGGTTATGATATAGACAGTGAAAAGATAAGTCTTTAACTGCGCCTTTTGGATTCATCTTTGACAGTGGCAGTATAATAAATGCAATAGACAGATAGGATACCTTTCCATCGATCAAAACAGCGTCGGCCTCATTTTCCTTAATAGAAGTAACAGTCTCTACAGACTTGCCATGATTGATCTATTAACCAGAATAGGAGAGTCTGGTTAACAATCAGATGACCCTTAAAGCAATATCTCTTATTAAGGCCTTTGCAATCCATACAATCATGTAATCCTAGTCCTTCTTATGGTTTGGAACTGGTTCCTACCAAATAGTGAATAGCAGTCTTCCCAGCAAAAGGTAATCCTGTGAGTAGGATGGTGTTTTTAGAGTTTCTTTTAGAAACAAGCAAGAAGCTTGCTGTGATAGTAAAAGAGATAATGCCAATAGCAACTTTTCTGTAAATAGGTATTCGTCGGAAGATTGGCATTGCGGTGAAAATACAGGCGTTTTTGAATTCCTAGCTATAGGCCAGAGAGCTTCTCCTTTACCTGCGATTCCAACAAGCGCTACTAAAGTCAAAAGAGCGAGTAAAGTAAGATATTCATTATTGGCGATGATGAGTTGATGAGGAATGAGTCCTCTGAATGATGATGACATGACACAAAACCGCGTATCAACTTTGTTTTTTGTTTTGGAATGAATATTCCTATGAGGTGAAATCCGGAACAAGTTGAATCCTGACAAGTCGTATAAAGGAAAGAAAGAAGACAAGGAGGGTTTCAAACATATTTTTTAAATTTGCACTGGCCAATGAGGCATCAACAGTCGTAGCCCAAATATATGTAAATGTCACGTTTCCTCCATTCGGAACTAGAAGCATGCCTCATTTATACAACAGACTCTTGTGCGTTCCTGAATTTTTTTTCCCGTTCAAACAACCTTTGTCTCTTTTCTCAATAGTCTTTTCTATTTCTCTCTTATTCTTATCTTGGCTCCAGACTTAAACACTTACACTCAATATTTTATCAGTAAGAACCATCTTTTTTCCCGTTTGGAAAAGCACACAGACACATCAACGGATTTTTGAGTGTTATTCCAACTGACACCTGATCTGGGTTATTGTTTCCACATTCAAACTCCCACGCAAAGAAAGAAAACTAATTCAATTCTCTCTTCCACTTCTTTGTTTTTCATCCTTATTCAGTCCCTTTGCTTACCTCCCCATCCATCATGTCCATGGCAAGCTCCCTCAGACCACCTCAAGCAGGAAAAGCCTATCAAGGTCTTGTGAGCAGTCGACCGAGCGATCAAATGTCGGATGTCTCTTCGAGCTTCAGTGAGTCCGCCCGTCATCGTCAGTCTAAGAAGGATGAGGTACTTGATTTTTTCATTTAAAAACACCAAATAAAAAGGTTGAAGTGCCATTTGCGGAAACAATCACCATGTTGCAATTACATCTCTCACTATTTTTTTTCCTTCTTTTTTAAAGGCTATTCGCCGTAAAATTGAACAAGAGCTGTCCAAGAAGCGCCACAGCTCTCGCAAGGCCAAGCAGACACAAAAAGTCATGGCAGGCACTGTCTCGGCCTTGCGTGTCTCCCAAGCTTTGACGGTCTCAGAGTCTATCACTGTAACAGAGGCATCTCAGAACATGGCTGCCAAGCGTGCCGATTGTGTCCTCGTCATTAACGACGAGGAGCACCTATCAGGTATCTTTACGGCCAAGGACCTGGCCTTCCGTGTTGTCGCTGCGTAAGTGTTGCTGTATACCGAATATTCCTTCTCTCTTTTTTTCTGTCGTCCTTATAATTTACTGATAACAGCAGTAACAGCAGCAATACCCTTACTAACCTGCATGCGACGTTGTTACTGCGATGAATTATCATAAAAATCATAGTGGTCTTGATCCCCGTTCGACTCGTGTGGTAGATATTATGACCCCTAACCCCATGGTTGTTACAACTGACCGCAGTGCAACTGATGCCCTGAATCTTATGGTTCAGAGAGGCTTCAGGCATTTGGTAAGTAGTTGTGAAAAGGAAGCTTGATTTGAAAAGCATATGATAGATTCCCGAATTGCATACTGATTCTTCCCTTTTTTTTAAGCCCGTACAAAACGAAGATTCAGAAATTGTTGGTCTCTTAGATATTACAAAATGCTTGTACGAATCCTTGTCAAAGATGGAGAGGGCATATGGACAGTCTAAGAAGCTTTACGATGCTTTGGAGGGTGTAGACAAGGAATGGGGTGGCATGCAGAACATGGCAATGATTCAATACATGGAGACTCTCAGAGAGAAGATGATGTGTCCTGACCTAAGCTCTGTCCTTGATGGCTCACCTGCTGCCGAGGTTAGCGTTAAGGCTACTGTCAAGGAGGCTGCCAAGCTGATGAAAGAGCGTCGCGTTACTGCTGTTTTGGTCATGGACCAGAACGGCATCGATATTGCCGGGATTTTCACATCCAAGGGTAAGATCTTGTTCAGATTATGCAAAAAAAAAAAAAAAAAAAAAAAAAAGAAATGATCACTTACAAGTTCTTTTTTTTTTTTTTTTTTTTTTTTTTCCTAATCTGTTCTTGGCATAGACATTGTCCTTCGTGTCATTGCTGCTCAATTGGAGCCCAGCAACTGCAGCGTGGTCCGTGTCATGACACCCCATCCTGACACTGCTCCGCCATCGATGACCATTATGGATGCCTTACGCAAGATGCATGGTATGTTAAATTGCATTATTAAACTCTGAGCTATCTTTTCATCACTCCAATCTTCGTTTTTCTCTTTGCCTTATTGGTATACTTAAGACAAATGTGATGCTTTATTATTTCAACTAGATGGCCATTACCTCAACCTGCCTGTCGTTGAAGAGGATAAAGAAATTGTTGGAGTTGTTGATGTTCTCAAACTCACCTATGCTACCATGGAGCAAATTAATTCAATGAACTCAAAGGATTCAGAATCAGGGCCCATGTGGAGTCATTTCTGGAATTCTGCAACAATGGGTGATGGTGAGGAAGGATCTGTGGTCTCAGAGTCAATGGCGCCTTCATCAATTATGTCACCCAGTCTTGCAGCCTCACCTAGCAGCCATCAAGCTATGCAGCCCTTCCCTGGTGAGATCTTTCCCAATGAATCAGCCTCAGTTGTCGCAGAAGATCGCAGTGAGCTGATCCATAAGCAAATTGAGGAGGAGAGCACAACCTTTGTGTTCAAGTTTAAATCGCCTGTTTCAAACACGGTACACCGCTTTACTGCCGATTACACTGACCTGAACCGTCTCAGGGATACTATTTTGGAAAAGGAACCCTTCGGACCTGAATCAGATCCTAGTCAGAGCGCCCTTCTTGCTGAATTCAACATTTCATACATGGATGACGAGCAGGACTATGTGATGATGACCTCAGATGCAGATTTGGCGGACTCAGTTGCGATTGCTAAGAAGCAAGGTCATAACCGTGTTATGCTCTATGTCTCAGACCCGAGAGCATCTCAAGTTCTTCCTGCTGTGACAGTGCCACCAGCCGCAGCAGCCCCTGCTGCTATGGCAGCCGTGCCTGCGCCTGTTGCTATACCAGAGGAGCCTGTCGAAATTCCTAAGCCAACAGTTCCTGAGGAGCCTAAGAAGCAACCTTCCGAGTTAAAGAAAATATTGGATTCAATCCCTGATGAGTATCTTCTTCCTGGTGCCTTGGTAACTCTATCTGTCACCGTTCTTGCTGTCTTTGCCATTGCTAGATTAGCCAAGTAAAGAAGGATTAAGCGCTGTATCGCAGCTCCACGAAGCAGTCAAGCAATCAGCATCATTCGAATTTCCTGGATACCCTTCGGACACTCCTTGGATAACATCACTTTCATGTATTCCAATTTACTTCACATACTTCCTCTTCATGGGATCAACATTAAAAGCATAGGACTCTTTATAAGCATCGCTATGCGAACGAAAAATTAGACTTTTTTTAACATTCACAATTACATTTACACCCATATTCATATTTGGAATACAAAAAAAAAAACACATAAAAAGAGTAATAAAGTTTTTTTTTTGAATAATAAGTGACTGTATCTCATGGATTCCATTTGCGTTCTAGTTTATTCGAAGCTGGTGTTACTCCTATGTCTGTGTGATATTGTGGCTCTATTTTTTTCAGTCGTAGCTATTGATGAACGAATAAATGAACAAGTAAAGAGATGAGGGAACAATGAACCGACAATGACTATGTTTATAGTGGCAATACTTGAAGATTCAGCAGGGAAATGGGCAGGCACCGGCTCTTGGATAGAATTGGTTACGTGATTTGATCTTGAACAGTGATTGCAGGAATGAGATCAGACTTTATTATTTTCGAATTGTTCTTGAGGTTGCTGAAGTGCATTTTGCCCAAACATTCGATAATGGCTCTGAAGTTAAGACGGCCATTTAGTAGTGTATCAACATTCGAGGCGTTTGCTAGGTAGCTCTACTGGTTTATTGTGGAAGACTTATTGACAAAATGGAAACCTTGAAGACTATCAAGGGATTAGAAGGAAGAGTTTTCTAATGATAGTGTTTTAAAAAGAGCAGCATAGCAGCAAGCAACTTTGAAGAGGTGACTAATCGCGCTTTTGGCCGGTTACGACATAGAAGATATGATAACTTTTATACTCTTCCACTTCCGAGTCTGCAATTTGCATCATCTCTTCATACTCGTCTATGTCCACGCCAGCACCATGGATGACTATTGGTGTGATTGCATTCCAGAACGATTGCTCATTCTCTTTAAGTAACGTTCCGATCTTACCACCATGGTCTCCTGTCGGCAGTCTCAATACCTCTTCTTTTACATTTACCACATTTGCCTGTTTCAGCATGTTGCCATACCCGATATCCCGACCAATCAAACAGTTGACGCCACGGGTAGAAAGTGCTTTATCAATCCAGTTCCAGATCTTGGCCGTACATGGTCCATTGTTGCCACCAATGCCATCTATCTCAACCAACTCGATCCAACCACCTGGTTTAGTGACCCGTTCCAGCTCCTTTAAAACAAATATCCAGTTTTCATGCGTCAATCCTGCAACTAGAAGTCGTTGATAGACAAAATCAAAGGTGTTATCAGGGAAAGGCAAGGGGTTGAGGATGTTATGTTGAATAAACTTGCAGTTGCTCGGGATGATAGTTGTTGGGAATACGATGGATATGTCAATCCCTGTGATGGTTGCATCAGGAAACTCGTTAGCCATTTCCTAACATTGATGACAAACGAAAAAAAGATGAGGTTAATTTTTATCTTAAAAAGATATGTCATTGCGGTTAGATCATTTACCATTGTCCATGTTCCGGGTCCACAGCCAACATCCAAAATAGCCCGCACCTTAATAGATAAAATAGTTTAATAAAAGGTCAGCTTTTAAAGACTGATTAGAAGGCTCCAAACCTTGTTCCATGTTGAGCTTTACCTTTGATTTCTCGAGCGGGGATTTGTAGTTACCCTGAATAGCATAACGAAGGATGAAGTGCTAATTTAGAAGGACAATTTAGTAGCTTCAACTTGTGACACCAACTCCAAGCCCAAGAGTGCGTGCGATTTTTTTTTTCTTACTTGAAGTTGCAGCCTGCAAGTGAAGAAATGTTATGTCAATAAGCCAGGCGAAAAAAGAAAGTCAGGGTTAGTTGCACAGAAATTGCCATGAAAACAAAACATGGCCAGACACACGAGTGTTTTCTTATCTGACTGTGCCATTTTTTCCTTTTCTAATATTTCAATCATTTTTTTTAGTTACCTGTCAACCCTATGTGATGAGTTCAGCCAAAAAGAAAAAGAAAAAAAAAATAGAATTAGCTGTCTACTTGATTTGCCAATGGAGAAATGAAGTAAACCACATCGTTTCTGTTGCGGTTGAACTTTAAGTTGGATTGAAAAAAAGAGCAAAGGAGCGACAATCGAAAATAGAAAAAAATTAAGGTGAATGAAATAATGAATGCATTGGCAGCATTGGCGGGAAAAAAGGGCACAGAGAGTAGAGTTTAGTAGATGAAAATGGGAGAGGGGAGAAAGAACAGTAAAAATTAACATGGTAGTTATAAAAAAGCAAATCAGCTTACTCATCAATGTCATTGGGAAGGAGGTAAGAAGCCCCGGGTATGTTATGGTATCGCCGTCCCTCGAGCCATTGATATTCGGTGGAAAGCTGGTTGCATCCCCCCATTTCCACATTTGAAAATGTGGTGTTGATGCCTGAAGAGATCGTCTTGTTCATGGTGATGAGAATAAAATCCTCTTGGGGAACGAGATTTGGTGGTGTCACCTGTTGTTTCTGGGTATGAAGTACAGAATATACTGTTCCCTGGTAGCGGTGTCCTGCTGTGATAATGGCGTGGGTTGGGATTTTTGACTTGAAGCTACTATTGCTGTGATTGTTGTTAAATGAGCCGAGGAACCGCTGTTTATTCAAATTTGATTCACACCCCGGACAGGTAAAGGTGTGACAGCAAGGGTGTGGTACTGGCGTTGATATTGACTAGTGAATTGGGAGCGATCGTAGGTAATGTGGGTGATGGATACAGTGCTGGATGTGGTAGTAAAGCTTTTGTAGGAGGAAAGGTCAGATGTTGAAGTTAAGAGAGAAGGGAAGAAAGGAAGGAGGTCTTTAGCTTGAACCTTGAGAAGTATGAACTCTTTTGGCCGCCAATGTTTGGATAATTATTGCTGTTATTTGTACGTGTGCAGCTCAATAGTATCGGTGACAGTTATTAGATGAGAGCAAGTTGTCCCTGTCCATGTGTTTACTGGGATGGTGACACCAACGGCCTAATTAAAATTAACATAATGGATATTCAGTGACGAAGGATATCGAGAAAAAAAAAAAAAGGCAAAGGTAACTGGTGTTAAGCATAGGCAAGAAGGGGTGATGAATTAGCGAACAGAAAGCTTTAATATAAGGAATTTGAACCCGGTAGAAGGAAGAATCTTCGCCATTGAGTACAAAATGAACAGAAGATTGAAGAAAAGGTCCTCTATCCCTCACCGCTTGCCCTACTTCTACTCTCAGCAATAATAAGGAAGTCAATGGTATAGTGCTGTTCCTCACGACCTCAACTCATACAAGGATTATGAAGGATCCTTGATGTGCTCTTTAGTGCTGCTTATTTAAATCTCTCCTTTATCCATCAGCTGTTGTTACATCGACTTGACATGGTCATAAAATGTAGATGTAAAGATTTGCTGATCGGCGATGGGCAATCAAAATGAAGAAAGGGCCCACTCTACTCACCAATAGACGACACGAATATTAAAAGCAGTGAAGATCGATCATCTCATTCACTTTTCAACGCCCATGATGGTTATGCGGAATCTAAAAATGGGAGGATGTAAAGCCCTCATTTATAAACAATCAAAAGATGGGCAGCCGAGCGCAATAACAGGGTAATGTCTAACTCCAACGAATTTATCAACTCACGCAGGTCAATTGCAGAATAAGAAATGCAGAAGATCGACATTCTTTTGCAGCAGGTTTACATAGATCATGGTATGACAAGTATTGTATATTTTCATGTACTGTAGATTAATAAATGCATGTTCCATCGTTTCCTTCAAGTTGTACGCAGGCACAAAAAAGAATAAACAATCTATCACAGGCACATTATATACATTGATGTAACATCTAATTTTTTCTTCTTTAGAAATATGCCTTGAGTGAATTATTAATTGGCAACGAATGGATCAATAGCCCTCATTATCAAATTAATGACGGACTTCTATTTGCCCTTTCAAAAAGGGGTTGAAAAGAAGCAATAAAAGGTCCCTTCCTATTCATCATAAAAATCAATATGTCCACCACTCGTAAAGTCATCTTTCTTCAGCAACAAAACGAGCTTACGGCTCGAGTCGTCCATCTTGACAAGAGATCCGCTTTTGTGCATGCCATCATAGATCTTAAGTTGCTCCTTGTCGCCAAGAGTGCGTCTGACGTCTGCCTGCATATCATTGTCCAGGGGTCCAGGAGCATAGTTCAGTGTCTTGACATTATTTGCTTTCTGTAATGTATGGGGGATATAGGATAAGCAATTTAAAAAAAACAAACAGATTAGGCTTTTATCTTTCGATTATCATTATGTCCATGAATACCATTGAATAATTTCCACATATTTTTATTCTTAAACAAGTGATGACAACTTTGCTATAATAGCATTACCTCCTCGAGTGCAACAACACCCAGTAACCTGTCACGAGCAGCCTTTCCAGAAGCATAGAGTCCCCAATTGGAGAAAGGCTGGACAGCAAGCAGCGACGATATATTAACTATAACTGTCTTGTGATCCGGATATTGCTCCTTTGGTAAAGCTGCAAGGGTATCTTTGAGAAACATGGAGCTTTTTTTTTTTTTTTTTTTTTTTTTTTAAATAAAAAAGAAAGACGTGAGAAAGTAGGCCTCATCTTAAGAGGATGGTTGTCCTCCCTCGCAGCTTTATTTTACAGTGCTTAACAGTGCCGCTTCTTTTAATTTTCCAAAGTATATTCATACTTCAAACCAATAAAGGACACAACATTGAAATCAAGGTAGTCCCGTGCTTCCTGCCATGTAAACTCTTTGGTTGATTTACCAAGGTCGCCCAAGGATCCTGCGTTGTTGATGAGCACAGACTTGGTGATGATGTTCTATTTTAGTGGTGAAGTTTGAAAGGAAATGTTCAAAAACTAACACTATAACACCACTCTTTACTCGCTCATATGGAAACTGGATGACGCCTCAGGTCGATCAAAAGGAAGTCCTATGTCGTCCTTTGATTGTTTTACCTTAGTTTCCACAGCTTTTTGTCTCATCTCATTGGCAGCGATTTGGATCCTGGCCAAGTTAGTGTCTAGGGTCTCAATGTTACTCAGATCAACATTACCCACGACAACTCCTTTAACCGTAACATTAACACTAGTAATCTGTTGCAATTCCGTTAAGACTTTTTCTAGTCCTGAGTGATTTCTTCCCACAAGTACAAATGAAATTGAGTTTGCCTCGCTGTGGAGGACATAGGAATGGGCAAGACTTGCTCCAAAACCACGATTAGCTCCAGTGATGATGACGAGATGATGTTGTGATGTCATTTGTAATCAGGTCCAAAATGGTTTAAAAATAAAATATACATATGTTGGAATTGGCAGTTTTTCGTCATTCTTTGGATCAAATGGGATCATCACGTGTATGATGAATCATTTTTTAAAAAAATCATTACGATAGAATCCAAACATCATCTCTTTCTCTTCTCATCCTCCACTTCATCCCGCCTTTTTTTTTTTTTTTTTTTTTTTTTATATTTTTATTTTTCTGTATTTTTACTTCCCTTTTCTTTATTATAAACGACTTCAAGAGCTCATTGCTCTCTCTCTCTCTCCCTCTCTTTCACTTTTTTTTTTTTTTTTTTTTTTTTTTTTTTTCTATTTTTCACTTTTTTCGACCTTTTAACTAAGTGTTCGATGCACTACATCTCTGTCTCTGTCACGCTTCCCGCCAAGAACTGATTTATTATTCAAACAATTATTCTTCCGACAATTTTTAATTTTTTACGTCTTCCCCATTACACTCTGTATATAGTTATTATCTCTACTTGTAATTGCATTTTATTCACATTTCTGTCTCTTTACCCTTTATCACTGGCAGGGAAAAAAAAAAACAGACAACAAAAGAAAGACATCTCTTCCACTCCTCCTTTTCTTTCCCCCTACTTTTTTTTTTTTTTTTTTTTTTTTAAAAAAAGAGGAAAAGTAAACACTTATTTACTCAAGTCTCAACATGGTTGCTTGTTTGGCCACAGCCTCGGCATCTCATTCACTCGTGACAAAGACGTCGCAAGATTCAGCCAAGGCTGCACACCAAGTTCAAGAGCTGTCAGATGAGGTCATCAAGGCTCTGTTGAGGTAATAATAATATTGTACATGCTGCTGTCGCTCTCCCTGTTCCTCTTTCTCTCTCTTATGGTACCACCCAGGTCTTTCGATTCTGTTATTGGTTCTTGAACTTATACAAAGCAAAAAGTACACGAAACCTAAAGAAGAAGGAGGAAGAGAGATTGAGAATGAGGGTATGACAGATACAATAATTTATTATTAACTTGAAAAGAGAAGGGAAAAGGCCTGAGGGCTTTGAAAATAAGCTCTTAATGTGTCCCACCTATTCCTCTCATCTGCACAATATTACATTGCTATTATCTTTTTGACTTTTCTACTTGCTTGCGGCTAGTTTTTTTCTATGAACATACCACTCACAAACATATAAAAAAAACTTTCACCAATGCATACATCATACGATGTTGATGAAAACAAAAAAAAAAAAAAAAAAAAAAAAAAAAACAGCAAGACCAGAAGGCACAAGAAGAACAGATCAGCTGGGAAGCACTCTGGCACGTCGCCATTGCTCCGTCAGGTCTTAAGACGCTCGCTCTTGGGCAATATCTGCAAACACCAGTCGAAGACGGAAAGAAACTAAAAGAAAAAAAAAAAACAACTTTTTGTCTTCGTCGTCTTCAGGGCATAACTGCGATGTCGAAATGTCATATTCTTAAACGCCAGGAAAACCTCATTGTCAAGGTTTACTGCCGATGCCAATACTATTCTGTTCATCATTGTCTGCCTTTATACAATCCATTTGTTCTTTTTTTTCTCTTTCGCTCAAGACAACATGTGTAGTCTACCAAAGCAACAGACAATAAAAGCATAGCAAAAATCACCTTTCAAATGATCGTAATGTTATGTGTATTCGTATCTAATCTGTTCATAATAAGTTTGCTTTAACTGATTACCCCTTCATATGTCTGATTAAATAAAATGATTAAGTATGCTGGAGCAGCTGCGCCCCTTTCACAAATTTGAAGCCTTCCTTGCACTGCCACAACAATACGATTTAGAACAGTCATTTTAACGGCCATAAACGTAATCTAGCGCCGGAAAAACGTACACAGTAACTGAAGAGCGTTCACTGGTAGCCACATAAGCGTCGTTATCTCTCTTAGTATGAGTTGGAGAGTCTAAACCGGGTCTTGATGACCATTTGAGATACTCTGGCTTGGCATTCTTGTTGGTTAGGCATTCAATAATCTCTCGTACGTAGAGCTGACTCTAAACCCACCGGTCAACAATAGTGTGCGAAGCAAATATGAAATCCGTTGCTCTCCAGGATGTCGTCGGAGTGGTCAAGTTGGAGATGTCAAGCGCAGTTGCCCCGTATAGATATTGTTGCATCTCGTGCACAGTTCCGAATTGTCCGACTTGAGGATCAGTAACTTGTGCGCCCTCGTGCTGGATGTTGGCCTTTATTGACTGAAAGTGCCTTCATGTGAGATTGACGTCGAAGCAATCGATCTTGTTTCGTTGCAGCTTGCTCTCTTCTTCTTCCAATTTTTTTGTGGCTGCAGAGGATCAAGAGAGACAGTTGAGGTCAGCACCAATTCTTCGCTGTTGAGTAAGTTGATCGGCTGAACATGCCCTCTTCTTGCCATCTCTAATCGCTTTCTCTTGTCTGTAACTTCCCTGAAAAAATCATTGCCTTTCTTAGCCTGTTTCACATTTTCAACGATTATTATGAGGAAGAGGAAGAAGTAAAGGGCAGAGACTAAAGAGAGTATGATATACAACTGATATGGCTATTTGCAGGCGTAACTGGAACAATAAAGAGCAAAAAAATAAAATAGAAAGTTGAAAAGTAACATAGAGCGGATGATAGCTTCAATAAAAGTTGTTTACATTATCGTCCATATGCCAATATCTTTTTTTTTTTTTTTTTTTTTTTTTTTTTTTATTCAGCGAAAAAAAAAAGACCTTCATAACTTTAAAAATCCTTTCCGTCCTACTTACGACCCCTCACACTGTTACCGAGCCCGTTGTTAAACTGATTACGTCCACCACGATTGCCACGGGGGCCCATCGTACGCTGCTGTTGCTGTCTGCCTGATGTTTGTTCCTTAGTGACACCGCTAGTTCCTATGTTGTTCAAAATAGGAAATCATCAGAATGAATGAGTACGAATGAGCAGAGCAAAAATAAAATAACAAAAGAGGAGATACTTGGGTTGGATCTCATAAAATCACTTACCCTTCTTTGGGCGCTCATTCTGTTGAGGAGTCTTTGTCTCCAACAGCTTCTCGTTACCCTCCACAAAGGCTGCAGCCTTCTCTGCAAAAGCCAAAGCGAGTGACTGTAATTTTGTTGGTTCAACACGGTGTAAGACAACGACGTTGGTGACCTGATCGATACTGGCTGACAGCTCCTCGTTCCACACCATTTTGGACACAATAGAGACAACAGTGGTCAGAGGTAGGTCAAACATCTTGGCAAGCTGTTCAAGACCCACTGATGAATAATATGAAGCATTAGCGAACAGATAGGTACGAAGTCCTTCCTCCTGAATCTTACGACCGAGCATCTCCTTGATTTTATCCGATGAAGGCATGAGCTCCCAGATTTTGATAGAGTTGATCAGATCAATAGACTTTTGCCACTCGGCGCTCGCTAACGCCTTGGCAGCACCCATAATATGATCGCGGGTGTTTTCGGGGGGTCCAGAGAAAACCTGACGAGAATTATAATCAAGCATGCGGCGGAAGGGTTTTGAAATCACCTTTTTACGGCCTTCGGTGCTATTTCCATTGGCAGCCATATTGGGGATCTCAAGAAGCATGGAGCATGTCAAGTAAACGCACTCCAAGAGTTCCAAGTTAATATGCATATGGAAAGGGAGCTGGCGCTGGCGCTCAAGCTTCTCTTGTTCGGGCGAAACAGAGCCGTAGCGTTGGGCCTGAAGGCCCTGCGCCAAAAGCTCTTTGACACGGCCAGTCCCAGAAATGTCCTGCAAACAAGTGTGGGCTTCCTTGATCATACCCTCACGGAAAGCACAGAGACCCAGTTGAACCATAGTGCGGTTGTGCAAGATCTGTGTTGTAATATCTGCCTGATGGATGGTCTCCTGCAAATGCGACATCAAAAGCATGTCACGGGCAACGAAGTAACGATTATGAAGTGCGTGGTGGTAGATGTGGCAAAGCATGGCGCGTGTACGCTGAAGTGAATTGGCATTCTTATACAAATGGACACACAGGTCATGGATCAGATCCTCAGAGTCCTTGACAGGCTTGATAATATTGGAAGGCAAGAGCGAAGCAGTAGCATTCTCGACTGCAACAATAACAGTATCGGGCTAATAGAGACGGCGAAACATTGAATAAATTCTGTGGTCGACAAACTACAGCAGGCGTAACCTTTCAAAGCCAGAGTAAACTTCAATATACCTTGAAATACAAGTGCTCCAAGCGCCTCATTGTGGTACGACAAATAGCATCAGTCAGCTCGAGACTCTTGAAATATTCATTAGAGCGGACGATTACTGCATAAAGGCCAACTTCGTCCTTGAGGCGGTCGACATAGTCTGTGGTGTGAGGGTCAATGTTTTGAAGAGACTTTGTGAACTCTTCATCCAGACGATCAACAAAGGCTACAATAGAGCCCCGGATGAACACAGTCTGGCCATTCTCTGGAATACGATCTTTATCAATATCATCATCCTCTGGAACAGCCTCCTTGACAACATAGCCACGATTAGATTCCAAAATTGTCAAAAGATTGTTGAGATACTTTTCAGCGCTATGAAATAATAAAAACAAAGAGGATCAATTTTAAGTTGTATAAAACTAAAGCCGTTCTTGATTAAAATCAATAATAATACTAAAATTACTTACTTCTTCCAGAAAGGAATGCTCATGTAACCAGAGAGACCAACAGCAAAATCGAACTGGGCGGAAATCAAGTTCAAGAGCACATGGATCTTCTGGTAAGGATTGTTCGCGACGACAAGAAGTCTCTCCAAGATGCGAACCTGCTCCTCACGATTAGTGTTCTTCTTTCCACGAGCATCGATAACTTCTCTCAACTTCTTGAATAGATTCTCTTGATTAAGCTCGATAGACTTTCCACCAGCTCCAACGGGAGTGAACCCATCATCGACCTCCTCTTCCCCTTTCTGCTCATCTTCATCCTCGGATTCCGAAAGATCTTTCTTAGGCTTCTTGGCCTTACGTTTAGTCTCAACAACCTCCTCTTCATCCTGTTCCACATCATAGTTATCAGGGTCCTTTTCGTACTCCTGGATCTCCTTTTCATAGAGTCGGTTGTTCTTCTTGACCTTCTGCTTCATTGAGTTGAGGGCCTTGGCATTAGAGGCGTTCATCTTCTTTGAAGCCGACTTTTCTTTCTCCAAGGCGCCCTGAATGGCCTTCTCTAACTCAGCAACAGCTTTAATATAAAACTTAGGGATACCAGTTTGGGCGATAATACCCGCAGCCTTCTGAATGGCTTTATTGGCACGATCGAATTCTTTATATGAAGTATTAAAAAAAAATCAAATGAGTACAGTGTGAGCAGATATCCTAAGTCCAAACATCACACAGGCATCAACTATGCCAATTTGGCAGCCAGTCTGTCCTTTCGCGATGTCATGCATGCTACATGAATCGTTAATACTACAGGAGGTGAAAATGCTCTGTGTCCTTTGTTGATATCCTTCAGCGGCAATTTTGATCCATCCCAAATATAAATTGCTACTGTTACTATTAGTGGCACTGGTACAGCCGCTAGTGTTGGTGTTAACTATTGAGGCTGCTAGCTGATTCATAGATCCAAATGTAAAAAGTCCTGATCTCCTTGGAAGATTTCAAACATACCATTTTGAACTGAGACCCAGTCATTGATCTTTTGACCGTTAGCCATTGAAGTCACAGCCTGCTCAATCTCTTCGAAACGCTTGTCCTTTGCAGAGCGGACAACGCGGACTTCATCATCGTCACTATCAGAATCATCAGAGCCGAGGCCAAAAAGACGACCTTGGGGCTTCTTGCCAGGCCGCTCATCATCGGACGATGATTCATCCGAATCAGAGTCGGAATGGTCCTCAGACTCGGAGGCAGTAAGCTCTTCAGAGTAATCAGACTCTGTATCATCAGAGTCGCTCTCTCCAGCGCGGAAAAAACGAGACATGGTGGCGGCGTTTTACTATTATGATAATGGTAGGGATTTTGGACAAAGATCGTACAAACCAAAAAGGTTTGATCAAAACAAATAAAAAAAAAAAAGAAACGTCGGTTATTTATGTTTGGAAGGAAAATGTCCCGAATTGTGTTGAGCAATAATATTTAGTATTGTCTGATCGTGATTATAATTAAGAAGAGGAATCAATCTTCTACTCACAGGTGGACGAAGATGCCTTGGAAGGAGGAACAAATGTAAGATCCCAAAGGGGTCATTTATTTCATCACAAAAAAAAAAAAAAACAAAACTGACGTCGTCATTCTTCCCTATATGCAAATATCTATATTTGCAAGCTTTCTAGATCTATGTTTTATGCTGTAATCTCAGGCGTCTTTTTTATCAAATCAGAGGAGCCCCGGAATAAACAACGCAGGTCCTCAAGACGCCTCTTGAGAACCTCCTGCTTGGATAGCTTCTCGGAAAAGGTCATATCAGACAATTCAGCTTTGCGTTTCTGCAGTTCCAGGATATTCTCCTCGATAGAGTCCTAGTAAGGGGTTATTGAACAAGCATTAGGTTAAAACATGGTCAACATGATATCGGAACATTTCATGTCGAGTGTACAGCTTACCTTAATGATAAACCTAATAACATCCACAGGCTTGGTTTGCCCAAGGCGGTGGATTCGGTCAATCGCCTGGCTCTCAACCGCAGGATTCCTAACATCCCAATAAAAGTGTAGATGTCAGCTTCTGTCAGCTTTTAGACCTGGTATGCATCAAAAAATATGAATCAAGAATTATTCTATTACTCACCAATGAGGGTCCATTAAATAAACGCGCTGTGCCGATGTCAAATTTAGCCCTACACCGCCTGCTTTCAAGCTGATTAGAATAACACCAACATCAGCCTTTTCCTTGAAATCAGTAAGGGCTGCAGTGCGGTCACTTCGTTGCATGGTCCCATCCAGACGAGTGAACTTAATATGGTTTTCACGAAGACCATCCTATAGGAAATGAATCGAGAAAAAGATGTGTGTGAGCACAAGCTTCATGTAAGAGCACAAGATATAGGAAACAAGAATGACTATGCGTCCCTTCATTTAGCATATATACCTCAATTAGATCCAACATGCTTGTCCATTGTGAAAAAACAACGCTCTTTGCAATAGACTTGTTAGCCTTCTTAGAGGCCTCTGTAGCCTGCACCAGGTCTTCTAAGAGAGCTTTAACCTTTGTGCTATGGATCAAGGCGCCATTTTCGTCTCTTCTTGTGTGAATATGATCTATGTTCGAACTAATCCCCGTTATTTTATCCTCAGGATCGTCTTGAATCTGGATCAAATCGATAGGGCGCAGCACAGAAGCGCATTGCGGACACGGGAATTCGGTTTTAAGCCCTGGAGTAACACTAACATTGGCGTTCAGCTTCTGGATCATCATGAATGTGACTGGATTAAGCTTCTTAACACAGTCAGGACAAAAGATATGTTCGCAGCGAGCCACGATTGGCGTAGTTGTGGAAGTATTGAAGCAGTGGTTGCATTGATCGTTGCCAGAATCCTGTAGGAGCGTCAGTATTTCAGATGCCTTTGCTACATTGAATTCTATAGAGGCATCCTGATCGTCACCTAAATTCTTGACAAGAGCATAATGAGCGCAAATCTGGCGCAACTTAAGGATTGCCTGAAGGATATGTGCATAACTCTTCATAATCTTATTTTCTTGGACAATCTGATCTACAGTCTGTTTAGCGCGGGACTCCATGCGCTGATAAAGCTGGCGTTCGTTTAGGCTCAGCTCGAGGATGCGTTTGTGGTCAGTCCGAGTAGGAAGAGCTAAGAGTGGCTGCCCGTCAACCATCTGAGACTTTGTACGGCGAAGTGTGATGACTTTCATAAGCGTCTGCAGCCTGGCGATTCCAATGGGATTGGCCGCTTTGATTGGCTTTGAGATATAGTGCGTCCATTGAACCTTTTCGTCAAACGGGTGCATTTGAAGGAACTTGACTAGCGCATACAAATCATCCAGCTAATTCCAAACGTAACATAAATATTGTCAGTTGCCTAAATGTAAACGTATACACTATCCTTTAGCCACAAATAGTGCCAACTTTACTTTGTTTTGAACGGGAGTCCCTGTTAAGCACCATCTCCGCTCAGCTGTAAGGGCCGATGCGGCTTTACTCTGCACCGTGTTGACCTCCTTAATTATGTGTGCTTCATCTAGTACAACTCTAAACCACTCCACATGTTGCAAAACGCTCGGATACTTGGACAATCCAGTCTGTGGGTCTCTTGCTTTAGTTTCCTTGGAATACTCTGTACCTAGAAGATTATATGTTGTTATGACCACATCATGCTTCGCAAGGAAAGATGGGTCCGCTACACGTTGCCCTCCATGGTAGACATAGACATTTAGAAAATCCTTCTGAACGTGGTTTTCAAACTGCTCTTCCCAGTTCTGAACTGTAGACAGCGGACAAATGATCAAAGTAGCATGAGATTTTATCCGCAAGATACTTGGTCTAGGAGGAGACGGCATCGCACTTGATAGCTGTATAGCGTTACCCGTAAATGGCAGCAAGGAGGCTGCAGCGAGGCGCGCGTACATTCCTCTATCCAGTGTGGCAGTGATTAATGATATTACGGTGATTGTTTTGCCAAGGCCCATCTATAATTTGTATATAAAATATATTAATGCCCGGATTGTTCGCATTCTACCATTTCGACGTATAGCCATAACAGTTGTGCTTACATCGTCAGCCAGAATTCCTCCACGCATAGTTACTGGCTTCGCGCTTGACTCTTGATTAGTCACCACGTTCAGGTAGACAGGATGCCCGTGAGGTGGATGTCTCACTCTCCACAGAGATGTAAGCTTGTTCTTTTCATTGTCTGTATACTCTTCTGGCTTCTCCCTTTCCAGCAGAAAATAAAGCGCTTGTTTTTGATGTTTGTATAACATTGTGGACATGCATGCCGTCGGTTCAACCAGAGGAAGATCGGTTACGCTGCGAAGTCCCTTAAACACACTATCAATTTGGTTCTTGATCTCTTCCGCTGAGCGAGCTGCCGATCCACTGCCATATCCAGAATACCCGTGCAACCGAGATGAGCCATTTGCATATGACGTTGGCGGTGTAGTGACGCCTCTCCAAATATCGTAGGGAGAAAGCTTTTCGCCAGGGGCAGGGAGCAGTGGATTTGAATAGCGTGTACGATGATCAAACTCGATAGGATCCTCTAATCGAACTTTTCCATGAAGGGCCATTGCTACTGCCATCTGATGCTCCTGTGGTCCATAAAGAATGATGTTGACAGGCACACTGACATTCTAGTGATATAAATAACTCACATTGTAAGTAATGCTCTTTTCAGCCGGATATAATGATAGATCGCATCCTGGATGGCTTAACCTACGTTATGTCTGCGCTGACGTGGTACATGTGCTTCCCACCATATCATATTGGCATCGACAAGTGGGATTATCGTATCCGTTAGCTCCGACACAACATACCCGTACTAATGAAGAGGACAATTACAGCATTTTTGTTGAGGTTACGAGTAGGAAAGAGAAGGAGAAAGAATGGGGTCGAGTCAATGACACAATCAGGAATACATTCCGGTCATCTGGCCAAAAATGCAGTATCACTCACAAGGCCTGCTTCGTGCTCCACAGCCAGAGTTGCCTTGTTGGCAGTGGTAGTACGCTTGATTTTGACTGGATCAGACTTCCCCTCTTCGTATTCTAACTGCCTGGGATAGAGTGTTACAACGAGAGACTGGATCATTCCGAAGCAAAGATGTCGATTAAGCTCAGGACCATTGTCTTCTGGCTGTCCTCGGTCAGCAGATTGCGAAAGAGTAGATTGTACTGAGTCGGAGCCACCAGAGTTGTGACAGAACGGTGTCTCTGCATTTTGCAAATGTGAATGTTGTGCAATCGATTGGTCTTTGCCATTGACACTGCTCGAAATTGGCGGCGTCTGTTCAACTGGTGTATTATGATTTGAGATTGGAAGAGCACCTTGATTCTGGGGAGCCCCTTGCTGATGCTGCACCTGGGTATACATTTGATTAACGTTATAAAAGTCGCTATCAAGTTTTTTACGCTTTTGCAAACGATCGTTATCGCCCTCATCTATAACACTATCAGTAGGGTCTGAGTCAATTGGTCTTCCATGCTTTGAGGGTAGTAGGGAAGAGCAGCCATGAATATTAGGATGATGGTTCTGTTGCTGCTTGAGGTCTGGCGGACTGTTACCGTTGCTTTGGTAAGGCATGTACTTGTTATCTGTGTAGGACATTGCCCCACTTCCGATTTGCTGAAGGAATACCGATTGCGTTAAGGCAAGCGCTGCAGAGTCATAGCCGCGCCTGTTTTCTGACATGTCTCCTGGCATGGTTGTTATTTTCGTTGCTTTACTTTCTATCACTTTTGATTGAGTAAAAGTGAGTATGGAGTGATCTAATTGGTGGTTACTACAATATACTATGTGGTGTAGTAGCGGTGTCGTTGGAACTGTATCCTAATTGCTGAATAGAAGAATGTCTAAGTGTCTATGTGGTCCAGTCGAATAGTCAAGGCAAAAAAAAAAAAAAAAAAAAAATGCAGGAGAATGCAAGAGAATGCGAGAGAATGTAAGAGAATGCGGGAAAAGGTGGGGAACGGAGTAAAGTAAAGAATGGAGGATGCAGGGACGTTCTTTGCAACAGAGGGGGTGGTAAAAGAAGAAAGCGATGGGAGAGAGTGAATAGAATATATATATATATATATATATATATCACTTTTTTTAATCTGCCTTAATTGCTGTAGTTGTGCGTGTTTTTCCATTAATGCTCCATGTGACCTGCAGCGTGATCATTCCCAAAAGCAATTGGATCGTATTAACTCCTATCTTCTGTCCGTGCAACAATTGGCTGGCTACTATTACATATTACCAGGAGTGCGATCAAAAGGGGTGCGCCCCTTTTATCGTCGCCATGTTAAATGCCCTCGGTCAGGAGGCCTTGTGTCTGTTTACAATACAAAAAACAGGGGCTAGAAAATAAACGATTTTGCCATTTCTCTGATTCGGTTGCTTTGCCCAAAGTAGTGCTCTAAGCTCAACGCCAAAAAGAGGTCATGTGCTTGCAGTAAAATTTGATACTCGTGTGAGTGTAAGTGCCAGTTTCAGTACATTTATTGGCCGCGCCGCTCAATTGACTCTTGACTCCTCTCCATCTGATGATTTGTTGATCTTTGTCCCTATTATACAACTAAAAAAAAAAAAAAAAAAAAAAAGAGACAGCGATGTCATATCAATGGCTGTAAAACCCTAATCACTGTAAATGTAGAATGTAAACCTACTTGTACTTTGTTAGGAGTTTTCTGCGTGAGTCTGCTCAGAAGTCCAATGTTTGTAACCACATTCCTGTTCCGGGATTCACGTTGTGTCTCTATATCCTTAATAGACAGATTCATGATCTAATTTTTATTAGCGACATGATTTCAAAGCGACATTTTAATTTTTTTAAAGGCACACAACAACTGCCTAGCTGTATATCTATACCTCGTCCTCTTACCATGCCTTGTCATACGAATGGCAAGGAATGTTTATATACAGAAGGATACGTGTGTGGATGCTTGGCGGAGGAGACACTGGCGCTTGTACTCTGAAGAGCACTAGAGAAATCAATTACACACAAACTTTAATGGAGGACGATTTAGGCCAAATCGTGCACAAACTTTATTGCTGTGTGAGCGGCCTTTCATTTTACATTTTACCTTGTAACAGATTACTATATAAATGTATACAGTAAGTGAGCACAGTAGGTACAGCGGATCCATGATCTCATTCGACGAGATAGTGCCTCCAAGAATGAAACGCTGCATTGACAGCTGATCGAGCAACCCAACTTGTCAAATCCTCAACTTTATGATATACCATCATTCTTAATAAATCGATCATCATTGACACCTTTTCCCTTGGAGACGTACTAAGCATAAGCATGCAACATCCATATTTCGCAGGACAAAGTTTGTTCTTTTGCCCTCGCCCTTCTTTTTTATTTTCTTTTTTTCTTTTATTTTTCTGTCACTGTCTTTGCCATTCGCCATTCGTCTCATCCTCATTGGCCGTTCTTTCGATTGTTCACCATTTATTCATTCATTTATTCATTGTCATACTTTATTTCTTCATTCTATTTGACACTAAACGGTCTAAACGTGATAGCCAAGAATAAGCATTGTTCTGGGCTCCTTGCAAGAGACTTCATTTTAGAAGTCTTAAATTCCACGTATGACTATGTATTACTTTATATTAATGCCCTTTACTTATAACCTTGCCTGCTTACGACCCCATCCTCAATTCTTTCAATCGTTACGAGTTGTATTAGTCCTTTGAGTCTCTCTTATAAATTGCTGAATGTCTTGCTCCTCTGTTGCTCGTCGCCACCACCTCCAAAAATAGCTGTCATTTCTTCGCTTTACAAAAATGTCGAGACGAACCGTTCCAACGATCCGTGAACGCCTTGAAGGCATGTCAGTGAAGCAACGGATCGGAATTGTGCTCGGAGGTTTGGTTGCCCTCGCCTTCATCATTACGTTTTTTACCTTTGAACGACAGATATTTCAACGTAAGCTTTACGTAACAGTCAGTATGTGAAAGAATATATCTATATACGTGTCGACTTACTTGATCTATAAAAAAATATGGATACTAGTTTTGGAGCCGGCTGTTATATATTTTCGCAAATCAAGCGCCGGGATGTGGGTGATGGCGTGCGTCATGTGCGCAACATGTATCTTTCCTCTATTCGGTAAATATTCAGTCTAACAAAGCTTGTCATTGCCGCAACTCTTTCATACCAAATTTTTACTCATTATTTTTTTATTATTATTTCTGTAGGCTACGGTGTTGTATCAATGGTGTGTGGTTATGTTTTCGGCATGCCAAAAGGGTATATTATAAAGTCTGCCGATGGAAAGCATGTGCCAATCATGTACTTATGTAATTTCGATGCACTAATACCATTCATTCCCGTAGATTCATACCAGCTTTTGTCGGTGACATTGTAGGCGCATCAGCGGGTTTTTGGTAGGAGACACATTGTCGACTGGCATACTACACCATATGTGTTTGCCCTAGTAGTTGAAAATGTGCATGTACCTCTTATGCTGAATATGCGCTCTATTGTTTAAGTTTAGGTTGTACCGCCTTGCTTTCCGGAAATATATTTATCGCAAATTCAATGATAACATTGATTTCAGGGAAATGTCCAAAGCGGTCAGCAAGGATGGTATATTTGTAAGAAGTTTTTTTATGGCGATTTTAAAACCCATCCACTGATACAGGAAATAGCCTGGTCTATTACAATTTGATCTGATGTTGGTATGGATCTTCTACGAAATTAACTTGTATTTAGGTACTATTTTTGATCCGTCTCTCATCATTTCCTTTCGCGGGTAAGCTGTCGTGTGCTCTTTAGTTCCTTGAAGAGATCTATCATATACTCTGTTTACGTGCATTAACTTTGGTCTGCGTCGCCGCTTTTTCATGCTATTATACTGAAAACAGTCTTGAACGCCTATTTCGGCTCCATGACAAAATTGCCTTACTACAAATTCATTCTCGCCACGACTCTTTCCACGCCGCGCTTGTTCCTCCCCATTTTCATTGGGCATAATCTTTCAAGCCTCGCTAACCCAGATATAACTGGAACGGATCGTGTCTTGAAGTGGGTAGGGAATATTCTGGGGATCATCATTGCTCTAGGAGTGGGCTGGTATATCTATCGACACACAAATAGAAGGATCGAGAGAATTAATGCAGGGCTTGCAGCAGAAGAAGGCGAAGAGGACAATGAGTTCGAAGAACGCTACCGACAACAGCATTTAGAACATGCGATCTATACATCACAAAGTCCGGTCCAAGGCGGGGCTCCATTTAATCCAGCCGAACCTTTGGACAAACACAAGCATAGTAGCACCTCTGACATCACTGTCAGCATGGAAGAGCTGGAGATCCTTCAAACGTCAGCTTCCGGTCAGGTACGCTCCGCAGAAACAATTGTTGAGACTATAGACTCTCAGCAGGGGAAAACGAATCAAAATTAGAAATGATATACGTTCAGCTAATAATAAACGATCACTATTTCTAAATAAATCAGGCAAAATGCACTAATAATATACACTTACATTCAAAACTGAGTGATTGTTTTTAATTTTTTTTACTTTTACTTTAATATCTCAAAGAGGACTTGTCTCATCGCAATGGATGTTGGCTGCATGGTATCCTTGACCTTGGTAGAACTACTAGCTTAGGAAGATATGGTCTATCGCCATTATTATGATATTGGCGAAAAGTATACCTAGCCATTTACTCCGTTCTGGAAGTGCAAGTCGGATAAATCAAGCCTTTAATTTCTATCAGCCTGATCCACCTATATAAAAGCTCTTACTCCATTTATGCTCTAATGCATGTATTGTAGAACAAGCTTTTTCCTTGAGGCAAATATGCAAAGTAAAAGGAGTTAAAAATCATATGGCATTTTTAGTTTTGATATTAGATATCGACAGCAGCAGTCCAACTTTATGACCGAGGTATCAACTTTTGTAGGGTTACATACTTTAATTTAGATCATCAGTTTTCCGTCTAAAGCCAATAACAAGTGAAGAGATACAACCTCTGTCAAATTGACTATGGTACCATAGAAAACAACACGTATTTTATAGTTGTTGCTTCGTTATTCGACATTATTGCTTAACACCATAGTATTCGGTAGCTCGAAGTCTGAATTATCTTTCGCAAGCAAGGCATTGTTGGTATGACAAATGAAGCATAAAATCAAAAAGTAACATTTTCTTGATGATTTTGGTGCCTATTACTTTGCATATTTGCCTCAAGGAAAAAGCTTGTTCTACAATACATGCATTAGAGCATAAATGGAGTAAGAGCTTTTATATAGGTGGATCAGGCTGATAGAAATTAAAGGCTTGATTTATCCGACTTGCACTTCCAGAACGGAGTAAATGGCTAGGTATACTTTTCGCCAATATCATAATAATGGCGATAGACCATATCTTCCTAAGCTAGTAGTTCTACCAAGGTCAAGGATACCATGCAGCCAACATCCATTGCGATGAGGCAAGTCCTCTTTGAGATATTAAAGTAAAAGTAAAAAAAATTAAAAACAATCACTCAGTTTTGAATGTAGGTGTACGCTACGAAGAGCTTTGGAGCTAGATAAACTCGTAGATTTGAAAATGTGTTACTTTCTATTGTCTAGTTTCAGGACAACATCCGTTGAAAAAATACATGTACAAAATACATACAGTATACATATACAGTATGCAATATTATAATAGCCCGGCTAAAAAACTAGGAAAGATACTAAGAACATACTAGAGAAATTTCCAATTAAATTCAATACGCTAAGAAAAGTAGCAGTAGAAGTGACAATAACGCGCCGCACAAAGACGCGATAAATCATTGGCATGAGGGTTTTTGAATAAGCCCATGTTGCCTTATAGATAGATATGTAGTTACCTGGTACAAGTCTCTACCAGAAAATGAATAAATACCCCATGGGTGCGGTGTGTGGACCCACATCTTATTCTAACTTACTTTGTTGATTGATTACGATCTATCTGAAAATATTTTTCAACACCTAAGGAAATGGCAAGTCCCAGTAAAGTCGTCTGGAACTCTACACGGGACACAATCTACTCCTGATTCCGAGGCCTTCTGCCTCTAAGGGGTCATTCGTAAAAAGAGTCTTGACCTCCGAGCTCGATAGCACGGAACCTCGAATGAAAAGAACCAAGAACGTAAATCAAGTAAACAATATCGCCAATCAAAATCAAGATCAAGAAAAAAGATGTTTCCTCCGCACGTCCAGAGTGAGGACCGATGACCGAGAGCTCTCGATAGGAGCTAGTGACCACGAACCCATGAAGTAGGCCGATAATAATCGCGAGTCCAGGCTAAGGATGCAAAAGTCAAAGTAGCATTCTAGGGGATCTAAGGGTGTAATTAAGGTATTTTTATTCAGGGAATTCATGCTAGATAGAAAAGTGGATCTATTTATACTAGCTAACGTCCTGTTGCAAGGAATGCTCTAGAAAATTGGGCGAAATACTGTGTCGTACAAAATCATAATAGTAATTTCGCTTGTAGCTATGGACCTAGTCACTCAATTACCTCTTACCAAGAAACAGCACGATGCTATCGCAGTTTTTGTTGATCGATTCAGCAAGACAGCTGTTCTCGTCCCCTGTAAGACTTCCATCAGCGCCACTGTAAAAAAAAAAGATTATATGCATTCGAATTTCATTCGACTATCGAATAAGAGCACTGCTACCAGGCATCGAAGCGCAGGTTATTCTGGGTAGCGAAGACGACAAAGGAAGTCTTACGCTCATTATCCGTACCAGCGACCCTTTCCTGTGTAATCTTTCTCTTTAATAAATCTCGAGCTACAGAACTACCCTTAAACTAAAAATAAACTTTTTTTTTTTTTTTTTTTTTTTTTTTTAAACTCTCTCTGCTGGCTGATCTGGTACTACATCTTTCTTTTTCGACCGCTAAGAAAGCATATGCTCCTTGGGTGGCCGTGGGCGGGACAGGAAAGGGTCGCTGGTACGGATAATGAGCGTAAGACTTCCTTTGTCGTCTTCGCTACCCATTATCCTTCATAGTCCAGCGACCCTTTCCTGTGACTCCAGAGATCAGCTAAGAATGGTTGTTGTGAAATTGCACCTTGTTCTACTTGACAGCCGGTAGAAGTTCTTGTAAACCTCTTGCGAGGCCCATCTGCCTTGCATGACGATCTCATCCAGATCGGAACCTTTGAGGGCTGCTAGTGTGGAACCAGCGGCGCGTGCCTTAGGGATTCGAGTTTGTGATGGCATAGAAGCAAGAGACATGACACTCTTGATGTGGTTGCTTATTCGCTCCGCTCCTGTAGGTGAGTCTGGTTCGTTGACGTAGCGAATGAGAGGATCATATGATAGATCTGGAAGCGTTGGATGTGGCCATTTCAAATTGCGGCCAACTAATCGTCGTACATACGTCTTCCATGTGGCGACCGGACATAGTAGTGGGTCAAGCGTATGGATTGAAAGGAGAGAGGATGTATCTTTGGCTTTAGGTTCAGTACGGGGCGTAGATCCCCCGTTTTCTTTGGAATTGTAAAGATGCGGCTCACGAATCCATGTTCTGAAGCTTCTTCTATTGCTTTCTTGGCTATTAACGCTACAATTTCTTGTTCTATCGTCTTCATTTCTTCTTTGGAGCGGACGCTGCTGTGTGTTGTTGTATTGCTGATTGGTGGTAGCGAATCGAACGGGATTTCGTATCCATTCTGAATAACTCTGCGTACCCATTTCTCGTCTGATAATAGATTCCATGCTGTTTGGTAGAGGTGTTGAAATGTTTTATGGTAAATCGGAAGTCAAGGAGATCAAAAGTTGTTTATTATTTTAGCTAGGTCGGAGCCTTATATAGGCTCCAACATAGCCGTCACTAATTGCTCTGATCTATGAATAAAAAGGGGAGTGCTCCATTTGGGTACACTCCCTAGCCTCAGGACGTAACAACTTCCCCCCAGATTTTATGTAGGGTTTTTGGCGTCTTGTCTAAAGGCCTTGAGGAAAAATAAGAAAAACCTCTTGTTGTTGAAAGGTAGGAGGAAAAAAATAAACCTCTTGAGGACAAAAATTTAAACCTCACGTGAGACTTCACAGTGTCTATTCTTAAAACTTGTTTTGATATTTCTTTTCTTGTGATTAGAGAGAGACTTTATCTCAAAAAGTAATGTCAGCAAATGGATCATGGAAATATAACAGCCATTGGATCAGGATGTGTCATACAGGAGATGTGGGTAGTAATTATTCAGCATGTCAAAAATGTAGAAATCTCATTGGTCCTTTGTCAAACAGGGATCACAAAAAGATCACGCCATCCACTTCCCCCCAGAAGGACGAATGAGGATTCACGAAGCAAATGAAGAAGATTAAGGTCAAAAGGAATGAAGATTGGAAACTTCAAACGCTCACTCATTCCTTCATTCCTCAGTATTCACTTTTGCTACTCAAACACCTTCTTGCAGGGACACATACTCATTACTTACTTTCCTTATAACAGCCATCAGCAGACAATTATCAATATGCCTTCTAACAATTCTCCCTCTTCCCCCCTGTCTGACTCTTCAACTCTACATGAGTATGAGGACTATGAATTTATCCCTACGGAGCTTTCAACAGCTCCGTCTTCACTCATATTAACAGAGACTGCAGACGTGGAGAATCGCAGTAACTTCGAAGGAGATACTGAGGAAGAGAGCAGCTATGACGCTGAGGACGACGAGGATTATGAGGGTGAGGAGGATCTGTGGGATAGTGACGAGGAGACTCGTGCCTGGAAAAAGGCACACTATCAGTTTTACCACCCAGAGGCACGGAGCCGATCAGCCTCTCTGGAAATCCCAGGACCTCGTCCTATCAGGAAGCGAAAGGAGCCCTCTAGTGATGAAGAGTCATCAGGCAGCGAAAGCAGTGAAGCAGAATTGTCAAGCTGTGGAGTGTACACGACTCTTGGGAAGAGAAGACGTTTGATGGCGGAGAATGGCGATGATTCCGCGAAGAGCCGCCTCCAAAGAGAATTCGCATGGGCTAAGAGGTATGAACGCCTCTACAAGAAGTATACTAAGTTGCGCAAGCAATCAGAGAAGTATAAGACTATGCGCATACGGGTAGAGAAAGTTGTAGATTCTCTTAACTCTCAGTTGCCATCACATCCAGTTGCTAGTTGCAAATGCTGCAAGGGAAAGAATAAAGTTGATGGTTGCTAAATTGAAATTTATTGACTGTTGCGTTGCAAAAAAAAAAAAAAAAAAAAAAAAAATATTGAAATGAGGACGAGTGTGTGCTCTCTTTTCTTCATACTGGAGAAAACTTATTTGTACAAAAACCCTAGTTATCTCAACCCTACTAATATAACAGCTCTCTGCACTTTACAGCTTTGCCGCTACATGACGCTTGTGCCGTTTGGTCTGATTATGGGTGAGTTGTCTCTGCTTCCTCTTAAGAAGTCTTGTTGACTCTGATGCGTTATTCTTTTGCTGCTTCTTCCTCTTTCTGTCATTAATATGAGGATTTTGCTGTCTTA